CTGTTTGCATGATCAAGATAAAGGATAAGGCGACACAAAGAAAGTACGCTCAGACAAAGTTCCCGACATGGACCTACAAAGTCAGAGATGGTGCACTTGGAGGATTGTACGGTTTTCCTTGTACTGAAGGATATATGAAGATAGGTTACAGAGGCTTGAAATGGATCAACCCCGTCGGCGACATCAATTCAAAAGTGAAAACCAAATGGAGTCCTGAGGAGCAGGAAACAAACATCCCTCTCTTTGCGTTGAAGCAAATCAAGAACTTCATCAGAGAAAACATTCCGGAGGTGAAGAAGATCTCCATGACTCGGCTTTGTTGGTATTCAGATAGCTCGGACAATGACTACCTAATATCATACTGCCCCTACTACGAAGACCGGTCTGTTTTTGTCATGGCCGGCGATTCTGGACATGCGTTCATGATGCTAGGCAGTATTGGTGATGTTGCAACCGATATCATTAACGACGAGGGAGATCCATTTCTGAGAAATCTGTTCTCTTGGGAGAGAGAAAGAGAGACGCTGAATATTATCAATTCTGGAGCAGAGGATCCGAGATGCCTAACAGAAACGGTGATGGCCTCTCCTAAGGACTGGTGGATTGACGAACCGTCCAAATTGTAAGACAGTTATTTGAAAAATTTGTATTGTCTAATATTTTTTATTAAGCACAGCTTACAAAGTTACAAATGGCCTTAGGAGTAGAACTTAGAGCTAATGGATCTCTCCTTAGGAACGTCGATTAGGCCCTTGCCTTCCTTCAACTTGAATTGGGTAGCTTTCAAAAGATGGTACAAAAGGTCCAATGTTGGAGTCTCCACCTTGAGCTCCCTCGCAACGACAAGCAAATTTCCGAGGATGACTTCGAGCTCAATTGGGTTTCCCTTTTCGACATCAACAAGCATAGATGGCTTAAACCAGTCGCCGTCGTCCGAATGGACAACAGTGTTGATTACATCCTCCGGCAACTCGACCCCGTCTGCCTTGGCAACCTTGATCACCTCGTGCATTGCTGGGATGGAAACCGCCTCTAGCGTGCCAGAAAGCGCAAGTCTGCCTGTGTCCACTCTGGTTAACGCACATGCTGTGTTGAGGGTGGCGTTGTAGACAAGTTTCCGATACCGGTACCATTTCACATCGGGGAAGTAGGACACAGAGTTCTTGTCATTGCTGTACAGGTCAATGAATTCCTTTGCCTTGGCCTCCTGTTCTTCCTTGCCAAGGTTCGGGTTCTCAAAGTAGCTCACAAGACACTTGTCGTGTTGCGTCTGGCTGATGACTCCGCCGTGGTTGTGTGACCCGATATGCGAGACGCCAGAGAGGCAGAAGTTCTGCGGGTACTTGGCGATGAAGGGCCGACCGAGGTCAAACCCGTTCTGGATGAGAACAACGGTGGTTTTCCCAACCGTGATTGCCGGGGCCGCCACATCCTCGGGCTTCACCACGTCGGGCAAGTTCTTTGTCGTCATCACCACGTAGTCGTACACGACGCCGACTTCCGCCGCAGCGTCAACCGTGGGGAAAATGTGATCCGGTTTCCACGCCGGCAGGTGGCCGTAATCGCATGATTGAATCTCCCATCCGTGTTCTTTCACCTTCTTGTAGTCGCTACGGACGACTACCGATACAGAGGCCTTCTTGTTGTACACGAGACCGCATGCGACAATCGTGCCTACCCCACCTGTTCCAATCAAAAGCACATTTGCCTTGTTCATTGCGCTATCGGTCTAACTTGTTGACAAGCAAACAGTACACCCTTAGTTGCCGCCACCACCACAGCAGACACTCTGGGGCGTCTGTCCCCATATTTATACCGGGTTCCTGGTTCCCCGACTTCCACATTCGTCCTACTACCCCCCGGAAAGAGACGCCTCCAGCCCGCTTGCCTAATCTGGAAATTCTGTGGCGCTTAGCGCCTAAGCGGGACGATAAGCGCCCGAGGAAATTAAGATAAGAAATAACTGTATTGTATTACACTAACTAGAATGGCTACTTGTCATACTTACTGTACTCGGGCTTCCAGTACTTGCGGAGCGGCGGCTTGTAGGCGGCGCCTAGCTTGGATAGGTGGGAAACCTCTGCGTCGTCGAGTTGCCAGCCGAAAACGCCCTCAAACTCGGCGAAACGCTCGGGTTTGGACGTCGTCGTGACGGGGACAATGTCCCGCTGGATGACCCAGCGGAGCAAGACCTGAAGACGGGTCTTCGCATATTTGGAAGCTAGGGAGTCAAGGTACTCAGCAAAATGAAGACCGGCGCCTTGCGTGAGGTCAGCGGCGGTGATTGGGCTGAGCGGCGAGTACGCCTCGACCACAATCCCCTTGCTCTGGGAGAATTCGACGATGCCCGGAGTCTGCTCCTGGAGAAAGGCGTTGAACTCAATCTGGTTGACCTGTGGGTTCGTCTTGGTGCTGTCCCAGATTTGCTTGAGGTCCTCGACAGCAAAATTGGAGACGCCGATGCGCTTGGCAAGGCCCTCGTCGTGCGCCTGCTGCAAAAACGCCCACGCCTCTTTCAAGTCAAAGCCGTGGGTTTCCTTCTTGATGAACGGCGCATGGAGCAAGTAGAGGTCCACGTATGGTGTGTCGAGGTCTGCCAAGAGCTGCGTGAGCCGCTCATACGGATTCTTATGCTTTGAGTGTGCCGTGTACGACCCGTCACCGGCAAAGTACTTGTCTGTGATGAAGATGTCCTCCCGCTTTATCTTCCCGCCAGCAAGAAGTTTCTGTAAGCTTGCCTTTAACTCGGCGTCATTCCCGTACACCTCAGCGGAGTCAAGGTGAACAAAACCCTTCTCCACGGCTGTTGTGAAGATCGACACTAGTTGCTCGTTTGGTGGCAAGTCCGGCGACCGCTTGAAGTAGTAGGTCCCAGACCCGATCCCGAGCAAAGGGATCCCAAGCTTGTCCGTAGGTAGTTTGAATGTCATTTCTGCTGATTGTTAGCTGCTTTGACCCTACTATTCCTCCTTCTCGTTCCTCTTTCGTCTCTTCTTCCGCCAACCTCAGAGGGGGAAATTGCCTGCCTTTTATAGCACCGGGAGTTTTACGCTCGCGGAGAAATCCGTCTCCGGCCACAGCTTCTCCGGCTGGGGCTTATCTCTGCCACGGTTAACAGCCCTTTTGCATGGTATAAAAGGTCATGGCGGGCCACTGTGGACAGTTCATGACGGTCTGTGGTGGCGGGGTGCAAATACCTCTGATGTTAAACCAGACGCCACAAGACCGGAGCACCAGCCATGTCGTACTACCCGCCAGACACCAAACTTCCCCCGCTCGGGGCCCTCTGCCTTGACTACACCGACGACATCCACAGGCCTCCCGGAGACGTAATCATGTCGGAAAGCTACCACTTTCCAGTGATCCAGCAGCAGATTTCTGGAGCCACGTTGTGGAAGGTTGTCGACCCAAACGAGTTTGACGAGGAGTATTTTCAATCGTACGTGGCAGCGTGCAAGACGCTCCAGGACAAAGGCTGCATTGGCATCATCACGTCGTGTGGATTTCTGGCGCAGATCCAGACTCGGCTTGCCAGCCAGGTCGATATCCCTATTGCTACAAGCAGCTTGCTGCAGGTACCATCAGTACTGACGATTCTTTCGCCGAAGAAGAAGATCGGCGTGATCACGTTCGACCCGATTACGCTCTGCGAGACACACTTTAGGGGAGTCGGAATCACCGAAGAGATGTGCAAGAGACTTGTCATCACAGGGTGCAAGCCTGGAGGAGCCCTGCACCGCATTATTACCGACGGCGACTCCTACGTTGCCGAAGAACTTGAGCAAGAACTTGTTGACCTGGCCGTCGAGCTGGTGGAGAGCAACTCGGATATTGGCGCTTTTGTCCTTGAGTGCACGCAGATGCCTCCGTACGCCAGAGCAATCCAGGCAGCCACGGGAAAGCCGGTTTACGATGGAGTTACCATGGTTGACTGGTTCTATTCTGGGTTGCAGTGCAGAACTGTTCCGCCGGATGGAAACAGGGAGGCAGGTTTTAGAAAGAGACTTAGAAGCGAGAAAGAAAAGAAGATCTAGTTATGTATAGAAAAGTTTATACTATTTATTCCTAACCGTTCATGCTAATACTGTCCTCCATTTCGTTGAAGAGATCACGGAGATACTTGTCTCCCGTGGTATCCAAGAACTCCCAGAGAGAGTCCAGGTTGTCGCTGCCGCTGTCCATTGGTTCCCGCCCGGTGTCAGCAGCTGCCGCAGATGTGGCAGGGGTTGCAATTGTTGCTGTGGTATACAAAGAAGAGGTGGTGGTGGACATTGATAAGCCATCTGTTTTGCCGCCAATTGAGCCTCGGTGACGAAACTTTTGTTTGAATTGTTTCCCCGTAAGGTACGAATCAATGCCGATGCTTCCGTCAACAAAAATTCCTGAAGTTAGTATGTCGTTCATAGTGTTATGCGGTTCCATGTCATTCTCAGAGTCAATACAAGTCTTCACAATGGTTGACAACCTTTCGAAAGAGTCCCGGAAAATTGACGCAGATCCCCATCTCTCGGCAAGCACGTACAGAATTGTCTGACAGGCGCTGATCGTCTCGTACACAAGGCTTTTGCGCTTCCACTTCAACACCTTCAAGGACCGATCAAGCCAAAGACAAAAGAGAAACGAAATACCCGAGACAAAGCAGCAGTGCATTGCCGACCAAGTGTAGCTCAGCTTCCGTTTCAGGTGCATGTTCTTGTAGTTGATGCACACGGCGGAGGCACTCTCTGTAAAAACTTTGAACCATTCGAGGTGACGTTTTGGAGACTCTTCCTTTAACTTGGCCACCTCAAGAATTATTGGCCTCCAAAGTAGTAGTACCGAGTTGTGGTACGATATCAGCGACCAGTTGTTTGTCTCAAATGTAGATACCGCGTTGTCCTTATACGGGAATGTCGATAGCCACTCGTTCAACTCTAATAATATCTCCACCCGTGTTGCATCGACATCTTCCTGCTGGTCAACCAGTGGGATCGGCTTGTAGATGAAAGTACAGATGCTTGATTGGATCCTCCGAAGCTTTACCACATAGCAACCAACTCTTGTTTCCGGTGTCTCAAGCGGGAATGGGGCATCAATGTCAATGTCGGAAATACTGAAAGGTCGGCCCAAAATCAAACCATTGATCCTTTCAATCCCGTATGCCGACCAGAATATCCTTGATTTCAGGTCCTGCAGCAGTCGCTGCTCGTTGGTGACAGGCTGATTCTTCCGATGATATGATTTGCGGTGCAGACCCAGTACTACTGCAGTTCGGATCGCCAGACCGCTGGCCTGCCAGCCGGGAACCCCGTCGGGCATCTTTTGTGCAAACACAGACATGAGCAGAAAAGCCTGCACTGTGTATATGTTGACTGACTCGATGACCAGGCCGACACACTCAAACGCCTTCATGTAATATGATTTAGTATAGCTCGAGTAGGCGTTGCTGTTTGATGCGTCCTGGATCTGAGAGCTTATGGCAAATATCATGAAAATAAAGAAGATGGGGACGTGGCCATGGCTCTTCTTTTTGACAACGAGGTCGAAGCAGTTTTCTATGAAGGGCCAGTCCAGAAACGGGTACTGACAATGCACAGATTTCTTATAGCATACAAGCAGATCGGAGGCTGTTTCTAAACTGGGAAACTTGAACGGCAGCTCGAATATGGGCGAGGCGTTGGTCTTATCCATGAAGGTATTGACACTAAGCGGGAAGCAGTTAATTGAGGAGCTGATCACCTTTGCAATAGAGTATGCGGACGTCTCACCAATGTAGCACGGTTCTCCAGCAGCACCCAAGGAGATAAAACCAACCTCCTGTGTCAAGTCCTTACTCTTATTGGCAGTAGGGGGGTATCTTGCCGGGTAAGGTGGCTCCTCGTTGGGTGACTCCGACGCCGAGCTGCTGAGGCATGCCTCCGAGGAGCTCTTGTGCCAGTCCCCACTCTGCAGCTTCTCCTCCAGCTCCCGCACATTTGTTTCCAGCCTCTCCAAGTAGTCTCTTTGTATCTCTCTCCCAGTCGGAGGGTAGATGATCGTGCACTCATGGCCTAGCCGCAGACAGTTAGAGCACCTCGGATACTTCCCGTCACACTTTTTCCGTTTCTTCTTGCAGGCGCAACATGCCGCCATCTGGTGTTTTCCTCCCGACTTCCGTTTCCGGCGGGCCTCTTCCCGGTGCTGCATTGGTAACTTTGCTGTAGCTATCCCCAAAACAGTTTCACCACTGAACTCACCAGTGGTTGCTGTCTTCATCTGCGACGTCATTGCCACGCATTCTTTTGGTGGCCCTTTAGCGGGCCCTTTAGTCACTCGGAATTTGTACTGGCCGCTTTGTTTGTTCATTTCCTGGTTTAATCACAAAGCCCTTTTTGCTGGTTCTTCCTGCTTTACATGGAAGAATCACCGTTCTATCTGTGCGGACGTGTAAGTAGATGTGGTTTGGTTGGCCCTTATCAGTGAAAAGACGAAAATTTGTATGGCGGCGGCAGTTGCCGCAATTGCCCAATCGGGAAGGTACGTCGGGGAGATAAACAGTGGCGGATAGTTTGATTTTGTCAATCATCAGTCGATACTTATCATTTATTATTTAAAATCTATCAAGATTCTACAATAATAGCCAATCACCAGCCAAAGGACTCAGAGTGAAGGTATATCTCCCTGATGGGGCTTTGGCGCCGCAGAACATGCCTCTGTAGGGCCGCAACGGCGTTCGAGGCCTGCACCTTCATGGAGTCGGAGCCAGAGACAATGAAAATGTTTTTTTCAAGAAGGCTGACACCGGTATTAGTAACAAGCTGGTTAACTTCGGGCTTGCTGTTGGTGATGTTTATAAGCCCAAGCTGTAGAGTAGCAGCAACAGGGGCAGGGGAAGTTGCAGGGACAGGGGAAGCCTCAGTAAAATGGTCGTCCTTGTCGTCTGGCTCGGAGTCGGAAGAGGAGTTCATGTTGTGTTTCAGCACTTGTAACGGCTCCTCGCATGAAAGACCAATTTCTTGACTGATGTAGATGGTAATCACGACTTTCTTCTCCTTTATGGCGCCACTGTGGGCGTGGACAATCTTCTTCAGTTCGGGAAGCACCCACTCGATGTTATCGGAACTGCGGACAATCCAGCTAAAGTTGACCGCACTTGTGAGGGCATCCGGGTTCTTCAATTGGCGACACGACTCCTCAAGGAAAGGGAGAACGGCGGAGACGCCTGTTCCGGATGCCAACAGGAATACTCCGTGGAAGGCGTCGACTCGGCGGGAACAGCCGCCGTAGGGCCCGTCGATGAAGACGGTGGAGTCGGAGAAGCCGCTGTCGGGCAGCTTCTGGTAGATATGGTCTGTGAGGCCGCCCCAGCCACATGCTTTCACGACAAGCCTGATGTCCGTATCCTGTCTGGGTTCGAAGTGGGAGATGATCGAGAAGGGATGGCTTTCGAGGAACCTGAGTCCTGGGATTCTCAGAAACACGTGCTGGCCAGGAACCCACGAAAAGTCATTAGAATTCTCAATAACAACCTCAAAGTAGTGCTCGTCCGGGCCGTTGGAGGTGAATCGGCGCATACGACACTTGTTAGGCCTGAGAAAGCCTCTGTTGGGCCTGAGAAGGGCCTTGTTGACGGCCCGCCAGCCGAGCTGGGCTACCCAGAACACGGCCGTGGCGATCATGTACTTCCAGGAGTTCATCTCCGGGTAGCAGTGGTAGAAGAGGGAGATGTAGAAGCCGAGTGCGCAGATCCAGTGGACCTGAAGCCACAGCTCGTACCACGCTGCACGGATATACGAGTGGGAAAAGACGGTAAGGATAGTCAGGAACACCAGTGGCGGGATACCGTTTCTAAAGAGGTCCTCGTGGGACTGGAACCAAGCCAGTCTGGCCCTACCGCCCTCCCGGACAGCCTGCACGTAGAAGGGGATAGTGTGAGTCCATCCGAGGAGACAACAGATGACGGAGACCCACCGGTGATAGACGTTGAGCTTTTCGTAAGAGATGTCTGTGAGCTGGGAGATGAGGTTGGTCTTGCCCGAGAGGATGAACAGGAAGGGAACCAGTGCGGTCGCCTGCATTCCTGCCCGCACGGCAAGCGGCGGCGAACCAAACCCCCGGCATTCCCTGTACCAGAATTTCGGGATGAACGTGTAGCAGAGCACGTAGAGAGATCCGCCAGCAATGAGGAGGAAGTTCCCGAGCGAGGAAGGCAATTGGAAGAGGCTGCACAGCATCGTAGGCAGCCGGCGGTAGCAAACCCATCTGTTCAGTGCTGCAAGCTTGCAGTAGCAGGTTTCAGCAGGCCGTCCGGCAGTTGTCTTTGTTGTCCGTGCGGCGTTGTCGACCAAGAAGTAGACGAGTCGCTTGGCAATAAAGACGGCCACAACCACGGCGCAGAAGTACACCGTGTTGTGACCGTAAAGCGCCTGGTCCGCCCAGGCGACAGCCGCCTGGGACTGCTTTTTGGCGGCAACGTAGGCCGTAGTGCCCATGTCGGCGATGCACCAGACTCCGTCATGGAAGACGTCTCGTTTCTGCAGCGGATCCATGGTCGGGGGCGAGTGGCAAGACTATTCTACAGCATCGTGTCTGCTCTCTGTGTTTCTGTGTCTCCACGGACCCGCAAAGGGCCCATCTTTATAGCTTCCGAAGGCCATGACGGCGTCCTCCTCGTACGAGCCGCCGATATTTGCTCACTGTTTTTAATCTGCTCGTGCAACCGTTATTTGCTCATCTAGCGTCAATGGCGATGCCAACAACTTAACTTCTCTAACCGCTTCAACCGTTACTACTCCGTAGCCGTCTGCAACTCCGACTCTGTTCCTACTTTCTCCGTGCCGTACGACAGCCCTGGCGTGGCAAGAAAGAAGACAGAAGTGGCTTCTGTGGCGGCCGCCTCGCTCGGTGTTGAAGATAGCTGATTAATAAGGGCGGCTTATTTCCGTGCTCAGCTCTTTTCTCCTCTTCTTCTTCCTCTTCCTCTTCTTCTTCTTCTACTTCTACTTGCCTTCTGATTAACACTGATAATACCGCTACAACCACCATGACAGACAATGAATCGCCATTGCTGGCGCTTGTCTCACAGCGTGCCCGGGGCCGGGTGCCCCACGACTTCTGGCATGACGTTCCGAAGGTAGCCAATCCCCACCCAAAGCCGATCCAGTTGATCGGGGGGCTTCCGAATTACCAATTCTTCCCTATCAAGGGTGCAGATGTCCAGCTGCGGGACGCCCCCTTTTACAACACGACGGCAGACACGTTCCGGTCCGTCGACGTGTCCTCCGACAGCGCTCGGATCGACATCAAGGCGGCGTTGCAGTACTCGGAGGTCGGCGGCCTGGAGCCGTTGCTGGAGCAGATCCGGGGGTTTGTGAAGCGGGTTGTGCGGCCGAAGCTGCAGTCCTGGGAAGTCCAGTGCACGCTTGGCGGTGCCGACGGCATTGCCAAGACGTTTGACGTGCTCGTTGACCCGGGCGACACAGTGCTTTTCGAGGAGTTCACCTTTGTGCCTGTGCTCGGGAGTCTCGTCGAGAGAGGAGGCATTGCGGTGCCCGTCCGGCTCAGCGCCGTGACGGAGTTTGACTACGGCAACGAGTTGGAGACGCTCTTGGAGAACTGGACGACGCTAAAGCCGGGGCTGCCAAAGCCGAAGGCCTTGTACACGATTCCCAACGGGCACAACCCGCTAGGGCTGGCGCAGACGATCGAGCACAAGAAGCGGGTCATCGCCCTGGCAGAGAAACACAACTTCGCCATTATCGAGGACGAGCCATACTCGTACTTGAACTTCGACAAGTACGGCGACCCTGCGACGAGCTACAGCCTCTCGAACGACGAGTTCATTGCCTCGTTGAACCCTTCGTACACGACGTTGGACACGTCCGGCAGGGTCGTGCGTGTCGAGACGTTCTCCAAGATATTTGCCCCCGGCATGCGCTTGGGCTTCGTCGTCGCCGACAAAGCCCTCATGCCCTTCTACAGCGGCAGCGCCGCCGTGCTCACCCGGTCGCCTAACGGGTACTCGCAGATGTTCCTCAACAACACGATCCTCCAGCTCGGCGGCGTTGAGGGCTGGATCCATTGGATAACCAAGGTCCGGAACGAGTACCTCCAGCGCAAGAACGTCTACGTCGGTGCCCTTCTCTCGTCCCCGGCGTACACAAAAGGGTACCTCTCTCCGATTGACCCGAGCTGCGGCATGTTTGTTTCCGTCGTCATCAATGTCGACAAGCACCCACGTTTCTCCGGCGCCAACGTCCACGAGCTCATGGAGCTCTTCTACGTGAAGGCCGTCGAGGCTGGCGTGCTTGTCGTGCTTGGCCGCAACATGAGTGTCGACAAGCAGCTCTCGGAGCCCCGCTCGAACTTTGTCCGGACAGCCATCTCCTTCGTTGATACTCACGACGTCCTCCGGGAAGCCGTGAACCGTCTCAGCGAGGCCGCTGTGCGTCTCTTCGAGGACGAGTGATCTGTGACAATTGTTTACTATGTATATGACTTTTGTTTTCTACCTAAATGTACAAGAACTACTTTTTCGTTTCTTCGTGGTATCGCTTCTGCAAGCTGTCGTCCCGAGCCACCTCGTACGCCCGCCGCTCAAACGCCTGGGTCAGGAGCTTCGCCACCTGTTTCGCAAAAAGAGAGCTAACGTGGTTGTACAGTGTGCTCTTGAACTCGTAGCGGAGGTTCAACGTCGCCACGCAGTGGTCGGCGCCGCCATTGACGCCGTCCGTGGGCACGATTTGCCACTCTGTCTCAAGAAAGTGGAACAGGGAGTGGGAGATCGACTTCGCAACGACAGTCTGCGACGGCACGCAGTCGAGCTCGCAGGTGAACTCCTCGTCGAACGCCTGGAAGCCGACCCGCAGGCCAGCAACCGTAGGCTGACCCGTTGCAGGGTCCCGGGTGGTGATGAACGACGACGTGCAGTACGGAACAAACTCGTGGTAGAGGTCCACGCGAGACACCAGGGCGTACATCAGCGGCTGCGGGTGCTGGAACCTCTTGCTGATGGTGTACTTCTGTGCTGAGCCGGCTGACGACGACGACGACGCCGTTTTGAGGGCCTTGATTGACCGGGACAGGTTGAACACGGACCTCGTTCCCCATGGCCGGGCCAGGGCCACGGACGAGACGCCTATGGGACGCTGGAGAAGCATTGCAGGGCTAGCAACAACAGAGCGGACGTCTCTGGCAGGAGAAGATGACCGCCCCTGGCCCGAGAAATGGCTCCAACACCTTTTGCGAAACTTCACCTTCTCGCTCGGGACGGTTCGCTTCAACTTTTGACGGGTATGGTTGGTCGACAGGATGCCAAAAGGAGGCCACGGGAAATGAAGCCGGGGGCAAAGGAGAGTCTGATTTGGACCACAGACGCCGCACAGCTTGCCGGAGAGACATGGTGGACACATTGAACCCGTTTCGCCCCCTCGTGGGGTACCTCTGCGAAGCATCTGGCCTGGACGCAGCGTCCGTGAAGACATTGGTGTGTCTGTTTCTGTCCTTCCCCGTCAGCGCCGTGTTCAAGCGGCTTCCGGACACCAGCTACCGGCTGAAGAACTGGTACATCATTGTTGCCAGTGCGGTGTACATCTTCTGCATCCTCGAGATCTACAAGGGCTTTTTTGTTATCCTGCTCAATGCGCTCTTCACATACTTTTTGACCAAGTACTACCGTTCGAGATTCATGCCGTGGGTGAACCTTGTTGTGTTGATGGGTGTGCTCTGCGTGAACCACGTGCAGGCGCAGTTTGACATCCGGGAGTCAAACCCGGGCGAGATTGACTTCACGGGCGCCCAGATGGTCATGGTCATGAAGTTGAGTGCGTTCGGCTGGTCCTACTGGGACGGGCTCATGTACCATCAGGACAAAGACAAGTTCGAGTCAAACTTGAACGTGTACCAGAAGAGTCGGGCGATTCTCCACCACCCAGGCCTCTCGTCCTACCTTGGATACGTCTTCTTCTACGCGTCTCTCATCACGGGGCCCTCCTTCGACTACGCCGACTACGAGAAGTTCATCTTGACCGAGCTTTTCGACGACGTCCCAGAGTCGAAGCAGCCGGGCAGAAGACGCAAGCGGAAGATCCCCAAGAGCGGCAGAGTCGCCCTCAGAAAGGTCCTCCAAGGCTTCGTGTGGATCGGCCTCTTTGTCTACCTCACACCGCTCATCACCGTCGACTACTCCCTCAGCACGGAGTTCAGAACGGGCAAGAGCTTCCTGTACAAGGTGGCTTTCATCTGGGTCTTGGGCATTGTCGAGAGACTCAAGTACTACGCTGTGTGGCTCATCAGCGAGGGCGCCTGCATCGTCGTCGGCTTGGGCTACAACGGCTACAACCCGGAAAAGGACGTCATGTACTGGAACAGAGTGCAAAACATTGATCCGCTCCGTTTTGAGCTTGGCCAGAACGTCCACGACTGCTTGGAAGCGTGGAACATGAACACCAACAAGTGGTTGAAGAACTTTATCTACTTGAGAACGTGCACGAGAGACAAGAAGACGGGCAAGCTAAAGGCCGGCATGATCCCAACCATCATCACCTTTGCCACCTCTGCTTTCTGGCACGGCACCCTGCCGGGCTACTACCTCACTTTCATCCTCGGGGCGTTTCTCCAAAGTGTGGGCAAGGTTTTCAGAAGAAATTTCCGCCCCATCTTTGCCACGAAGGACAACAGCAATGTCTCGCCGTACAAGGTGTTGTACGACATCGTGTCCTGGACAATCACCCAGCTCGCCTTTGGCTACGCCGTGCAGCCGTTTGTCATATTGGAGTTTGGCAAATCCATCGCCTTGTGGAGGTCGTGCTACTTCTGGGTGCATATTGGCTGTGCCGTGGTCCTGGCTGTCTTTAGCGGGCCATTCGGCAAGCAGGCCAGTCTCTTCATGAAAAAGTATCATCTCCACAGCAAGGAGGTGAAGAAGCCCGAGGAGTCGCCTGTTCCAATTGCAATCCAGCTTGCCACGTTGAAGGACCAGTTCGACTCCACGACGGACTTACTCGAAGTGCTCAAGTCCTCGAACAACAGCAAGACCGCTGCCGCAGAGTTGCCCGACTTCGACAACCAGGAAGAGCTACAGGATTCCACCGTGCTCGAGTTCGACAACTTGGAGAACGATTTCAACAAGCTCTCGAAGGAGTACGCCGAGTGGCGGGACCAGAGCTTGCAGGGCAAAGCCCCCGGCCAGATCACCGAGGAGGAGGTCAGCCGGATGAAGCTTGCTCTCACAAACATCGAGAGAGACATCTCTGCCTTTGTCGCCGCCATGAAGCCGGCCTCGTCAACGGAGCCACACACTTAGTTTATTGTCGTGAATGCGTTACTTGCAGCCCTATCTACCTATATATCTAGCCGTTATTACTCGTCGTCGAAATCCAGCAAGTCGAGGCCAGCCATGACCGCAGTCGACTCTCCCTTATTGACGTTCTCGATCGAGTTGGTTCTTTCCGGAATGAAATCGTCCTCGTCGTCTTCATCTTCCTCGTCGTCTTCGTCTTCCTTCTTGTCCTGCCCGGCTACGCCCTGCTGGCCGGCGTCCTTCGGCTCTTGGTCGACCTCCATCTGCTCTGCCGGCGGCACGTATCCCGGGCCATAGTTCTCGTACTGGATGAGCTTGTTCGGCATCAGCGACGCTATGGCGAGGTTCCCTCTGCGCATGTTGTCGTCTCCGGGCCAAGTGAAGTTGTTCGGCAAGAGGGCGCCGTCAAACGTCCGGGGGATCTTCGAGAACTTCGAGAGCTTCAGGGCATACGAGAGAACCGTCCTCGTGTCCTCCGGATCGAGCTTCGCCTCCGTCGCCGTCGCCGTTGCCTCCGTCGTCTTTGTGTAGTCGTGCAGCTTCGGAAGAGTGTCCAGGCTTCTCTTGCACTCGACAAGCGTCTTCAAGGAGTCCGTCAGCGCCCCCGTGAGCCGGTTGTCGTGCTTCTTCAGAGATATGTCTGCGCTGGCGTGCTGCTGCAGCCTGTCCTCATAGTCCTTGATCTGCTTGCCGATCTCGTCCGAATCCCGGATGAGGGACGACGCAAACGTCTGGTTTGGCGCATACTGCTGCACAGACCGCACGAGTGCCTCCATGTCCTGTTCAAACGCCCATATCGGGTCATCTATCGTCGTCTGCATCTGCTCTGGGTGTCACTGCCTCTTCGACGGTGGCCCTCAACCCCCGGCGGGCTTTCCGTTCACCTGCAGACGACTGCCTGGCAAGAAAAACTGGAAAAACATGTTGCACAAAAGGAGACGAGGGTTGTACAAAGAGAAGACTGTTAGACGGGGTGTCTGCCCTAGCCCGTGTACAGAAAGATTCAGGTCGACAGCAGGGCACCACAGACAGGCATGGAGTACAACACGGATAGCCAGCTGAAGCTGCAGAGTGTGAACGAGAACGAGAAAGGCCTGGGGGCGACCGGTCCGGCGTTGGACATCAACCTGGCGTTGTCGCCAGGTGTCGGGAGCGGAGACAGTGGCAACCTCCAGCTGTTTGGGCTCATGGACTACGGAACACCCGACCCGCTATCCTTTGGGGCGCTGGTTCAGTACCAGCAGCAGCAGCAGCAGCAGCAACAGGAGGAGAAAAGCCACGACGGAAGCACGTCGAGTGTGTTCAGCGACAGCCACAACCACAACTACAGCATCGGCCATGCGGACGGCAACCGCCGGTCTGCCAGCGGGAACGCCCACAGCGACGGGAGTGACACGAACATGAACGACGCAGGGCAGCCGACGAGCAACACGGGCTATAGTTCGCCCGACGGCGCCGCCACGGTGAAGAACGGGACCGCTGGACCAAGCGAGGAGGAGCTGTACCAACGACGCAAGGCGCAGAACCGGGCTGCCCAGCGGGCGTTTCGAGAACGGAAGGAGGGCAAGATCAAGGAGTTGTCGAGCCGGTTGCAGGACGCCGAGGTGTCCCGGGAGCGGCTGGAGAAGCAGCTCAGCGAGCTACGGGAGAGGAACAAGCGGTTGAACATGGAGAACCAGATGCTGCAGAAGCAGCAACAGTTCCAGCAGCAGAGCCAGGCGTTCCAGCCCGTGCAGGACGACGCATACACCAGCCCCGGTGCTCGGGAAGGCGGCGGCGGCGGCGTTGGCGGCAACGACCACGGGCTGGCGGACGGGCTCGACATACAGGACATCTTGTCGTTCAAGTTCCCGAACACGTCCAAGTACGAGTTCATCGAGGGCACCATCGACTGGAGCTCGCACGGCCAGGAGAACGAGTCCGGGTACCACGCCAGCAAGATTGGGGAATCTTACCGGCACGACAGCAACAAGTTGTTGACCATCAGCGCCGTGTGGGACTACCTCGTGGAGTTTGCGAACTTGAACGAAGAGTACACGCTCGACATCCCGGGCATCATGAACGAGCTTCGGGGGAAGGAGGTGTGCCACGGCTTTGGCCCGGCCTACGCTCTCCAGCTGGTGAATGACATTGTCTGCAGACACATCAGGAACGAGGAGTGACCGCACCAACGAACGACAATACATACGACACTGCATTTTTCTGGCGACACGTACAGGCAGCGGTTCTTCTACTCTGCTGCCCTGCTTTTGACTTTTTATATCACTTATTTAATTTCGATTTGAATATATTGATTGATACCGAATGATATTAAGTTATAAAAAAAAAGAAAAAAAAAGAAAAAAATTTATAAAAAAAGTGGGGGTGTTTTTATAGGTTGGTTATCTTCTCTTACAAGTGAAGGAAAAGATAACCGGGGTGGGGGTGGAGAGACTTCTAGGGCCTAAGCGTTTAAGCGGAAGAAGTCATGACTTGCCAGACTCTGATCAAGTCGTCGGTGTAACCGGAGAACAAGTTTTGACCGTCACTGGACCAGGTCAAAGAGACACATTCTGGAGTCTTACCTTCAGCAACCTCTGGCTTTAATTCGTCAGTCAAGGTTCTTTCTTGCAAGTGGAAGATCTTGATGGAGGTGGAAGTTGCTGCTGCTAACCAGAATCTGTTTGGAGAGAACGCCAAGGCGTTGATTTCGTCGCCGGCAGACAAGGTGTAAAGGACGTCGTTGGAGACCAAGTCCCACAAGATGATGGAGCCGTCCTTACCACCGGAAGCGCAAAGGGATCCGTCTGGGGAGATGGTGATGCAGGAGATGTAACCGTTGTGGCCGACGAAGTCGGACAACAAGCTGGAGTCGTTCATGTCCCAGGTCTAGAAGTAAAGAGGTGCGAGAAGAGGCAATGTTAGTAATCTGGAGATTCGGAGGTCTTGTTCCTGTTGCGCCGCTGTGCGTGTCCACCGTGCTGCTCTGGGAAACCCATCAGAGATCTTGGTGATAATTATATGTCTCATTCGCCCGGAGGCGTCTGAAGTAGCAAATATATTTGTAACATCATGTGGGAGCAGCAGGTGTGGAGCAGAGCGGGGAAAAGGGCAAACAGAGGCGAAAAAAAGAGGCAAAGGCACTTACCTTGACGGCCTTGTCCCAGCCGGCGGAGTAGACAATGGTGTCCTTGGATGGAGAGCACTCGACAGAGGAAACCCAGTCCTGGTGGGACTGCAAGGTTTGGACACAGTTACCAAGAGCGTTCCAGACCTTGACGGTCTTGTCTCTGGAAGCAGAAACAAACTGTCTCACGGTACGGGAGATGGAAACGGACATGACGTCGCCGTTGTGGCCGTCGAATCTCGTGACACACTCACCGTCTGACACCTTCCAGAGTCTCAAGGTCTTGTCCCAAGAACCCGAGAGAGCGTATCTTCCGTCTGGCGTCAACTGGCAGTCCTGCACAATGTGCGAGTGGCCTCTCAACGCCTTCTTGGCGACACCGTACTGGTTCTCGTCTCTGGTCAATTGCCAGACAATCAACGTCTTGTCTCTGGACGCAGACAACAAGAGGTCTGGGTTGGCAGGACATGTGGAGAGCGAGGTGACCCAGCCGTTGTGGCCTTGCAAGGTGCCTCTGAGGACTAGAACTTCGGTGGATTCGGACATCTTGTGCTGTTCTGTTTTCTTGTTTGCAAAACTCTTCTAAAACCTTCCAAAACCCACATACAACTCTCCGAGAAGACTATCCAACCTGCCATCTTCTTCTTCTTCCCTTCCTTTTCCACTTATACCTCCCCACTGCTGCAACAGCAGGCCTTTTTTTTTCAGACGCGGGAAAAAGCTGCGTCGTCACGTGCTTAGAGCGAGGGTTTGGGTGTCAAGAGGGTTTGGAGGTGTTGATGTAGTATTCCTGGGAAAGAGACGGGAGTGGACGGGGACGGGAGGTTGTTCTTCACGGGGAGGCCGGGGACAGCGGACAACACACACAATGGCCAGCACAGGAGAACAGACGGACACGGAGTACGTGCGGGAGCGGCTGGACGCGATCCAGGAGACGGAGCAGCGGTTGGTGTCGTTTCTGGGGACGTTTGCAGAGGTGATGGAGAAGGTGGAGGAGACACACGTGGAGCTGCTGGACAAGGAGGCGGGGGCGGGGGACGGGGACGGGGACGGGGAGACGGTGCAGCAGCTGATGAGCCGGTGCTACGAGGACCTGTCGTTTGCGTCGGTGCATCTGCGGCGGGAGCTGAAGCTGCTGGAGGTGAAGCTGCCGTTGCCGGCGGGGCTGTCGAAGAAGGCGAGTGACGTGAACAACGAGAAGCTGCGGCGGCTGCTGTAGGATTTGTATGTGTACGCTATACCAACACGATTACGCTATACCACTGCGCTGTACGCTCCGCTATACACTACACACGGCGCCCCGCTGCGCTGCGCCGCTCAGTTGGCCACGCTGTAGTCGTCCCAGCGGTTCTTGAACGTCAGCACGTTCTGCTTGATCTTCGACTCGTCCACCCACGTCAGGTAGTCCTCCAGCGCCCGCGTGATGAGGTACGCCGGGTCCGTGACGACCTTGCTCCCCACCCGCACGTGGCCCTGGCGCACAAACTTGTTGGCGTCCGCCACGTTCTGCGCCATGTGGAACTTCACCATCATCACGCCCACCCGCCGCCGGCACAGGCTGCTCACCGACACCTTGTTCTCCACGGCGCTGATCTTGCTCGTCGTCGGAAGGAGCCCCATCCCGTACAGCTTCTCCAGCAGCAGCTGCTCGTGCTTGATCCGGAACGGGTCCGCCGCCTCGAGCAGCGCCAGCTTCCTCGCCACCTGCTTCAACTTCCCGACGATCTTGTTGTACGAGTGGTAGTCGCTGCGGTTCGTCAACTGGTACCGCTGCACCACGTCTGCCTCCCGGTGGTTGTTGTCCTGCTTGTAGTTGTACAGATCCACCTTCTTCAGGAGCTTCTGCTCGTGGTACTTGAGTTTTCTCACCATTCTGTGTGTGTCCTGGGTGCTTCTCTGGCTTCTCTGGCTTCTCTGGCTTCTCTGCCTCTCTGCTCTACCTTCTCTTCCCTTATCTTCTCTTCTCTTCTCTTCCTATCCTGTCTTTCTTCTATAGGAAGAAGAAAAATCTTTTGCCAGAAAGATCAAAAAAGAAAAATTGCCTAATGCGGTAATTCGACGCGTCGCTGCCACCTCCCGCTGCTGCCGCTGCGGTTGTCGACAAAGTCAGACGGGCTCAAGAGACAGCAGATGAAGACAGGAAAAGAGAAGAAGAAGACAGAGGAAGACGGAGAGGCGGACAACAAACACAAACCAGGGCAGCAGGATGCAGAGAAGACTGTTGCACACCACGAGACACACGCTGTCGCACATCGGGTCGTCGCCCGTGTTCCTGACGCCGGACGTGAAGCTGTCGTCGGTGCAGATGCTAGTGCCAACCGTGATTCCAAAAGGCACACAGAAGATCGTGCTCAACAGGCTGCTCTCGGTGGCAGGGCCGAAGGGCGAAATCAACCTGCAGATCCCGGACTTCGTGAAGATGGACGCAGGCAACCCGGCGGTGCTGAAGATCGAGATCGAGGACGAGAAGAACAAGATCCAGAAGTCGATGTGGGGCACGTACCGGTCGCTGATCAACAACGCGGTGGTCGGGGTGACGGACGGCCACTCGTCGACGTTGCGGTTCAAGGGCACCGGGTACCGGGTGATGCTGGAGAAGGACGCCAAGACGGGGCAGGAGTGGGTCAAGATGAAGGTGGGCCGCTGCAACGTCGAGGGCTTGCCCATCCCGGAGCACATTGTCTGCGAGACGCCTTCGCAGACACTGCTTGTTCTGCGGGGCCCGGACAAGCAGAAGCTCAACCTGTTTGCCGCCCGCTTGAGAAACATGCGTCCGCCCGAGCCGTACAAGGGCAAGGGCATCTACTTCAACGACGAGACGATCAAGTTGAAGGCCAAGAAGGTCAAATGATCCCCGGACACCGTCCGCCGGCCTGCCGCCGTGCCGTACATCCTGTATATAGCTACACATGTGTACTCCCCCCGACCCCGTCTCCCGAGACGCCGGCGCAAACCACTGCAGACCACCTACATGAAAATCGCTTTTCCGGCCCCCGGCCTCTTGTGTCTTCACCACCTCCTTTTCTTTCTCCTCCTCCTCCTCCTCCTCCTCCTCCTGCCCCTCCTCCGCCGCCATGTCTGCAAGAACCACCTACCTGCTCGTGGACAACACGTCCCACGTGCTGCGGGCAAACGAGTCCGCCCTCTCGCTGGTGTCCTTCTTCGTGTACAACTACCTCATCAACCCGATCGTGTTCAACAAGTCCAACAAGGTCTCCCTCATCCGACACCCGCAGGCGGTCACGGACGCCGACAACAGGGCGTTGGCCTGGAACGACATCGTGCGCTTTGTGGCGGCCTTGGAGACGCCCCACGGTGGCGACCCCGCCAACCAGACAGATCTAATGAAGGCCGTCACAGACGTCCTCCAGTCGGTCTCCTTCGGGCTGGGCAGGCTCAAGAGCTGCGACGTCCTCGTCGTGTCGGCCTTCGACTTCGACTACGACTGGGAGCTCTTCGGGAACAAGATCAAGACCCTCGTGGAGACACACGACAACCTCAACTTGATCTTCGTTGACTCGTACGCCGCATCCACGTCTGCAGACAGCCTTGCAGAGGCCAGAGACAAGTACCACGACGCCAACATCAGGTACATCAACAAAACGGTCGTCAACGCCAACATGAACAACGAGCAGAACTTCACCTACACCTTGGGTGACGCCATCTCCGCCCTGACCAAGTTCTCGTTGTTCACTCCGAAGTTCAAGAAACCCGTCGAGATCTACTCCTACAAGCTGCAGCTGCTCGGGATCCCGGACCTCGAGCTCGACATCTCTGCTTACCCGTTTGTGAAAAGGAGCAGCCTGACCGACTACGTGGCCTCCACCTCTATTGATGTCAGGACCCAGCAGAGAATCAAAGAGAAGTACGTCTACTACTACGAAGAGGAGGGCACGGAGAAGGAGAACTTTGGCGAAAAGGAGGCCAAGGAAATCCAGAACCCGGAATTCATCATCGAGGGATACAAGTTCGGTACGTCGAACTTCCTACTCACAGACTTGCCGGCAAACGTGTTCAGCATGAACTCGATCAAGTCCATGACTATCGCCTCCTTTGTTCCAAAGTCTACGGTCCCTCCGTGGTACCTCCACCAGGACTCCTTGATCGTCCTTCCCTCGAGCAAAAACACCAAGGACGGCTCCCACACCATCAACAAAGACATGGCAATCTACTCGGAGCTCTGGTACGCCATGGTTCGTCTGAACGTCGTGGCCATGGTGCGGTACGTTAAGAGAAACGGAACAGACGTCAGGTACGGGATACTGTACCCGCAGGGGTTTGTCGACGAGCAGTCGGAGGTGAGCGGCGTCATTGACTTTGGGTGCTTCATCTTTGTCGAAACAATCTTCAGGGACGACGAGAAGCTGGTCAATTTGCCCGACCTTGTAAACCGGAAAATCAGCGACCCCAAGCTGGAGTCAGAAATGGACGCCCTGGTGGACTCGTTCTGTCTCGACACGGACGACGTCGACGACGACGTTGACCAGCCCGATGATCTCCCTACTGTCGAGTCATGCGTCGTCTCCATGAACGACATTCCAAACAACGATATGTTCTACGGACTCAGAGAAGAAATCCTTGAAGAGTCCGGACTTACGTCCGACCAACAGGGGGACACCCATCTCCTAGCTAAAACGGTCACAACCGCAATACGAAAGTACAACCACCCGCTCATGTCGATCGAAAGGTTAGTCTACCTGATCTCCTTCTTCATCCTGCAGCAGCACATGCAGGAAGCCGGAGGAGGCGACCCGACATCGTTGTACAGCATGTACGAGAAACATGGGATTCCAATGCAGGTCATTGAGAAGTGGTTGGACACCGCCAAGACGGGGGGCGTTTTCAGGCCCACGGCGTTAAACAAAGATTATAAATGACGGGCAGCACTTGTCTGCCTGCTGTTGTAGCAATCTATATTCCACAACACAGACACTAACAGAAACAGACAGGTTTCGTTTGTGACACGTTCCGTTCCCTCTACGGAGACAATCAGTCGCTCCATGTATGATATTTTCGAAGCCTTTGATTCAAACCAAGTGTTGTACGTATAGCCCGCCTCCTTCTCTTCTGCTCTGCTGTAGTGTGGTCCACCAAAGGTCTTCTGCCCTGCAATCGACAGCATTCAATGTCTATCACACCAAAGAAAACCATTGTGGGGAACCCATCCACGAAGAGAGCCTTCACGACGCAATTGTCATACGACAAAACTAGAAACAGACTCATTTATCCATCCGGGAAATGTGTTGTTCTCCGTTCACTCGACCAAGGCGGGGAAAGCTGGGTCTTCAATGGCCACAAGTACCCTGTTTCGGTGGCAAAAGTGTCCCCTAGTGGGTTTTACGTTGCCTCCGGCGATGAGTCCGGTAACGTGCTGGTTTGGGACTGCTCACAGCCCGAGATGATTGTCAAGAGCGAGTTCAAGATCTTGAGCAATCGGATTAACGATTTAGCCTGGGACGCCGACAGCAAGAGAATCATAGCTGTCGGTAACGGCAGCGATACATTTGGTCATTGTTTCACTTTCGACTCCGGAAACAGTATCGGTGAGATCAGTGGACACTCGAGCCAGATCAACTCGGTTGCAATCAAGACCACCAGACCATACTCTGCGTTCACCGTCGGTGACGACTCGAACGTGGTATTCTTGAAAGGCCCGCCATTCAAGTTCAACCAAAGTAACAAAACGATCCACACAAACTTTGTGAAAATGGTCAAATTTTCTCCTAACGGCAAACTTGCAGCCAGTGTCGGAGTCGACAGGATAATTGCCTTGTTCGACGGCAACACCGGAGAGGTGGTGAAATCGTTCAAAGACCTCTCCAAAGGTGGCATCTACGCCGTTGACTGGATAGACGATGAGAGTTTCTTGATTGCTAGTGCAGACGCCTACTTGAGAATCGTCAACATCGAGGGTAAGGTTGTCAAAGAGTGGAACTTGAAGTACCAAGTTGAAAGTCAATTCTTGGGGTGTGCCGTCGTTGGCGAGGACAAGTTCATTGGATTAACATTGGGCGGGACTCTTTATGTTTTCAGCAAGGAGTCGTCCGACCCTGTTGAGATTATTAACGCTCATCAGGTCAGCGTTACCTCTATGGCGAAGCTCAAGGAAAGCGATGAGATTTTCACTGGCTCTTACGATGGTAAGATTTTGAAACACTTGGTCGAAAATAACGAGGACACACTCATCACGGGAGATGAGCACAAGGGCTTGGTGGTTTCAATAAAGGAAATTCCTGATGTCTCAAAATCGTTGTTCTCCATCTCCTGGGACGACAAGTTGAAGTTGATCAGCGAGAGACTGGAAATTTCCACTGTGGATGATTTGAAGAAGCAACCAGTCGACTTGAAGCTAAACACCAAGTTTGCAGCAGTGTTGTTTGAGGATGGAATTAGATTCTACGACTTCAATGGGAAACCAATCAGCGAAAAGCGGTTAGATTATGAAGCCTCGAGTATCGACGTGTCTGAGAAATTCATTATCGTTACTGACGCCAAAAATTTCCAAGTCCACATTTATGACACAGACCTGAAAGTGCTCAACGAGGTAAACTACTTGCGTAGCAAACCTACTGTGTTGTCGATTTCCTCGAACGAGGAGTACTTGGCCTGTGGTGATATTCAAGGTAAGATTTTGCTCTACAGCTTGACGGACTACACGCTCATCACCTCAAGATGGGCGTTCCACACATCGAAAATCAACTCCATCAAGTGGAGTCCGGGAGATAGGTACTGCTTGTCTGGTTCGTTGGACACAAACATCTTCATCTATTCCGTCGAGAAGCCATCTAGAAACATTAAGTTTTTGAATGCACATAAGGAGGGAGTCAACTGTGTGGAATGGATAAATGAGGACGTCATTGTTTCCGCAGGTTCCGACAGCTGTATCAAGTACTGGGACATCAAGCACTAAGTAGCTTATAAACTGTTTACAAATTATTTACGAGTAAGAACCATTTAGAAACAAACAGCTAAAAATATTGAATGATTGACATGCAGTGGACGGGGTATAATTGCGCATAGATAGAGATACATATAGTACAGAACAGACGTTTTCGCTGGAATTTTTCCAAGAAACCTATATCGGAGGTCTCACATTGCTGATGGCGATGTCGATTACGTCGTTGGCGTCTATTGCCCGAATCAGCTGCTGGACTAGGGTCGGGTTGGAGCCGTATAAGAGTGACGGGTCATCCTCGGGGTCTATCAGATGCAAGCGTAGCGGTAGTACAATCTTGAAACACGTCTTCACAATCGCTGGTGTGACAAAGGTCATTTCTAGTATGAACGCTTTGAATCGGATGAAGTCAGTCAAGTCGGCAATGATGTATGTTGGTATTCCACCCTTAATAAATCTCGAGTATCGAACCTCCACGATGAGGTCGTAAATGTAGGTTTTCATCTCGGTAGTTATAGTCACCTGTCGTACACTTTTTCTGATTGCTTCTAGACTAGTGAACCTGAACAGCTCCGAGGGCTGCGGTAGATCGTTCAACTCGTCTTTGTAGTTGAACAGCAGCAATGTTTCGAGCTTCGTGTCGAGCTCCGATTCCGGAGACGAGACTAGAACCAGCGGGTACTTTTGCTTTCGTAATTCCCGGTAGAGTGTCCTTTGATTTTCCAAGCTCATGTCCAGTAGAGAAAACACCGAGGCACCATTTGCAGTTGTAATCGGAGTCACCTGTGAGTTTACTGGCCAGCCTTGCAGTATCTTCTGCACTCTTTTGACAGTGGTATGTGGGTCAGTAGACGTGACCAAAACGGGGCGCTCCAGGACTAGCGCACACAGTGCCACGTGTTGTAAGGAAACCATGCTTGTCTTATGCTGGTAGTCCCTCTCCAGCCTTCAGCTGTCTCCTCTGCAAGACAGTTCTGTTCAATGTTGTCCAACACATTCGATTTGGTATTGGAAAAGGAGAAAAGAATGCTTTCCCGATCGGGAAAGAGAAAATTTTATTTTTCTTTTCCACTGTTTCATGGTCAACTTATGTTCTTCTTCTTGCTGGTGGAATCATCTCTATTGGCTGAGACTGCAAAGTACAGGGAAATTCAGACTGCTAAACAGAAAATCATGGGGAAATTGGTGCATAACGTCCAGAAGAAACAACATAGAGAGAGAGGTCAGATCACAAGCAGGGCCCGTTTCGGTCTCTTGGAAAAAAAGAAAGATTACAAGCTTCGGAGTGAAAATTTCCACAAGAACCAGGCGAAGCTCAAGCTTTTGAAAGAAAAGGCAAAGAACTATAACGAAGATGAATTTTACCATGCGATGAAAAATAGAGAGACGAATGAAGACGGAATTCTGATTCAAAAACGTCAATTTTCAGAAAATTTGTCCAATGACCAGGTCCTCTTACTCAAAGGCCAGGACCTCAACTACCTGAACACCATTTCATCTAAAGAAAACAGAAAGATCGAAAAAAGCATGAATAGCATGAACTTATTTGGAAGTAATGGTAAGCACACTGTCTTTGTGCAGGACAAAGAAGAGTTTGAGAATTTCAATCCTGAAGAATATTTCGAGACCGACAAAGCATTGTTGGGAAGACGAGAAAACCGTCTCAAGACCTCACAGCTACTCAGCTCAAACAAGAGTTTGTCTCAGGACACAGAATCGCTCGAAGAGTCGTTGGCATACAAAAGAAGGGAACTGGATGTATTAAAGCAAAGGATTGAAAGAGAGAAGAAATTGAAAGACGTGAAAAGTAAGCTACAGTTACAAAGGGAGCTAATGAAACCGGGATCGAAGAAGAAAATCACCAAGGACGGTCAGGTAGTGTACAAATGGAAGAATGAGCGGAAGAAATGATTCTTATCGTCTGCGAGATTTGAACACGGGGGTATCGTCGTCGTCGCCCTCATTGGCTGAATAGTTATCACGGAAATTTCTATGGTCAACTGGAAATGTCTTCCTCTTGTCAAAGTTCGTTGTTGAAGAAGGCGTGTCTTTCACGTTGTTGTGCGATGTAACAGTGTCACGGAACGACTCATGGGCATCGATGGCCTGGGAGCCTTCGTCGTCGCTGTCCACAAACAACGTTGTCTCTCGTCTTCTCTTTCGACTTGGAAACTGTTCCGATGGAGGAGCTGCTGCGGAACCATCGCCAAACATGCTATCCAATTCCGGAATGATGTCGTCGTGCTGGTTGAGATTCACTTGAAGCTCGTTAGATTTATAGTTGGAAGTTTTAAATTTGACCGTTTTAATCGTGCTATCCATAATTGGGTTGTATTCAGAGCCAGTCGTAGTTTTTGCAAACTTGGAATAGTTGAGGCGATTCTCCCACCGAGGGTCACTTCCATACGCCATTCTAAAGTTCGAGTAAACTTTCGGATTTGAGCCACCTTGAAAGTTCACCTGGAACTTTTTGATTTTCACTACACTTGAATCGTTATTTCTTCCCTGAAGGGTATGCAGCAATTTTTCGTCTTCAGAAATCTTGTCCATCTTCATCTGCTTTGTTCTTTTGAACACCTCTGCCAAATGGGCATTGGACGGCGTAGGATTCGGAGACAAGCTCTTGCTAGAGGTCACTCTCGATTTTTTCGAAGGGACATTGGTTTCCTCCGGTGTGGCACTTCTCTTCAGGTTCAGCTTAGACAAGTCCTTGCTGACCGTATTCAAGGTTGATCCAGTTGTGCTTGAGGTTTTCGGTGGAGTGGCAATCGAAATATTGGTGCTGACACTAGGGATTTGACTGACCTTGTTTTTCTGCGTGCTTTGCGATGTGTATGTTTCCAGGTCATCCAAATCGTCCATTTCGTCAAACATTTTCTCCAACTGGCTTTTTCGGCTACGTTTCGCCTCTCTATTGCTTAGCTGTAGTGGGAAAGGTTTGATATCGACAATCCCGATATCCTTTTTATTTGTGGTCGTTGTCTTTGCCATTGAATCTCCCTTTTTTTCCTTTGCTACTTCATCTTCAGGTATCTCGTCGTCAAGATTTATTACAGTCTTACTGTGTTCTACCTCTGGTATCAGACAATCAGCCAACCCGCCAGTTGTTTCCCAATCTCGTGAACTTAGCTTCTTTGCCCACGCGTCCGGGTGCTTAATACGCTCGACAGTGCCGTTTATAAGCACCGATTCCAACTGCTTCAATTCTGGAGACACTTGAATAAAATCTATGTTCTGTATCTTTGCCTTCAGCATTGCTGAAACCTTCAAGTCGCCGACTCTGAAAAACTCAAACTTCCAGTCGGAAGACCGGAGCTTCAAGACGGTGTTTTTGGCCAACGTCAAAGAATCGTTGCAGCCGCCCTTGAGTTCCTTTCCTGAGCCATACACCCATGTAGCATGGCCCTTGTTCATAAGTCTTAACCTTCGGTCGTCGAGTACCACCATTTCTGTCTGTAGCCGTGACACTTTCCTCAGGTTCAAAGGAATGTCACAATCATCGGATCGCCCAAGTTTGTATGTGACCCCTTTCTTCAGCGGGATGGACCTGGTACCCGTAGATGCCAAGTCGGTGTTATCTAACGGAAGCTGAACATCAACAATCCACATGGCAGGCGAGGTTTCAATTGAACTGATAAGTTCAAGGAAACGGAAAAGGCAAGCTTCATGTTGTAGACGGAGATCGATTTGACGTGTAAGCATTTTTGCGAGAAAAATGTAGTAATAGCGAAAATTATACTGTAAGTTAAAACAATATGATTCGGTTATCTTATGCCAAAAAAACTAAGACATACCCTTGGATAGAATACAATGATTTTCTAACTTATTTACTAACTTATGTAGGAGGTTTTCATAAAGTGAAGGAATCTCCCATTAAGTTTAATGCAATGCTTATGTCTATATATCTGCCTGTTCTCATTCTACTTGGAAATGGAGTTATAAAAGGAGATGACTTCTTCGTCAACAAAGACTTTACGGCGGTCAAAGTTGAGGACTTGAAGTCCTTTGGAAGAGGTACAACGACTGATGGCCACATAGAGCTGGCCCTTTTCAAAAATCTTGCGCAAATCGACCTTCACCCTCTGTAAGGTCTGACCCTGACTTTTGTGGATGGACATCGACCATGCCAAGATAATTGGGAGCTGCGATCTAATAAAGCCACTGTCAATACCCCTGCCAAAGTCCGGTTTAAAGTCGCTTCTATCGATGAGAATGTAGATGGGAGGGTATCCTTCCTTGAGAGTGAACCTGACGTGCGGTAGTAACTGATCTTTTGGATTGTAGCTCCTGAGGAGCTCCTCCATCAGTTCTGCTGTGAATGGATCTACCAAGGTCAGGTCTTCCACCGCCGGGTCTCTGGTGACTCCGCTTCTGTTCAGAAGAATCATGCTGATCTTCTTCAAGACAGAAACGTTTGCTGCTGTGTATTGCTGGCCGAAGCGGGCGTGGAAGCTGTGTAGAATGGGTCTTGTCAAAAAGGCCTCGACTATGCCAAGCTGGCCGTTGACGAGACGATGGTCGACGTCGTTCTTGATGAGCATCACCTGTGCTCCCACCTTGAGCTTCAAACTGGGGGAGCACATCAGCAACTCAAGGCTCTTCTTGGTCTTCTCATCTATGGCCAACCCAACGGTGGAGATATCCTTGCAATCGTAGACAAGCTCGGGGCCGCCGAGGGTGTTCAATTTGTTCAAGTTCGAGCGCTCAACCTCCTCTCTTGTTGGGAACAACTCGGTCGGCTCGATTCCGTCATTAAAGTCGATGGGTCTGTTCAGCTGCCGCATTTTCCCCTCCAGCTTGTAGTCGATCTTGCCAATTCTGAGCGAGTTCAAGATGTCCACCAACTCTGTGTCTCCCTGCTGTCTGAAGACCTTGGAGAGAATAATATTCTCGTGGACGACCTCTTTCCAGGACTTCGACTTGAAACAATAGTTGATGGAGGCACCGGAGAACTTACTGATGGGCGGCAACTGCAAGAAGTCGCCACTAATGACGACCTGAATCCCTCCGAAGGGCTCCTCGTTTCTCTTTATCTTTTTGGCCAGGTAGTTCAACTTGTCAAACAGCTCTGAGTCAAGCATACTGACCTCGTCAATAATGAGCACGACCATCCTTCTCCAGACCATGTACTTGTCCATGTTCTTCTTGATCTTAGCGAGCAAAACGTCAGCAGGCTCCTTGCCGAGACCTATGCCAAACAACCGCTGGATGGTCTGGCCGCCGACGTTCGATGCTGCAAGGCCCGTGGGCGCCGAGATCCCAATGTTGGAGTTCCCATACCTGGTCTGTAGCTTGCGGATGATCAACTTCAGCAGAAACGACTTACCGGTACCGGCCGAACCGGTAAAGAAGACGTTTTTCCGCTTGTTCAAGATCGAGTCGAGCACGTCCTGCTGTTCTGTGCTCAGATCGAGACCGTCGAAGGACGTGTCGATGGCCTGCAAGTGAGAGTGGGACGCAGCCAGCTTCGGGTTGTTCCTGTTCGGGTCGTTGGCGGCCAGCATCTTGTGGCCGCCGGCACCGGAGTGCCTAAACTTGGCTCCAGGACGGACATTGATGGACTTCGATGCGGCCCAGGGGAGCACTCGTGTGAGCCTGTCAGAAGACGAGGACGTTGCCTCCGTGGCATTTGCCCCCGAGTCCAGCGACTTCGCCTTCTTTGCCTTCGTTATCGCCGACCGGGACTTGGAAGACACTACCGACGTCCTGCCAGAGAACTTGGACTGCGCACGCAGAAGCGACGTCAGCGAGGACTTCTTCGCCCTTGCCGGCCTCGTCTGGGCGTCCGGCACGTTCTCCTTGCTCTCCATCTCCATCTCCTGTGCTGGTAGGGCCGCAGTCTGGGGTGCCGACAGCGTCCTACCGGCCTTGAAGGCGTCGACGGTGCCAAACAACGACGAGCCGGACGAGTTCGACCGTGTCAGGCTGCCGCTGGCCTTGATCTGGTCCTTCCCGAGAGTCGGCAGAGGCCGCTTCTTCCTGTTTCTGTCCAAGGCGGCAAACGGCGACGACATCTGCGGGCTGCTGCTCTGTGCTGATAGCAGAGTCTATATTTATAGTGCTACACAATGTACTCTATAGGCAGAAGACGTGTCTGGCGGCTGCAGAAAGAAGGAAAACAAACAAGACGAAACGCGGCATGTTTTTTTTTTCATCTTCAACATCTCCAGTTTGTGGGCTTTTCCAGCTATTGCAAGTCTTCACTCGACGGACTCACGGTCCTTATCGGTCCGGGTGGACGTCGAGGAGGCGGTGGTGGAGACAGGGTCAAGGTAGGCGTCCTCAACAATTCCGTTGCGGCGGAGCCAGGGCTCGCCAGAGAGGAAGACGCCGGCCGGGTCGGTCTGGTGCCTCACCTTCTGCCACTTCAGGAGATCTTCGCCATGCCACTCGGCCATCTTCTCCTTCGTGACGATGGTTTCGTCGTAGTTCTTGGCCCAGTGCGGCTGCCCGCCAGCAGCCTCCATAATCTCCTCAAAGACATGGAACCAGCGCTTGTACTGGGTCGGGTAGTCGAAGGGCCGGTAGATGGTGGCGTTGATGTAGAGCGTGAGCTGCGAGTTGGTGACCTTGCCGACAGGGAGGTAGTTCAGTCTCGGGGTGTTGTCGAGGAACGGTCTGAGAGTGTTGCCGTAGATGGGGCCCTTGTCGACGAGCTTGCGCTGCGACAGGTCCTGCTGCGACTCGTCCGTGGGCGGCAACGTCGTGTTGGAGCAGCGGATCTCCATTGGCGAGTGCACAAAGAACTCGCCGGACTTCTTACCGTCCTCGATGGAGTTTGCCAAGAGGCGGATGATGTCGGGCCCGCTCACAAGCGGACACGCCCACTCGTCGACGTACTGGTGGAAGAGACAGTCCATGTTGAGGCCGTCGACGGAGCTCTGCACGGCCACGTCGCCGCTCTTGTTGAACGTCTCGATGAGGCCGTACTGTCTCGAGAACACGAACTTCTCCACGTAGGGAGTCAGCTTCGGCAGGAACCGCACGCAGACGTACAAGAGCGATTCGTAGAAGAGACGGCCCAGGAACGTGCCGTACCAGGAGCTCCGAGGCGGGGAGATCGGGTCGGTGCTCTTCGACGCCCGCCAGAGAATGCACTTCTTCGTGTAGGGGAACCACCACACGCGGATGAACTCGTCGGCCGTCCAGATCGAGTCGAACTTCTCGATGAGTGTCTCGATGTTGATCACCTCCTGGACAGACCGCAACTGGAACTTCGGGACGGCACGCACCGTCACCTCTGTGATGAGGCCAATCTTCCCGAGGGAGAGACACGCTGCCCGGAACACGTCCGGGTTTTCGTGCGAGTTGCAGTTCACAAGCTCGCCCATCCCGTTGACCAGCTTCAGGTTCACCACCTGGCTCGACACCAGCCCGTGGTACTGCGACGAGCCGTGCGTGCCCGTGGAGATGATCCCCGCAAGCGACTGCTCCGAGATCGAGCCCAAGCTCTGCATCGCCAAGCCCTTCGACTCCAAGATCTCGTTCAGCTGGTACACACGCATCCCGGCCTGCGCCGTCACGTCCGTGTACTTCCCGTCCGGCGACGGCTTCTCGTCAAGGAACTTGTTGTACTTGTCGAGGTTCACCAGCCACTCGTTGATCGGATTCGCCACAATCGTGAGGTCTGAAGGCGAGTGGCCCGACCCAACTACCATGATCTTCTTGTGCAGCCGCCGAGCCGTGTTCACGATGTCTCGAATGTCCTCCAGACACTTCGGCTGGAAGTAGAACTGTGGCGAACAGTGGTACGTGTTGGCCCAGGTGTGGTGCACCTTCGGGACTCTGATCTTCGCCAGTGACGACGGCAACGAGAACGACATGTCTGGCTCGTTCTGCTACTTCTGCTGCTTCTTCTGCTAGGACTGTCTAGATTACAATAAAATACATTACATACCAAGGAGGAAATGGAAAAGTGTGTTACTTTGTCTGTCCGTGTGGCCCTCTGTTTGTCCTGCCGCCGAGGGAGAAAAGAAAAAAGAGGCCCCGACCGGAGGGGGTGCTGCAACAGACACGCTGTCGTGGGGGGTCCCGCTACAACACGGCGACGATGTCGTGGTAGATGTAGTTGAGCAAGTCTGGGACGTAGATGCAGTTCTGGACAAACTCGAACTTGTAGGCCTGGAGCATGGCGACGCCGAGCGGGTACTTGAGGATCTCCTTGATGAGCAGACAGGTGCTGATGTTGATCTCGTTGAGCTTGAGGTAGTCGTTGAAGCCGTAGTTGAATTTCTCGATCTCGACCTGCTCGCTGCGGTCGAGCTCGGGGCGGAAGAACTTGGACGGGTTGTTGATGAGCTCGTTGTTGTAGTTGATCAAGGCGTCGTTCTTGCCTGTCTCGAGGCTGACGATCTCGAGGCGGGGCTCGATGCCTTCGATGATGAACTTGCGGCCCTCGTTGTTTGGGAGCTGCACGACCTTGGCCTTGCTCTGCGGGAAGGCGAACTGCACGTTCTTGATGAACTCCACGGCCGGGAGCAACTTCTTCTTGTTGAACTGGCTCTCGTACGCCCTCCAGAGCTCGATCTGCGTGATGCTGCTGAACTTGTTGGGCTTGAAGCAGCAGCGCAACCACGACGTGGCTCTCTGCGGCTCCTTCAGCTTGTTCAGGTCCTTGAAGACGGCCTCGTCCGCCTGCACGTTCGGGATCGTTGTGTTGAGGTCCTCCTTCTTCAAGACCCGTTTGTAGAGCCGCAGATAGTTCAAGTTCTGGATGTTGAACTCCGTCTTGTAGTTCTGCTTGTACACCATGAGCAGCGGGAGCAACTTCTCGAGAATGAGCTTGCGGTTGAGGTCCTTGTGGATGAGCGTCGTGAGGTTCTCCTCCTTGATGGAGAGGTACTGGATCAAGAAGTCGAGCGACGTCAAGATGATTTCGTCGTCGATCGAGTTGCTGTTGTTCGAGAGGATCAAGAAGCCGAGCGTCTTGTTCAAGAACTCGTCGTCGATCAACACACTGGCGTCGTTGCTTCGGCTGCCAGCTGCTGTGGCCGCAGCGACGGGCGTGCCGGTGCCACTTGCGGCCGCTGCAGCGGCCGCCGCAGCAGAAGCGGCAGCGGCAGAAGCGGCAGCAACAGCGGCAGCGGCGTCCTCCTCGTCATTCGGCGACGAACCGTACATGTATCTGCTGATGGATCGGAGGATCGTGATGGAGGTGTTTTTGTCGTTGTTGATCTTGAAGATGAAAATCAACTTGTTGAAGATGGCGTCGTCCTGGTGGATCGGGCTGAGGTACGACGAGATGTTCTCGATGATGTCGAGACTGTACTTGATCAGCTCCTTGAACTGGTCGTTCTCGAAGAAGTCCAAATGGTTGATGGAGTCCTGGTAGATGTCGAGGAAGGAGAGGATGATCTCGCGCAACTGCGCGTTCAGGCTCAGCACCTGGCAGTTGTCCACGTTCTGCACAAGGTTGCGGATGATCAAGAAGCAGTCGATCTTCACGTCGATCTCCACCCCCGGGTCCTGCAGGTACCGCAGCAGGTGGTCCACAAGAAACGCATACTCCTTCTTGAGGCTGATCTTCGCCGGGTTGTTGTTCGACAGCACGATCAGCAAGTTCAAGATATACTTCACCTCGTCCATGAGCCCCGACTCAAACGACATCCGGATCCGCTCCAGCTGCTTCACCCCCTGGTGGTTCAGCCCGTTGATGTTGTGGTACGTGAACTGATGTTCATTCCGCAACACCTTGTTGTTTTCTATGAACTTGGCCTCCTGCTTCGACGTCGAAACCGGGTCAACAGGGAACATCCGGACGGCGTCCTGAGCCGTCTGAGCCAACGGCGCCGCCGACCCTTGCTGCGGGCCGCCCACGGGACCCGGCGTCACCGCTAGAAACATGTTTGTCGACATCTCTGTTGTTTGCTGGTCTTTCCGATGCTCTTACCGCCTTCTGTTGCGTCCTACACCTCCTCTGTTCTCCTCCGCTTCTTCTCCTACCTCCCTCTGGCGACACCGTCTTCACCCTGTCTGTCTCACTCGTGTCGCTTTTCGTGCTGAGCTTTCAGAAAAAACAAAACGGGAAAAAGCGCGGCTGGTTACGTAAGCGCACTTTTTTCAAAAAAAAAGCAAAAATTCGAAATCGACGCGTCGGCTTACGTAATTTAAGGGAAAAGGCGAGGAGGCGGAGCTCCTTCCGCATCGGGGCATAAGTTCCGGGCTTATCTCCCTCGGGGCCCAAACCCGAGGACAATCTGTTATCTCTACATCAACAGCAGCCACAATAGCAAGAGCTCGGGAAGAAAACAAGAACAGGACGGATGCAGACAAGCTCATCGCAGACAGAGAAGCAACAGGCCATTGTTGGCGGCGGCGGGGATGCCGCCGGCGGGAAGATCGTTGGCGGACAAGGGCGGGAATGGTGGCGGTTCCAGAACAAGCGGTATCGGAGAGAGAACAGCACAGCATTTGTGGCCCGCTGTAGCCGCTAACATTCCGGAACAGAACCCGCCGCCGTGGGGCCTGCATCGTAGAGACGAGGCACCAAGGCTAACACAGCCCCAGGCCTCATCATGTGACCGTGGAGCACCCCGACGGCCCCGATAAGGGCTGTTGCCCGGCGTGCGAGGAGTGGCATTGCGTGCTGTGCTCCCTGGCGGCTGTTGCTTATCGGGTGCATGCGTGTGCATGCAGGTAGATGCTCTGCTCCGGGCGTCCAACGGGGTGCACGCTGCTCGGGGCCTTATCTCTCGGAGAGTGCTTGGCCCTGCTTGCCTTGGAAAATGTCTCAAACGTCTTGTCTCCTCCGTCTTGTCTCCGTGCAGCCCAGCTACACACTGCGCACACCGAACGATATCTACGTACATGTATATAAATGGTGTTCCTCGTGCTGCCTGGCCGTCGATCCTACTGCCGCTGCCGCTGCCTCTGCCTCTGCCTCTGCCTCTGCCTCTGCTACTCTTTGCCCCACCACATCCACAGCTTCCCACTGAGACACCATGGCTGAAAAACTCGCCGCAAAGACGTCCGGGTTCTCCCCAATAACGTCCGCCCAGTCGAGAATACATGACATCGCCGCCACCGCCTCACACTTGAGAGCCATCGATGCCAAGGTCGTCGACAACGACGACGACTTGCTTGCCGAGATCGGGTACAAGCAGGAGTTGAAGAGACGTTTCTCCACCTTCCAGATCTTCGGTATCGCCTACTCCATCATGGGGATTCTCCCCTCTGTCTCCTCCCTCTTGGGGACCGCTCTCTCGGCCGGCCCCGCCGGCGCAGTCTGGTCCTGGGCTGTCGCCTCCATCTTTATCTTGACCATCGGCGTGTCCATGTCCGAGTTGGCCTCGTCGATCCCAACCTCGGGAGGGTTGTACTACTGGACGTTCTACTACGCCCCAGAGGCGTGGAGGGTGCCTCTCTCGTTTGTCATCGGCTTGTCCAACACAATGGCCCTCTGTTCCGGGTCTGTTTCCGTCTTCTACGGTAACGCAGAGGAGATCTTGGCCGCCGTGTACCTCACCAAGGATGGTAACTTCGACATCACCACAGGTAAAACGTACGGTGTCTTTGCAGGCTGTGTCATCACAGGTGCAGTCGTTACCTGTCTCTCGTCGAAAAACGTCGCCATGTTGCAATCCATCTCCTCCATTTGCCACACAGGTCTCCTTGTGCTTTTTTTCATTGCCCTGCCCATTGGAACCAGAGTCAACAGACACGAGTTCAACAGCAGAGGCTTCATCTTTGGCGAGGTGCAGAACTACTCGGACTGGCCCATCGGCTGGCAGTTCTGTCTATCGTTCATGACGGCTGTGTGGACCATCGGTGCGTTCGACTCGTGTGTCCATATGTCCGAGGAAGCAAAGAACGCTTCCTACGGGGTGCCAATCGGTATCTGCGGCTCCATCACCGCCTGTGGCTTTCTTGGCTTCTTCATCTTAATTTGCACCACCGCGTGCATGAACCCAGACATCGGTACCGTCCTAGCAACAGACACTGGCTTCCCAATGGCACAAGTCATCTACGACTCCTTAGGCAGACGTTGGGCCATCGCCTTCATGTCTCTTATGGCTGGCTGCCAATGGTTGATGGGATCGTCGTTGCTCACCGCTGCCTCGAGACAGATCTGGGCGTTCGCCAGAGACGACGGGCTACCTTTCTGTTCTATCGTCAAGGTCGTCAACAAGAAGCTTCGGGTCCCTATCAGAGCAGTTATCCTAGCATGTCTGATTTCCCTAGCCATTGGATGTCTCTGCTTGGCAGGTACTGCAGCAGCAAATGCTTTGTTCTCCCTCGGTGTCCTTGGTAACTATCTCGCATGGTGTACCCCAGTCTTCCTTAAGCTCACCTTTGGTAAGCACAAGTTCAACCCAGGTAGTTTTTACCTCGGGCCAGTCTTCTCTCCAATCGTCGGCTGGATTGCCTGTGCCTGGGGGGCCTTCATCACAGTCTTGGTCTGTTTCCCTGCAACCAAGGTGGTCACCAAGGAAAACATGAACTATTGTATTGTCATCACAGGCGGGGTTTGGATCTTGTCCATTGTTTTCTTCTTCACCTACAAGTACAAGTACTACCACGGTCCAAAAAGTAACTTGGATGATGATAACATCGAAGTGGTTTCAAGTGCTGAAGACGTCAGCTATCCGCAGGACGAAAAGGTCTGATGAGTTCCTACTCTTATCTTGTTCATTTTCATTATCTCTTTCATCACTTTTCATGTTCCATTCAGTCCAAATAATTGTTTACTTCTGCTAAATATTCTCATTTCTATTCTTCCTCTTTTTTAATGAATTTTTTGTATTTCCTACTATGTAGCTAATAGAACTATCCTTTCAAGGAAAATGATATAGCCATCTCCTGGTAAGCAAGCAAAAATTAAAAAAAAATATAAGAGCCCGATGCGGGGCTCGAACCCGCAGCCTTTTGATTGCTATCAAATTAAGAGTCAAACGCTCTACCGATTGAGCTAACCAGGCTATTATGTCCACTTTCATGCCAAACCACTAGACTAGCATATTCTATTAATCTTGCTACTCACTATAGATCTTCAGAATGTTTTCGCTTTCACCATAAAAGCCAAAAAGAATCTTAGATATAACTTAATCAGTACAATAAACCATTCTATCACGTTAATTGATTACATAATACGTACACAATAATATCCTCATTATAATACATGAGAGTCTCCTTTTTATTGAAGAATAGCCTCCTCTGGGTACGGTACAAGCATACCAAAGAACAAAATGAGTAGAACCATCTTCTCCTGTGGCATCCAAAGCAAGGCAAGTTACAATATCTGTAATCCAAAAGTTCGTTATGGTAAGATTTACAAAAGTAATTAACCACAGCTTGAGCTTTACTTACCCTTTTAGGAGATCCCGGTGCGGAGTACCAGAGATAAAGAAAACCCTTTACAACTCCCAAAAGACCAGCTATTTACATCCACTTCCATTCGCTTAGTCACGTATTCTAGAACACACATACATCAGAGTCTATTATACTGATGATATCCGCTAGATTCTCATGGTAATGATTCGCAGACGACTTCCAGATACTCTGGATCATATTCCATGCTTTGGTCAAATTTTCGCTTTTCAAATACCTCTTCAATTCTTCGTATGCCTTCTCAAACATCATCCGATCGTCTTTTTCGTAAACGCAAGCACCCGCAATAAGGAAGGGAAGAAGCAAGTTGTTTTATAGGTCCCAGGCCACCAATTTTCGTATTCCATCGATGATCTCTGTACACAGGATTTTTATCTCGAAGCTTGTCGGCGAACAGTTGAGCAATCTCATCTTTAAGAATATCCTGACTGAATTTTTCAAAACGTCGTGGAATTGGCAAAACTGTTCCCCTTTGCGGTCGGCGGCATCGACATAGTCCAAATTGGGTTCTGTCTGGGATATCTTTTCCTCCAGGATGTTGACCTTCTTGTCGAACCAGGAGTAGAAATGCATCCGCATCCTGTCGTAGTTCTGATACACGTCAGAGTCGAGAAATTCAAACTGCTCACTGCGAGAGATCTTTGCATTATTCAAAACCGGCTCAATTTTCTCCCTGTTGAAGCTGTTCAACTCGTTGAGCTTTACCTTGTAAAGGTCATACAGAGTGTTGACCTCTCCCATTTTGATGCAGAGGGTGGCACAACATGCGGTTAGAGGGCCGCATCCGTACCTGGGGCACTGGCCTTCGATCTTGTGCCGAGAGATCGCATCTATAAGTTTCACATAGGTGTTTTTCGAAAACAAAGGGCCGAAGACGGACTTTTTCGAAAGCCTGCCCAACCTGAATGTGTCCTGATAAAAGAACCAGCCCAACACCCAGCACAAAAACGTGTTGCCCTTGAAAAGCTCAATCACCTCGTCTATCCCCAACAAGCAGAAAAGCTTGTAGATGTTTTCGAACATGTTTCGCCACGAGCGGTAGTCTCCTCTCGACGATGCAAGCAAAGCATGGCACGTTTGCGAGACGACGACCCCCATGAGCTCTTCATTCGACACCCGGGAGCTCACCAGCCTCGACTCGACCGAGTTGAAGAGGTTTTCTGACTCCTTGAGAAACTTGTCTGCCATGGCATCCTCCTTCTTCATGGACAAAATCCATCCGGCAAAGGTAAACATGACCGCCTTGTCCGAGTAGGCGAGCGACAGAAGCATCGGGTAGCACTTGTTGTACTTCGTGAAGTCGCCTTTGATGTTTTCAGAGGTCGATATTATTGTGAGGGCCTCGAACTCAAGATCCAAGTCCAACGACGACGACTTGAAAGGCATCAAGCTGGTGCTGGTGGTGTTCTGGCTGACTTTGTCTTCAACATTGTCTTCACTCTCTATCAGGCCGTCGGCTTCCAAAGCCACTGTCCCCACTTCTCCCACCTCTTCCAGTGGCTCGTACTGCTGCTCATAATCCTGTACCTCCTCCACGCCGGTCGTGCCGCACAGCTCGTCTAGCCTGAGCATCAACGAGTCAAACTCGCCCGGACTAGGGATCCGGGACACCGGCGTAACGCTCTCCTGTTCCAGCAGTCCCACCTGTCGTTTCTGGCTATCATTTCCAAATATACTGAATACGTTTGTCTGGTCAAGGCTGGCGTTGCATTTCTTTGGCTTTGCCACTCGTTTATACTCGCATTCTGAGTGGTTGACCAAACACCTTGTGCAAGACGGTTTCCGCTCGTCACACTTCTGCTTCTTCCGCCTGCACTGCGAGCAGCTAATCAGCGACCGCCGCTTCTTGTTGATCACAAACTGTAGCTTCATGTTGCTTTCCTGAGAGCAAGACAGCGGTTGGCTGAACGGCGTCGCCGTGTGTGCTTTGAGTGATACATCCGTGCAACAACACCGTTATCTGTTATCTGTGACCCGCGGCAGACGCCGAGGACGGAAAAGACGATAAGGCCTTGAGGAAGAGGGGGGGGGAGGCCGACAACAGAAAGAGATTTAGCTATAGAATGCTGTACATGGCGACGTTCAGAGGTGGTAAGCGCACGCTTTCTGCTGGTTACCAAACATACACTGGCAGAAGCTCCACACACACGCTACCTGTCTCCTCACCTCGGGCCGGGAGGGGTCCAGCCTGGTGTAGTTGATGTCCTTCCAGCTGGAAACACAGTTGAAGGCCGGAGCAGCGTTGGTGCCTCTGACGAGGAAGGCACCGAAGTAACGAAGCTTCCCGTTTTTACGGTAGAGACACATAACGCCGTAGAGAAACTTGTTGGAAAAATGCAGTCTCTGCATGTACTGATTTAGATCCTCCTCGAAAACGTCGTCGGCAACGCCGTCGGGACAGTAGTAGTCCACTCCCCATATGGACCAATCCCGGGGGTTGAAGAAGGTGTTCCAGAAGTAGGGCATAGCGACCGAGTGGAACTGGCCTCTTCGGAAGTCGCCTGCGACCCTTTTCCAGACTTTGAGAGAGATCGCCGGCTTGCCAAGATACTCGAGCGGATGCAGCGGCTTCCTTCTCCTGGAGGCGAACTTCGGCGTCTTGCACGGTCTGTCGACGAACGTGAGCTGCTCCAAAGCGTGGACAAGATACTCCGTGCGAGCGACTGTGTCAAACCACCGCATAAAGACAGGGTGCGTCTCTCTCCACTGCGTGCCGAGTGTCAGGCCAAGACAGGAGAAGAAACACGAGGCGACGTAGAGATCAGCCAGAGTGACCCTTTCGCCGACGAGGTAGGTGTGTGTGGCGAGTCTCTGCTCCAGCTCTTTGGCACACGCGTCGATCTCCGCGTTGGAGAAGTCGAGAGACGTGCTGTTGAACGGCACCCGGCGCAGCAACACACTGCTGATGCTGGCTGCGTGTTTGGCCACCGTGCACTTCCCCCACGAGAGGTACTGCAACACTTTCGCTCTGAACTGCAACCCGGTGCCCAGAAGCACGGAATTGCGGTCGTGCAGCGTGGCGACTGACGCATACGTGTTAGTAACCAGTTGTGGGCGCATGCCGAGCCGGCCAGAGAGACGTTCGCCGATGCAAACTGCACTTACGATAGTATAATATGGATATTGGCTCCTGCAGCTTGCAGCCGTGGAGACCCACAAGGACCGCCGGAGACCCCGCCGCACCAGTCCCGTCCTGCGAGAGTCCGATGTCCAGTCGCAGAGCCTTCACCAGACCAACTGGCACGACACATTGGTCTGATCCGTCACAGATAAGCGTGCCTAAAGACATTTCCTGCCCCAGAAAGAGGGTCTGGACCGAGAAAGAGCCGCAATTGCAAAGGCACACCTCGCACAGAAGACGGGAAGCGTAGATTGCGCTATTTAAATGAGGACTGACTGCTGATAGACTGGACAGACACCCTGGATCAGTCATCCAACAGCCTTTTCCTCCTTCTCCAGTGACTAACACAGCTTCATGTACCCACTGCCGAGCCCCCGGCCGTTTTTGCCCCGATCGACGCCTTTTCGCAGATAAGCGGTCGATCGACGCACTAACTCCGCGGCGCCGAGGAGTTAGTTGGTTGTACCCGGAGATTGGTCCCTCTTACGTGACGTCAAGAGGAGCGGCTGTGTTTTCTGGCATTAATAATCGGGTAGGGAGATGATGGCATTATTAATCGGAAAATGATGTTTCATGCCGGACATACAAGGAGTATCTCCAGACCTGCGAGGAATTTACAAGCTGTTCTAGCGTATAAAAGAAGTATCGGTTGCTGTTGAAGAAAAAAATGCTTGCCGTGATCTATTCGTGCATATACTACATTGGTTCAGAATTGAGAAGTAAGAAAACAAAGAAGTCGTCTTCGAAGTCAAAGTCGAAGCTGAAAACCAAGAACACCCCCGAAATAAACAACAAAAACAAACTGCAACAATGACAGCAACTTTAGCCAACAGTAACCTATTCAAACCCATCAAGGTCGGCCCGGTCGAGTTGAAAAACCGTCTTGTGCATGCGCCAACCACCAGGTTCAGAAACACCGACGAGTTTGTGGCCACGGACTCGATGCTTGACTACTACACCGAGAGGGCCACCGACAACGGCGGTCTGTTGATTGTCGAGGCGACGTTTCCGTCGCCGGAGTTCGGGCTCTTTGAGCGTGCTCCGATGATCAAGACCCCGCAGCAAGTGAAGGCGTGGCGGAGAATCACCGACTCGGTCCACGCCCAGGGGTCCTCGATCACCCTCCAGCTCTGGAACTTGGGCAGAGTGGCCGACCCTGCTTTGTTGCAGAAGCACAACCTCCCATTTGTGGGGCCCTCTGCGATCTACCTCGACGAGGCGTCCGAAAAGGCCGCCAAGGAAGCCGGAAATGAGTTGAGGGCTATCACAGTCCCTGAGATAAAGGCGATGGTTGCAGAGTACGCCGCAAGCGCCAAAAGAAGCATCGACGAAGCTGGGTTCGATATGATTGAGATCCATGCAGCCAACATGTACTTGCCAGACCAGTTCTTGCAAGAAACGTCGAACACCCGGACGGACGAGTACGGCGGGTCGCTTGAAAACCGGGCAAGGTTCATCTTGGAGACCGTGGACGCATGCATTGCTGCAGTCGGTGCAGAGCGTGTTGCGATCCGGTTCTCCCCTTACTCGGAGTTCCAGGGCTCCTTGGGAGCCCATGCCGAAACCAACCCCATTGTCACCTGGGGCTATGTTTTGAGCGAGTTGGAGAAAAGAGCCAAGCACGGCAACCGGTTGGCCTACATCTCGATTGTTGAGCCACGGGTCTCAGGGACTGACGAGCACCCGGACACAGACCCTGTCGACTTCTCCTGGCCCGACCACATCTGGAGGGGCATTCTACTCAGATCGGGCGGATACCTCAGCAAGGACGCCATTGCTCGGCTGCCCGACGTGGTCAATTCGAACAACCATACGTTGATTGGGGCTGGGCGCTACTTCTCCTCCAACCCAGACCTGGTCAACAGGGTCAGAAACACCCTGGAGATGACGCAGTACGAGAGAAGCACTTTCTACACTGTCGGCAACGTCGGGTACTTAGATTTCAGAGAGTCTGGCCAACCGCTAGACCATTCCAAGGACCATCTCGTTCCAAAACCGTTGGCATGAGTGCGTTGCTAGAAACGATAGATGAATTTTATGATAGTTTTGCTTTATATGTATTTGTACGCTAAGAGCTTATTTAATGGTAAACGAACAGAGATGAACATACTAAATAGATACTTGCGGGAGAAACATACACAATTAGATAGCCCCAACCATAGCATTGCTACCTAACATGAGTATGCTGTCTTGGCGCTACAGCTTGTCCACGTCCACCCGCTGACAAAGTCAGTGTGCTCATCACAACCTGTACGTATGTGGTGTGGTCACTTTAGTGACCAATAGTTTCGGCTGTGAAATCACTGTAACATATAGTAGGTCAGAATAGCCTACACAGTTAGATGTATTGCAACTCAATGACATCGTCCTTGTAGATGATCTGTTTGGCGGCCGGTTTCAGGCAATGACGAGAACCCGGATTCGGGCGTCGTCGACTTCCATTGGCCTGATCGCATCTGGAAAGGCATCCTTTTAAGATCGGGCGGATACTTCTGCAAGGGCGCCAATGCCCGGTTGCCCACATGGTCAATACGAACAACCACACGTTGTTGATTGGGGCCGGGCGCTACTTTACCTCCAACCCGGACCTGATCAACAGGGTCAGCAATACCCTGGAGTTGACGCAGTACGAGAGAAGCACTTTCTACACCGTCGGCAATGCCGGCTACCTAGATTTCAGAGAGTGTGGCAAGCCGCTAGACCATTCCAAGGACCAGCTCGTCCAAAACCGTTGGCTTGAGTGCGTTGATAGTTATTGCCCGTAGCCAAGTAATTGTACTGCGCTGGATCATATGTATCTCTCGAAAATTCCGGCAATAAATCAATATTGTCAAGTGCTTCAACAATGTTAGCTATCGGAGTGTAATAGTCTTCATAGTTGCTGTACCTGTAACTGGACAATGTTATGTTGTTACCGAATCTCTCCCTACAAAGCATAATCACCCGATTTGCGATGGTCTGGTTTGAAACGCCTTGCGGGTTAACTATAACCATACCACCATTATCGCCTTGAGCAATTATCGTACTGTTATCAAAACCACCTGCAAGTATACACAACGCCGTGTTGTATCCTGCCACCTTCGTACTACCATCATCAGGTAAAATCTGCCAAGCAGCGACTTGGCCGATAGTCATGAATAGCAGATTCAAACACAGAATTAAACGGAAGTGCATAGCTTTGGTATGTTTCAAGTTTGTCTAATGAGACTCTGCATTAGTATGTGTATAAAACCTACTACGGAAAGGAAAGTAGAGCCGGTATTTATAGGCCGCTGTGCGAATCACCTGTTTACCAAGATCACGGGGGTGCTAAAACTGGTCGGTGTTTGAGGGAAACGTGGGATTGCTATAACATATAAATTGGCGGTAAGAACAGCCTACACAGTTAGATAGATTGCAACTTGATGGCATCGCCCTTGTAGATGATCTGTTCGGCGGTCCAGGACTCGCCGGGCTTCAACTCGACAAAGTCGTGCACATGGCCCGGCTCGATGCAGACCATCTTGTGATAGCCCGACTTTGGCTCGAAGTCGGCCATTCCCTTGGACTTTTCGACCCAAGGGTTCCAAACCACAAGGTCTGGCAAGTTGACCCTCTTCACGTTGTGGACGACCTTGCCGAGCTCAATCACTTGGACAACCTTGTCTGTGGAAACGTTCCTGTATATTCTGTCCAACTCCTGGGTGAAGTCGATGGCAGGAGACTTTTCTTCGTAGGTCTCAGCAATGAGCTGGTCGTAGCACTCCTCGCCAGGCAAGTTGTTCACCAACGTGTCTTCGATCTCGTTGACCTTCAAGTAGGTGTGGAACAACCAGTTGAAAGTCCACGGCTTGGAGTCGGAGTTGGACACCTCGATCTTGGTGGTCAAGTTGTCATCGTTCAAGGTGATGGTCAAAAACAACGTGAAGTCGTTGTCTCCCTTGCCCCACTTCGAGTACACCTCTGGGTTGGCCTCTGCGGGGCTCAAGGCGAACTGCACCGTTGGCGGGTTCTCGGTGGTCTGTCCGAGGAACTCCCACGTCGAGTTACGTGCAAACCCGTGCTGGGGCAACGCCTGGAAACCTTCTTCGGCAGACTTGCCGAACACTGGGAACACGAGCGGGATGCCGCCACGCACGGGCTTCGACCCGTCTAGCTTGGCGCCTTCCGATAGCCACAACTGCTCCACGTCGGCCACCTTCCAGGAGATAACGGTGGCTCCGTACTTGAGGATCGTCACCCTTGTTTTCGGAGAGGAGGGGAACGTCAATTCGACGGTGTCGCCAAGGTCTTCGACTGCCATTGTGCTGTGCAATTGATGTGTTTCTCCAACAGCACCGCTTCCAGCCCCTCTACACCGGCCCCGGCACCTGCACCGCAAGCTGCGTGCCGACGTCTGTTTGTTTATGTGTGCCTGTCCTCCACCATCGCCGTCGCCGCTGCCACGCCGGAGAAGGGAGAAGGCGAGACCGCATTTCTGATTATGGTTATTATTATTATGTTTTATCGATCGTTATTAAGTAAGCACGTAGCGGGAACGCTGGCTCATGTGAGTACGGGACCGGTGGACGTCTACTCTTTGTCCCCAGTTTCTGTCTGGAGCTGCTGCAACTCGGTTTCAAGCTGCTGCAACTCGCCGTCCAGCTTCCGGAACTCCGTTTGCGCCGCCGGCTTGTCCAGCTGCAGCTGTTCCTGCAACTGCTCGAGTTGCGCCATCTTCGCCTCGATGGAGTCCAACATGCCCTCCATGCGGGACGCCGCCTGCTCCGCCTGCGTCAACTGTAGATACGTCTCCTTGACGCCTGCATCGTCCGGCGCCATGATCATTCCTGTCCAGAGCCCTCCGACCTGCAACGCACAAGAAGAGCATCCGGTGGCGAACCAGGAGAACAAGAGCTGAGCACGGAAAAAGGAGAAAGCGAAACGTGGCGAGCGCAGGGGGCGGGAGAAAAAGCTCAGCTGTTGAAGACTGGAGTTGACGTGTTGCAGAGAGGGAAGAAGAGGAGAAGAGGAGGGTGGGTAGACAGCTATAGGGTCAGACAGACAGATCAACGATGACAGCAGCAATGACAATGACAGGGCTTTCTGCCAGGGTGTTTGTTTTGCTGGGTTTGCTGTGGAGCGGAGTTGTGGCTGCGGCTGCGACGGCGTCGAGAGCCGACACGCTTGTGTTGTATGGTGACGACGACGCTCTGACGACGTACGCCAGCCTGTTCGGTGTTCTGGAGGAGAACGGCCTTGCGGTGGTGTCGCAGAAGGCGGGCCCGGACGAGGAGGCGCAGATCTACGACTTGAACGAAAACATTGTGGTTTCCAACGTGGTGATTCTCCCCAACAAAGCCAAGAAGCTTGCGTCGAACATCGACCACGCCTCGTTGCTCACGTACGCCAACAACGGCGGCAATGTTGTGGTTGTGAGCGAGGACTCGGGCACGCAGCTCGACGTCAGCATCTTCCTCAACCAATTGGGCATCTACCCGTCGCCAAAGGGGTACAAGTACACGGACTTCCACTCGGGCTCGGCGGCGCCGCTTGCGAAGATCGAGGCTCCACGCTTCCTGAACAAGCACGTTGTGTCGGAGGACGTGTCCGGGCTCTCGCTCGAGGACGCCTCGGTGGCGCTGGTGTCCAACTCGGAGTACCTCGTGCCGCTGCTCAAGGCGTCGAGAACGTCGTTCACCACCAACGGCGACGCCGGCAAGGACTCCGTGTGGCACACGGGTAACGAGGGGTACCTCGCCGTTGCGTTCCAGGGCCTCAACAACGGGCGGGTGCTGTGGCTCGGCTCGCCAGCTCCGCTGAAGAACACGTCGTTCAACAAGGGGCTCGTCGACAGCGTCGTCCAGTGGACGTTCCAGCTCAAGTCCGTCATCCGGGCGACCTTTGCGCACCACAAGCGGGTCGACGCCTCGGGCGAGAGCGACCTCCCCTTTGTCGACGAGGACGACTACTACAAGATCAAGGACACCGCGTATTTCGAGATTGGCCTCTCCAGATACGAGGCCGACAGGAAGACGTGGGTCCCATACACGGTCGACGAGGAGGACGTGGCCAACAAGGTGCAGCTCGAGTTCATCATGCTCGACCCCTACTACAGACTGAACCTGAACCACACGCACAACACCGACACCGAGGCCGTCTACTCGGCGCTCTTCCGGCTGCCGGACCAGCACGGCATGTTCACCTTCTCCGTCGACTACAAGCGCCCGGGCCTCTCGTACGTGAAGGTCGAGGACGTTGTCCCCGTGAGACACCTTGCCAACGACGAGTACGCCCGCTCGTGGGAGATCCCCAACTCCAGCGTCTACATGGCCGGCTACGGCGTCGTCGTCGTCGGCTGGCTCGCCTTCGTCGTCCTCTTCATTTTCTCAGGCAAGAGAAACCTAGACACCGCCAAAAAGAACATTTAGACCTTCTGCCCCTCCTCTGTATCTATCTACCTATCTATATAGCCAGTTACACACTTCTGTACCCATCACCTCGACCGCACCACTTTCACGTTGTGCTTCACCCGCCACTCCTCGAACTCCTTCTTCACCCCGGCAGCCTCCTTCTCGAGCTTCTCCCGGAGCTGCTTCAACCCCTTGATCGTCTCCTCGAGCTTCTTCTGGGCCTCTCCGGCATTCGTCTCCACCAACGCCCCAGACGAGCTGCCAACCGCCCCGCCGTCCTTGTCCGTCTTGTCCGTCACCACCACACCGCTGTCGCCGCTGCTCACAAGCCGCCACGCCCGTCTTTCGGCCGGCACCCCCTTCAACGTCTCGACGACGATCTCGTGCTCGTAGAGCTGGCTCTCCAACGAGACAACGTGGTCCTGCAACGACTGCAACGTCTGCTGGTACTCGTCGTACTGTGCCTGGAATGACATTTTTCCTGCTGTGCTATGTGCTATGTGTCTTGCTACCGGGCTGTTCGCAGACCCTTCTATATACATTTTATCTACAGGTTTCTCTTCTTCATCGTCTCTTCCATCTTCATCTTCACCTCTTCGACACCCCCACGGCGTCCGCGCACCGCAGGCAGAGCCCCGCGCTTACTGGGGCGTGTTTCCAGCACCGAGGACACTTCCCTCCGGGGGCCTCGACGACATGAAGATGCACCCCCCGAACAGACTCTTGGACATGGAAGCGGCTGTCGGCGACGGGGTTGGGCTCGTTGCGGACGACGCTGGATACGACAAAGAGGTCTTCGAGCTCGGGGTCGGAGTAGCGTGGAAGCACGGCGTCAACGGCGATGGAGTCGTCGCCAGGTGTTGGGACGGCCGGTTGAAGAACCACACGACACTCGAGAGGACTGCGGATGTGTTTGGCTGCTCTGAGCTGGCCAATCATGCCGTTGACGGCATCCTTGAGGTCGAGAAGGTGTGCAAAGTCGTTTTCGACGTCCTCGTTGACGCGGACGTAGGCGCTGTTGTACCAGCCACGGTGGAACGGGGAATCGAGGGCACCCTTGATGCCGTCGGGCAGGCTGTTCCACACCTCCTGGGTGATGATCGGGACGATTGGAGCGAGGATGGACACCAGGGTATGCAGAACCTCGTTGAAGGCCACCAGCGTGGAGACCCGCTTCGGCGAGTCGGCTCTGTCCGTGTAGAGGGCGTCCTTGCGGACGTCGAAGTAGATCGAGGAGAGGTCGACGTTGATGAAGTGGTTGACGAGCTTGACGATCTTGAAGAAGTTGTGTGCCTCGTACTCGTGGAGACATTCGGCGTTCAACCTGGCGAGCCTGCTTAGCACGTACTGGTCCAACCGGTTCATGTCCTCGTAGCGTAGGCTGGACTTGGCTGTGTCGAAGCCGTTGAGGTTCCCGAGGAGGAACTTGAACGTGAACCGCAGCTTCTTCAAGTTGTCGCCCACGTGCTTGAGAATCGTGGGCCCCACGTTGATGTCGTTGGTGTAGTCGCTCTGCGCCACCCAGAGCCGCAACCCGTCGATGCCGATCTTCGGAACACCCAACTGCTTGTTCCCTTGGAGAATGTCCCCCGGGGACATTGTGTTCCCCAAACTCTTGGACATCTTCTCTCCCTTCTCGTCGAGCGTGAACCCGTGGGTGATGATGTTTTTGTACGGCATGACGACGTCGCCATTGCCATTGATCTCACTGCCCACCTTCGCCAACACACTGCTCTGGAACCATCCCCGGTGTTGGTCAGACCCTTCGAGGTACACGTCGGAAAGATACCCTCTTGCTTTCGCCTGCTCCAGCAGCCCCTCGTCCTCCAAATAGTGTTCGATCGTCTTCCAACTGCTGCCGCTGTCGAACCAGACATCCATTGTGTCTGTGCCTAGAACGTAGTCCTTCGCCAGGTGTTGGTATTCGTCTGGTAACCATTTACCTATATCGGCACCTTGCTGCGACTTCTCCACCTGCTCAAACCAGCCTTCGATCCCCTCCAGCTCAATTACTTCGATGATCCTCCCAATTACTGCATCATCAAGCAACACTTCGCCAGTCTCCCGATGATAGAGCACGGGGATAGGAACCCCCCAACTGCGCTGTCTGGAAATACACCATTCGTTTCTAGTTTTGATGAATGAAGTCAATCTGTTGACTCCACGCTCCGGATGGAAGTTCACCTTCTTTTTCAACGCTTCAATAGTGACATCTTTAATTTTACTAACATCTATGAACCATTGCGGGGTCGCACGTATGATGATCGGTTTCTTTGATCTCCAGTCGTAAGGATATGAGTGTATGTAATTTTCGTTTAAATGGATTAAAATACCCAACTCTTTGATCCTTTCAATCATCTTGGCGTTACCTTCTCCAAGAACTCTGAAGCCAACGAGTTCGGCCAAATTCTCCCCAAGAGCATCAGTGTATTTCCCGTACTTATCCACTGGAGAATACGGCTTGATTCCGTTTTGCAAACACACCAAATAATCGTCCTGACCGTGTCCTGGAGCAGTATGGACAAGCCCAGTACCTGCGGTACTGGTGACATGAGATCCATGCAAAAACGGATACTTGTGGCCATTATTCAAAATAGGAGACTCGTACTTGCATCCTAACAGTTCGGATCCCTTGAATACAACTTCGGATTTGCTGAATTCGAAGATTTCCTCCAAACTTGGAATCAATTCTGTAGATACCACCAAATTGCCGAATTTCTCATTGTGAATAACTGTGTACTCAAAACCTTCGTTTATTGAAATTGCCAAGTTGGATGCTAATGTCCAAGGGGTCGAAGTCCAAATTAGAGCAGAAATGCCGGCCTCAATTATTTCGGAGCCCAAGCTTTTCTGCAAAGCTTCACTCACTTCCACAATGGGGAATTTCACGTAGGCTGCCTTGGATTGGTGCTGTTGATTGTACTCGAGCTCACCTTCTGCCAATGCCGTTGCATTTTCACAACCCCAATAAACTGGTTTTTCTTGTCTGCGGACCAAGCCATTATCGAAGAACTTTTTGAACACACGTAGTTGGTCAGTAACAAATCTTTTCTTCAATGTCATGTACGGATGCTCAAAATCACCCATGATGCCTATTTCTTGAAATTCTTTGGATTGGCTTTTCTGCGTGTTCATGGCATGCTCCGAGGACAGTCTCACAATATCGGTAGGAGACAGTCTTGTGTGCTTCAAGCTGTGCAATCTTGCCCTTATCTGATCCTTCTCTTCATTACTTGAAGCTTTTTTCAAATCTTTCTTCAGTTTCTTCTCCACTTCTTTACGCTCCTTCCCCAGCTTCTCCAATGTTTTCAACTCGATCGGCAACCCGTGGCAGTCCCATCCTGGAACATAGTGCACTTTTTTCCCCAGCATGAGCTCATACCTGTTGATGATGTCCTTGAGGACCTTGTTAAGAGCATGTCCGATGTGCAAGTTACCATTGGCGTACGGAGGTCCGTCGTGGAAGATAAAGAGGTTTTCGATCCGGTTGTCCTTCAAGGGTCTAGATATGTTCCACTCGTACAATTTTTGCATGGTCTGCGGCTTCAAAACCGTCTCAATAAGCTTTTGGTCAGACCTGCTTCCGAATTCTGTTTTCGGTAGAATCACCGTATCGGCGTACTTGTGCAAGCCTGTCTCCTTGTCCGTGGCTGCACTCTCATTGTTTCTGTTGAGTGACACGCTGAATCCTGCCCTGGGCACGTTCTTCTGCAACGCCAGCGGCAGCAGTCTTGGCTGTGCCCTATGTATGTTTCTAGCTAGCCTCAACATGCGGTAGCAATAATACAGAGAGTGATCAAACGATGAATCGGCTTATTCTTCCCACCTCGATGCAATAGGCCTATTTCACCCTCTCTCTAGCCGATTTCCATGTCTCGAGAGCATTTTTCGTTTTTCCTCGAGGATTTGCATTTTTCGATGGTTGTCAGGCTTGCGATTTTCTATCGTCTTTATCTGTTTGACAAACGTCCGGTCTAGTTTCTTCGGAAAGGGTGCATTGGCTGGGACCTACATTCTCTAAAGGAATAAAAGAAAACACCAGAGGGTGAGGACACAGGAGATGTCTGAATTCGAACACGAAGTGCATCCGTACATCCCCTCTGTGGCTCGAGAGATCCCGGCCCAGCAGGAACATGGGCCTAGGAGGAGCTCTCTGCTGGATGCCGGGGGTGCCAGCTCGATCAAAAACTTTGCATCATCTGTGCAGCGGTCTGTGGACTACCTATCGACGTCGCTTGAGTCCGGGAAGGACAGGGAACCTTTTGAAAACGGGCTCTCTTCTCCGTTGCTTACTGGTGAAGACACGCAAAATGATCTTGAGACGGTGCTTGTGGACGAGGACGTGTGGCGGAGCCAGGGGAGACCGTCATACGGGACCATCGAGGACATGGAGTCCACGGCGAACATACGGGTGATCAAGTCGAACGATTCCGAGTCGATCATCCGGGTGGTGTCGATGAAGTCGACGCGATTGCAGACGATCTTCAACTCAATCAACGTGTTGATTGGACTCGGGATCTTGTCGATCCCGCTGGCCTTGCACCTGTCCGGGTGGGCACTGGGCATCCTGTGCATGACGTTTGCCGCCCTGGCGACAAGACAGACGGCGGTGCTGTTGGGCCGGATTCTCAGCCGACACCCGCAGTTGAAGACGTACCAGGACATTGGCATCTTCTGCTTTGGCGAGAACATCGGGTTTGTGATTCTGCTTACGTTCACGCTGGACTTGATTGGGGCCGGGTTGTCGATGATCTTGCTCTTTGCGGACTCGTTCAATGCGCTTTCGCCGGACGTCTTCTCCAAGCTGTCGCTCAAGGTGTTCATCACGGCGGCAATGATGTTTCTGAACTTCCTGCCCTTGCGCCTACTCTCGTTCTTGTCGCTCACGGGGATCATGTGCACGACAGCGACGTGCATGCTTATTGGCGTCTCGGGCTGTCTCAAAGCAGAGCGTCCGGGCTCGCTCTTGAACCCGATGCAGACCAACATGTACCCGAAGTCGTTCATCGACTTCTTTTTCGCCCTGGGGCTCTACTTGGCGCCGTGGGGCGGCCACGCAACGTTCCCGGAGATCTACAGGGACCAGCTCTACCCACAGACCTACGACCAGAGCATGAAGTACTCCTTCTCCTTCTCCTACGCCGTGGACCTAGCCACCGGCGTGCTAGGCTTCCTCATGTTCGGCGCCTCCGTCGACGACGAGATCACCAAGAACATTCTCCGGACAACCGGCTACCCGCCGTGGGTGTCCACCGCCATCGTTGTGCTCATGGGCATTCTCCCCGTGTCGAAGCTCCCGCTCATCAGCAGACCCATCTTGACCATTCTCGACCGCCGCTTCGGCGCAACCGGCCTGCAGCGGGCAGCCAACCGGGGCCTTCTCAGCGCCTTCTTTCTTCTCTGCTCCCTTCTTCTCACCAACTTCGGCAAGGTCATGTCTCTCTTGGGCAGTCTCATCTGCTTCACCGTGTGCATCACCTTGCCTGGGCTCTACTACCTGCGTGTGTTTCGGGACGACTTGTCCCAGACGGAGAAGGCCGTGTGGCGCATGCTGGTGGCTGTGGGTGTGGCGGGTGCGTTTTTCGGGATGGTAGCAGTTGTGCTGAAGTAGTTGATGAGCCGCTTGATGGATGTTGTTTCTTCAGCAGCAGACACCAGGGAGGCGGAAAGGCCTCTTCACAGCACAGCACAGCACAGCACAGCACAGCACAGCACAGCACAGCACAGCACAGCACAGCACAGCACACGACACACACACACGACGACATGTCTTTGACCATTGGCGACGACAACTTGTTGACCACGGTGTGGTTATTGGCGACGCTCAGCGGCGGAGACGCTGCGGCACGCAGCCGGGTCCAGGGCAAGGGCTACGGCGGCGGTGGCCGCAGCGTGCGCAAGCGGTCTGTGGAGAAGCTCGACATCGTCAAGACGTGTAGCTGTATAATCGATATAAGTAACCGCGTGTCGTTGCGGCGCACGTCGAACTTGATGTTTGGCACCGTGTTGGCCTACAAGGGCAAGTGTCTGCAGAACTGGAAGGACGTCAACAGCTGCCGGCTGTTGATCCAGCGCCTCAACCGCGTGATGGGCACTGGTGCTGGGGGCCGGCTTGTGCAAGAGGCGGAGGCTCGTGGGAGCAGGATCCAGCTGTTGCGCGACGACCCGAACTTCGACATCTCGCAGGGCCTGGTTCCGGACTACGACGCCGGTGTTGCCGGCGCCGCCGGCAACGACTGGCGGGATGCCTACGACGTGCAGGAGGAAGCTGAGGAAGAAGCACAAGCACAAGCACAAGCACAAGCACAAGCACAAGCCCTTCTACAAGCCCAACAACAAGACCAACAACTGCTTGCCACCCAGCCCGAGCCCTGGGACGCCCTTGAGTTTGGTTTTGATGCCAATGGCGACGTTGTGAACCAGTCCGGGTCTGCTGACGAGCCACCCGAGGCCGACATCCGCCGCAGCTTGATGCAGGGGCTCGACGACGGCTTCGGCGTTTTGCCCGAGTTGGACGCGGTTTTGCAGATTCCTGCTGAGCCTGCCGAGCCTGCTGACCCGGCGCCGGCGGCGCCGACGGCCCCTCGGAAACGCCGGGCGCGCGCCGCCGGCGGCGCAAACAAGCGGCTTGTGGTGGACGCCGAGGTTTGTCTCAGCGTGGCGTGCATCCGGACGATTCGCGACGGGTACGTCGGGGCAGAGTGCCGGCGGCGGCGGGCGGTACTGGGCGGCCTGGAGGAGGCCCGGCGCGGGGCGGCCGTGGAGGGTCTGGCGGGGGCCGGGGTGCGGATGCGGGCGGCGTTTGTGGCGGTGGGGCCCGGCGGGGGCCCGGCGGGCCCAGGGGGCGCGGGGGAGGAGGCGGGGGCGTTTGAGGCGCTGGAGATCGAGGTGGGCCGGCGGGGCGGGCGGTCGCGGTCGTCGTCGGTGTCGTCGGTGGAGGAGGCGCGGCGGGCGGAGCGACACAGCAGCTCGTTCCACTTCGATTTCGACGGGGCGGGTGCTGCGGCGGCGGCGGCGGCGGCGGCGTACGACAACGACATGGACGTGGCGCAGCTGGACATCTCGTTCCCGGGGACGGCGGCGGGGCCGGACGACACGGACGAGGCGCCGTGTCTGGCGTCCGTGGAGCAGTTCTGGGACGAGGCGGCGGGGGCGGGCGGCGGCGCGCCCGTGGCGTTTGGCACGCTCGCGCCGCCGGCGCGCTGCGGCCGGCGGGAGGCGTGTGCGCGGTTCATGTACGTGTTGCAGCTGGCGACGTGGGGCCGGCTGGACGTGTCGCAGCGGGGCGCCCGCGGAGACATCTTGGTGGCAGTGAAGTGAGGTGTGCGCCGGACCAAGAGCAGCAGCAGCAGCAGCAGCAGCACACACACACACACACACACACACACACATTGCTAGACATCATGACCACCACCACAAGCGACGTGCTGGACCCCGACAAGTGGACGTGCTCCGCAAACGAGGCGCTCCACGTCTCGCTAGGTATGTAGCCCGCCCTCTTATACTCTTTTGCTTCCAACCCATACTAACTGCGCAGCAGCAGAGCCGTCGCAGGCCGCCACGTTCCCGCCGGCCTACACCTACCCGCTCTACGGCGACGCAGAGCAGATCTTCGGCTACCAGGGCCTCCGGCTGGACCTGGCCTTCGACTGCCTGTCGATGAAGCCGTTGTTGACGTGCACGTACGCCGCCCGGCTGGCCGACGCGTCGGGCCCGGCGATTACGTCAGCAGACGCCGCCGCGCCCCTCCGCGCCGTCCTCCCCCCCGGCGATTACGTCAGCGGCTCCGAGCCCGCCTGGCGCGACGCCGTCGCCGCCGACGCCTTTGCGCTTCCGCAACAAGCCCTCGTCCGCACCTACCGCACCCGGGCAGGCGACACCTGCGACGTCTACGGCTTCCGTGTGGGCGGCGACCCGCCCTCCGCCGCCGACGCCCTGGGCAAGAAGCTTCTGCGCCGTGTCCAGGTCTTGGCCCTGCTCTACATCGAGGCCGCCTCCTACATCGACCTTGCCGACCCCGCCTGGTCCTTCTACGCCGTCTACAAGCGCGCGCCCAAGCCCGTCTTTGTTGGCTTCTGCACCTGCTACCAGTACTGGCGTTTTTCCACCGCGCCAGCCCACGACTCCGCGCCTCCGTTTCCCGACGCGTCGTTCCGCGCCCGCCTCTCCCAGGTCGTGGTGTTGCCGCCCTTCCAGGCCGCGGGCCACGGCCGCGAGCTCTACCGCACGCTGGCTGGCCCACACGGCGTGTGGACACGCGACCCCCGCTGTGTGCAGATCACCGTCGAGGACCCGACAGAACAGTTTGACCAGTTACGGGACCGCTGCGACCTCGAGACGGCGCTTGCACTCAACGCCTTCCGCAACATCCACCGCATCCCGCTCGACTCCACGTCCCACAGACGCTTCCGCGAACAGCTCAAGCTCACCCCGCGCCAGGCAGACCGTGTTTTCGAGATGGGGCTACTGTGGCTGCTGGCCCATAAGGAGGGCGCGTGGATAGCCGGGCTGGACGCAGGCGAGCCGGCCGTGCGGCGGCTCGTGAAGCGACGCGTCTATTTGGCCAACCGCGAGGGCCTCGCTGCGCTCGGCGACGCGTCGCTGGTGCGCAGCAAGTTGCAAGAGGTGTACGAGCGTGTGGCGCAGGACCACAAGAAGGCTGCTGCTGACGTCAGCCGGCCGCTGAAAAGAGCGGCCGAGGCCGGGTAAACGGGGCAAGGCGATTGCCCAATGGGGCGATTGCCTATTTGGGCGATTGTTGGTTTCCGCATTGGGCCGTGGCTGTAAATAGAAGAAAGGGCCGGGCGGCAGAGAAGGAAAGGGGGAGGCGGAAGGAGAGAGGGGGGGGGGGGGCAGAGAGAGAAAAGAAAAGCTCAGCTGTTCTTGTTCCTGCTCCTGTTACTGTTCCTGGTGTGCTCTTCTTCTCTCTTGCCATAGGCCATTGACCTTTGTAGCATACCAGTATACAAGCAGCATGCACAGGACATACTCAATGAGATCGGCACGGGCGCCTACGGCGGCCCAATTGGCCACTCCGCCACCACCGCCTTCGTCAACCAAGGGCAAGTTCTTCGGGTCGACGTCGATCGCAGACTCGTTCAGAAAGCAGGCAGCAGGGTCGTTTGGGCCGGAGATGTCGAGAAAGTTGTCGCAGTTGATCAAGATCGAGAAGTCGCTGGAGCGTTCGCTCGAGGGCGTGTCGAACGAGAGAAAGATGGTGGCGAAGCAGTTGTCGATCTGGGGCGCAGACAACGACGACGACGTGTCGGACGTGACGGACAAGATCGGGGTGTTGCTGTACGAGATCGGGGAGTTGGAGGACCAGTTCATCGACAAGTACGACTTGTACAGAATCACGCTCAAGTCGGTGAGAAACATCGAGGGCTCGGTGCAACCCTCCAGAGACCGCAAGATCAAGATCACGGACGAGATTGCGCACCTCAAGTACAAGGACCCGCAGTCGCCTAAGATTGCTGTTCTCGAGCAGGAGTTGGTGAGAGCCGAGGCCGAGTCCTTGGTGGCCGAGGCCCAGTTGTCCAACATCACGAGAGAGAAGTTGAAGGCCGCCTTCAACTACCAGTTCGACTCCTTGAGGGAGTTGAGCGAGAAGATGGCCCTCATTGCCGGCTACGGCAAGGCCCTCTTGGAGTTGTTGGACGACTCCCCCGTCACCCCCGGCGAGACCAGACCGGCCTACGACGGCTACGAGGCATCCAAGCAGATCATCATCGACTGCGAAAACGCCTTGAGCGCATGGACCTTGGACAACTCCTACTTGAAGGAGCCTTTGTTGTCGATCCACCAGGGCATCGAGGACGTCTACACCGTGCCGGAGGGCATTGTCGAGGGCGACGCCGAGGTTGTCGAGGCCGACGACGCCGAGCACGAGTGGGCCCACCACGACGACGACCAAGTCACCGCCGACCACCAAGTCGTTGCTTGATGCACCGAATGTAACACTTATTTTCTTCCTTTTTCCACCCACCTTTACTTTTAGTTTTACTTTATTTACTCTCTTCCTCCGCCGCCATTGTCCGGCGCTGTTATTCTCACATTATTTTTATTGCTCTGTGTACTCTATCGAAGAATATCCTATCCTAGCTTACTTATGTCTTTCTCGACTTGGCTCCGCTGCTCTTGGCCCCAACACCGCTGCTCTTGCCCCCGGCCTTGTCCTCTTCCTTCTTCCGCTCCTCCTTCTTCCGCTCCTCCTTCTCCCGGTCCTCTGCCCGCTCCTTCTCCGCCGCCTCCTGCAGCTGCTTCTTGTAGTCCATCTTGTGCAGCCGCTGGTTCTCCTCCGGCGTGTTGCCGTTGAGCACACTCGTCTTGTCCAGATACACGTACACGCAGAACACGAGCACAAACGCAAACAGGAACTTCACAAGAAGGGCCTCCACGACGTTGAGCCGGGCCGGGTCGCCGGCGCCGGCGTCCTTTCCGAGCTCGTCTGCAAACAGCTTGATCTGTGCTAGCGGGTTCACCATCTTTGTTCGCCAACAGCTATCTGCCCCCTCCCCACAGACAGGCCCCCTTCTTTCGCCTCCGTCGTCCACTCGTCCACAAGGCCAGTGTCAGCAAAAGATAAGCGGCACAGAGGCGGCAGCCGAGGAAGCGGCAGCCTGAAAAGTTGATTTTTTCCGGCCTCATGTTGTTCGGGTCTTCGGGTTCGGATGCCAGACCTTGTTGCGTGAAACATTCGACTCCGGGCCGTTGTGCAAAGCATGCCGCCGCTTAGGACACCGCCGCAGAGACTACTGGTTCTCTCGCTAGGCAACCCGAAGGAATACGACGGGACCCGGCACTCTGTGGGCCACTACGTGCTCGAGAAACTCGTGTCCCGGTACCGGTGCCAGCAGGAACGGGTCGGGCGCTTCGAGAGCCACGTCCTCCACCACAGAGGCCCGGAAAATAGCTGTGACGTGTGGTTCTACAGGGTTCCCGGCTACATGAACCTCGCCGGGAAGAGCGTGGCACCGTTCTACGACGCGTTCTGCAGACAGGACCCGCAGACGCCGACGCCGGTCGTGGTGCTCTTCGACGAGCTCGACGTGGAGCTCGGCGACGTGAAGATCCGCAAGCGCAACTCGTCCCACCGGGGCCACAACGGCCTCCGGTCCATCCAGAGCAGCTCCCGCATCGGCAAGGAGTACACGGGTCTGCAGCTCGGCATCGGGCGCAACTACGCCGGCGACAAGAACACACCCGGCGTCGTCGCCAACTACGTGCTCTCCAAGTTCTCCGGCGCCGAGCGGGAAGTCCTCGACGATGAGGTCGTCGGCAAGGTCCAGGACATCCTGGAGCAGATGTGTGAGCAGGGGAAGTATCTTAACGAAAGTCTATAGAACGAGAGAGGCTATATAGGAGGTGAAGCTGTTCACAAACTGTAAATAGACGTCCTTCGGGACCGCCCTATGCGAGTTGAGAGTGATGGAGAGCCCTGCCTCGGAGCTGGAGCAGAAGTGGACACCGAAGCAGGCGTCCACCATCGGCTGGTCGAAGTACACCTTGCCGACGTGGCCCGAGGCGCTCTTCAACACCCCCAGGTTCGACATCGCCAACGTTGTCTTTGGAGAGAGGTTCCTCTCGTAGAGCGAGGCCATGGACTCGTCCACAAGCTGGAAGTTCTTCCTGGCGTCTGCCTCAAACACCTCGTAGCCGTCCGCAGCATGCGGGATGTTGGCCTGCAACCGGCTCTGGAAGCTTGCTGAAAGCTGCTCGAGCGTGCTCTGGACAACCGTGGCCGGGTCTTCGATGGCAAAGTACTTGCCGAACATGAGTCCGAACTGGAGCACGTCCGAATTCTGCGGCAACGAAGTGACCAGCGGTCTTGTGTTAATCGGAATCATGGCCTTCAGCTTGGCCCCAGAGGCAGCCACTGCAACCTTGTCGACCAGCGGGACGACCGATTTGGCTGCCACGGCGTACAAGAGGGCCGTGAGCTTCGTGTTGTTCGCCCGGGCCCTGTTGACCAGGGCCTGCGAGTCCTTGGCGGAGAGGTGCACAATGGTGGAGTTGTGTGCCGGGAGAGGCTGCGCCGCAGCGATCTTCTCGTCCAGGACAGGGAACAGCGTCGGAGCATCCGGGGTGGAGGCAGGAGCAGGCTTGGCGGCAGGATCGAAGTTCATGAGCACGGTCGGGTCTGGATACGTGTCGAAGACGCTGGTGTCGACAAGAAGAGAACGTTCCGCGCCCGGCTGGCGGGTCTGCGTGAGCGCTTCGTCGAAGAGCACGTGGAAGTTCTTTGCAGCAGTGCCGTCGAAGTAGACGTGGTCGGTGACGAAGAAGAGCGTGTTGGTCTTCTCCAGTAGGGCCACCTTCCACAACGGCGTGTCCTTGTCGGCGTACCTGAAAACCGGGACGTCGTTGTAGTGCTTGAGAATGGCCTCGACCGTGTTCGGGTGAGTCACGTCGTCGTCGGCGCCGGAGAAGACGTCAACGAGTCCGGGTTGTTTTGCCAGATCCCACTTCGGCATGCATGTGCACCGTGGAGGCACCGTGCTTGTATCGACCTGCAGGGAGAAATGGGGGAACCGGCGGCACAGCACGGCCAGGGTGGCCAGAATGGCGTCCCTTGAGAGCGGCGTGGTGTAGTCTGCGGCGACGCAGAAAGCGTAGTAGATGTCGTGTTCTGCCCGAGAGGCGATGACGGCCTCGTATGCGGAGAGCGGTCTCATGGTTGGCGGTGGTGGTTTTGGTGGTGGCGACACTACAGTGGATGACAAGAAGAGAAGAAAGCCTAGAAGGCGGCGCAGGAACACCGCAAGTAGGACACAAGCTCCGAGATGATAGTGTCGAGGTGAGTAACAGTCCTCGGCAGAACATCGCCGAGAAAGATCAACACTTCCGTTTCGGGCAATTGGCGGTGGAGCATCGAGATGTCGGCTTCGGGAGACCCGGACAGGGTCCCGGACAGGTCTGTGGCGTTCGTTTACGGACAGAAGTCGGCGATACACAGGTACTATACAAGGGCAAAGCGGTCAGCAGAACTTCCACCGGTTGCCACACTTCTCGCAGGTGCAGAACGTCGTCAAGGGCTCGTCCGCGGACCGGGTCTGCATCTGGTAGTACGAGACCTGTCTCTGCTTGCACTTGCCGCAGACAAAACGGTCGGTGACGGCCCGCTTCTCGACGGCACCCTGGGCGTCGAAGAGGTTCTTCTGGTGCAGCTGCTCAAGCTCCTTCTTGAGCGACTCCGGCGCCAGCTCGGCGCTGGACATCGTGGTGAGCTTGGCCGGCGGAATCGTGCCGTCGAGCACGTTGGCCCGCAGCTGCGGGTTGTTCTTGTTCTTCATGTTGAGGATGAGCGAGCGGAGCTTGTTGCGGTACGCGTCGTTCACCTTGTCCTTGTTCTGGGCAAAGATCGCCGCCTCGATGGCCGTGCACGTCTCGAGAATGCGGCCGGCGGCCGCCGCCGTGTCCACGGCGACGGCCGTGTAGAGCGCCGAGATCGACCTGTTTCTCGTCGAGTCTGGGTACGTCTCGATCTTGACGCCGTCCGTCAGCGGGGTCCGCGGACCCTTCACGGCGCCGCTGGCGCCGGCGTCGTCGGACACGCCTGCCGTCTTCGCCGTCTTCGCCTCCACCGCCGCCTTCGCCTGCCCGCCGTCCTCGTCGCCTGCCCCCGTCGCCCCCGCTGCCCCCACCCCCGCCTCCTTCTTCACCCCCGGTTTCCGCTTCTTCTTGTCCGCCGACACCTGGTCCTTCCACTTCTTGATGATCTTCTTCACCAGCCCCGCCACCTCCGCGTCCTCGTACGTCCGGAGCTTGTTCACATGCACCCCAACCTTCGTCTCCCGTAGGAGGTTCTCTGTCGCAACAAGCCCGCTATCGAGCTGTTCCAGTATGTCCCGGAGCGCCCCCGTGTCGTGCGCCGTCCGGGCCTTGTCCAGGGCGCCCACTGCTGTCCGGATCTCGCTGCTGTTCATCCTCGCTGTCTGTTTGCCCTCCTCCAGCCCCGCCACAAGCTCAACCCTTCCTCTCTGTCTCTTGGTCGTCCCAGCTAACTTCACCTTCTCCACGGAAAAAGCGCCGAAATGCGAAAATCAAGAAAAAGGGAAAAATTTTCAGCCAAAAAAATTTTCACCATTTTTTCGTCTTTTATCACTGGAAAGAAGGAGTTTAAGAGGATTGTTGAAGGTTTTGAGAGGATTTTAGGGCCAGAAAGCAAGCAAGGAAGCAAGGAACGAGCAAAGAGGATGTCGAACTCGTCGTGTGTGCTCTACGTGGGAGCGATCCCGTACAACTGGGACGTGGAGGTGATCAAGGCGGTGGTCTGCGGATCGGGCCCCATTGTGGACGTACGGTGCATGATGGACAACGCATCGAAGAACAAGGGCTTCTGCTTCGTGGAGTACCTATCGCCGCTGGACGCGCTGAACGCGTTGACGACGTTGTCGAAGTTGAAGATCGAGGGCCGCAAGAAGCTCAGGATCGAGCTCTCGAAGGAGGGTCTCCGGAACTCGGTGCACTTGAGCAAGCCTGTGTTGCGGCTCAACCGGCTCCTGCTGCCGGCGAACGTGGTGCTGCCGGCGGAGATGAAGGAGAGCGTTGTCGGGCTCGGGCTCGACCAGCCGGACGACGCTGCGGACGGCACGGTGATCTCCACGAAGGACCAGGACATGGAGTTGGACGAGGACGTGCGCTCGTTGAAACAGTCCGTCCTCAACAACACAGACATAAGGACCATGGTGAGCCAGATGTTGGCCAACGGCATGGACCTCCACCAGATCGCCTCTCTGATAACGCAGTTCAACGCCAAGAACGACGCCGCCTCCAACAGCAACAGCAACAGCAACAGCAACAGCAGCAGCATCCCGAACAGCAACCCCTCCAATACCACAAACCCCTCCCATGCCTCCTCTAATAACCCCTCGTCCGCCACTAATAACCCCCTCACCAACCCCGCCGCCGCCCCGGGCAGCATGGCCATCAACGGCATGGGCAGCATGGGCGGCATCAACGGCATGCACTCCCTCAACATGGGCATCAACGGCATGCACCCGCTCAACATGGGCATGAGTAACATGAACGCCATGGGCGGCATCGGCGGCTCCAGCATGCCCGGCCTCAACTACATGAACGGCAGCGGTCTCGGCAGCAGCAACAGCTTTGGCGCCAAGCCCGTCGGCATGGCCCAGGGCCTCGGCGGAGCGTCCCGCTTGCTCAACTCGTCCAGCTACCTCCCACAGCCAACCGCGTCGATGCAGACTGCCCTGCAAGGACAGCAGCAGCAGCAGCAGCAGCAGCAGCAGCAGCGATCCGCATCCACCAACAGCTCCTCCCCGGCCTCCCCGCCGATCCCCGACCCGGTCTCCAAGACCCTCTCGACCATCCCCCCCGGCGTCCTCGTGGAGTTGCTCGCCAAGCTCAAGCTTGTCCTCTCCACCCCGCAGCCGTCCGCCAACACCTACGCCGACGCCGCAGCCATCCTCAACGAGAACCCGAAGCTCGCTGTTGCCGCCGCCCAGGCCCTGCTGCTCATGGGCGTCGTGGACCTCGACGTCATCTCCCAGGCAAACAGCATACCGAACGGCGTCTCCTCCGCAGCCTCCTCCGCCACAGCCCCCGCTGCAAACCCCTCCACACACAACGCCCCAGCACCACCACCACCCGCTGCTCCTCTCCCTCCCTCCTCCTCCGCTAACGCCCCCGCCCCCGCCCTCCCCGGCGTCGGCCCAAACATACCGCACGAGTGGCTCACGCTTCCACAGCACACCGTCGCCAAGCTCCTCCAGCTCAACGCCCACGAGGCCAGCCTCATCTTCCAGGTGCTCCAGCTGTCCCCGGACCAAATCGCCATCTTGCCTCTCAACGAGCGCAACATGGCCAACCAAATTCGCAGCCAGTACCTCTAGCGGCCCCTCCATCCAGCTAGCCCCACCACCATCCCCCTACCTCCTGCCACCTATCTATATCACCCCCAACAGTAATTCTAATAGTAACAACCCCCACTCTGGCATCTTCAACACCTCCAAATTGCCTATTTGGGAAACGCACCCGTGCACCGCCACTTTCCATTCATGGACGAGTGAAAAGGCCTCTATTCAGACGGAGAAGAAGGCAAAGAGGACGAGAAGGACGAAGAAAGGTGGCCATGACCGGCAGCACACAGCAATGAGCGGCGAGAGAATCAACAACACGTTGCGCAACAACGGCATTGCCGGCGGGGTCTTCTCGTTCTCGCTGAACGACCTGCTGAGCGGGGGCAGCGGCGCCCCGCAGACGGACGGAGGCAGGACGCCGGGAGCAGGGTCGATCCAGTTCACGTCGCTTGGCGACACGATTGCCAGCGCCATCCAGGGCGGCACGGGGGCCGGAGGGCAGCAGGGCGGCGGGCAGGGGCCGGACATCGCCGCCATCATCAACAACATCGTGCAGTCGCTCAACACAGCGGTGACGGACCCGCACGCCAGCCACCGCAGAGCCACGCAGCGGGCGTTGGACGCCCTGACGCCGCTGCGGCTCGACGAGATCCCGGCAGAGGCCCGGGCGTCGAACTGCCCCATCTGCTACGAGCCGTACGTGGAGTATGCCGGCGACGTGGCTGCGGGGGCGTCTGCGGCGGCGCCAGAAGAAGACGCCAGAGAGACGCCGGCCACGCCGGCCACACCGCAGCGGTCTGCCGCAGACGAGGTCCTCGACGGGCCCTGGAAGGGCTACGACCTGTCCGACCCGTCGATCTCCTTTCCGGCGATCGAGACAGCCACGTACCAGCACACGTACTCCCTGGCAGCGGAGCCAGACCTGGGCCTCGAGGCAGAGCTGCCCGCCGCTGATGCGGCAGCACAAACACCAGCCGCCGCCGTCGCCGCTGCCGACGACGACGTCCACTTCGCCGTCAGGCTCCCGCAGTGCAACCACATCTTCGGCAGACCCTGCATCGTTGAGTGGCTCCAGAGCAACGTCTCCTGCCCCCTCTGCCGAAGAGAAATCGTGCCCGAGCTCACAGAGGACACACGGACGGCGACAACGGGCCTGCAACAGCCCGGAGCATCCGGAGGAATGGCCAGCGAACGCACTTACGTCTACGACACGGCCATCACAGAGACCTACGTCCCCGTCGACTGGACGGCGCCGCTGTCGGCAGGCTACGTGCTCTCGGACCCGCCCCTCACCCTGCCCGTTCCAGGCGTCGGCATGTCCTCCGGCCGCAGAACAGGCAGAGACCCGTAACCGTATACCTTCTATACCTTCTATATCTTATCATGACCATAATACCACCATACCACACAGTAAAAGCGCAACATGAATTTCGCTTTTTTCCCGTGAGCCAAACCGGATCGGGACCAGCAGAACAAACCGGGCCAAGCCAGACCTGGGCGGGGGGCTGCTTTTGACGGGGCCGCCACCGCCCCCAGAGGGTTGTAGACAGATTAAGGAACAGTACGGACAACCCCAGCACAACAAGCAATGTCGAGGTACCTCATTGACCCGGAAACAACACATTCCAGCACTCACGACAACAAAATGTCGACTCTTCACGTTACGAAGACGGCGAAACCGAGAGAGGGCCGGGCCGAGCAGATGTACAACGCCCGCAACCACGCCCGACTGGTTGCCGGTGGCATTGTGCTTGATGACGCCCTTGACAAGGTGCTCATGATCTCGTCCTCGAAACACAGAGATCGTTGGATCTTGCCCAAGGGCGGCATCGAGTACGACGAGAAGGAGAACTTTGCCATCACGGCTCTTCGTGAGACGTGGGAGGAGGCCGGTGCCGTCGGCGCCGTGACAAAGAAGCTTCCTGTAGTGGAGGACGCCCGAGACCCGGCAGAACGGGCACAGATGGAGGACATTCCGCTCTGCGAGTTCCACTTCTACCAGATGAAGCTCGTGGAGCTCGACACCGACTGGCCAGAGGCGTCCAACAGGCTGCGCCGGTGGTGCACGTACCAGGAGGCGAAGCACGAGCTCCTCAAGTCGAAGCGGCCCGAGCTTCTCTCGGCGTTGAACGACTCAGACATCGTCAAGGACCACGTCGAGATCTTGCAGTACGATGAGCACTCCAACACGCTCTTGGACACGCAGCTCGACAACGACAATGGCTACGAAAACCTCTGATCGGCCGGCTTTTCCGCTTTTCACTTTCTAGTTCAAGACTATAGATACGTATACTCTCTAAACAGCTCAACGCCGCTCCCGCCGACGAGCACGTACCGGTTCCCGTTGAGCACAACTTTGCACTGCTGGTTCAACATCTTGCTGAAAACCACCACCATGGGCCGGACAAACTGTCCGCTGGCAAACTCTTTCTTCTCCTGGTTCTTCTGGAGTAAGTTTGGTGCCCAGATCACCGTTCGGGCCATCGACTCCCCACCAACCTTCACGAGCCGGAGTTCAGGGAACTCCCAGCCTGTCTTGTCCATCAACCAGATGGCGTCGATGCCGAAGACACCGATATTTTGCACACTGCCCCGGCTCTCATAAAGAAACTTTCCAAGAGAGAGACCCAAGTGATGCAATTGGTTGGGCCCCATGTCGTACGTTCCGTAGGAACTCCGGAGAATTGCCGTGTCCGTAATGTGGGCCGGACCCAACACGTCTCTCTTGAGCATTCGTGTCGAAATGCCCTTCACCGTCTTCTGGTTCCACTTGGATGTGTTTACTACTGTGACCATCTTTAACGCCCTTTCCTTCTTGCCAAACCGCCAGTCGTCGTGGACAGCAGCAGCAGCGTCCTTCTTCCATTTCCCCTTCACCGCACCGTCCAACACAACTTCGAGCACAACGACACCCACGGGCAACACCTCCAACAGCTTTGAAAGAAGCTCCCCATCATGATGGACAACACGGACCCGTTGAAGTCTCTCCAGTCGACCGATCTGGTCCAGTCCAATGTAGCACTGAACTTTTGCCCGTTCCAGGCCGACGTTCATCGACCGGAACAGACCCCAATCTTGCGGGGATACCAGTTCTAACCCATCCTTCGCCAACACGCCAAGCCCAGACCTTGTCAGGGAGAGGTGGAGGGTCACCTTGTGGCATGCATACTCCTTCAGCAATGGGTTCCTTTCGACAAAGCATGTAAATGCCGTCAAGAAGGATACCACGTCCTTGTTGCAGAGCTGCTGCAGAATGAGCACCACAATCTCGACGGGGAGAGTTTCGATAAAGCAATGCATCGTTAGTGTTACTCAGTATTACTCAGTATTACTCACTTAGTTACCCACCTACGTACGCTTTTATAAAAAGACCCTAAGCACAGACGTGCTTCAGCTCCTCGACAAGCTCCGGGGGGAGGGACCCTCCAATGTGCCCATAGACCCTCTCAACAGTCCCTCTAAGGGCATCTCTGAAGAAGACCCTGCGGACGGGGTCGAAGTTCTGCAAGAGCTGTGTGTAACGTAATCTCTCTGCTGTCGGAGGGACATCATTCTCCAGAGCATACTCTTCCTGGTCTTGCTCTTCGGCGTTTTCGTCATACCCGGGCTCGTACGGTTGGAGGTCTGTGTCGTCATACGAGGTCTGCTTATGGTATGCTTTGAGGTCGCCCGAGGGGAGTTCTCTGATCTCTTCGACGAAGCTGAGACTAAGGTCGACAATCCTCTTGAAGAAAAGAACTAGTACGGCAGAAATACCCGTCTCTTTGTCGAGCTTCTCCAACTCATAGTCGAGTTCGTCCAAGTCGTCGATTTTGCTTGGAGGAATGATCACCAAGGATTCCTTCTGCAAACCTTCCACCTGGTAAAGCGAAAGAAGGCCAAGCAAGAATAGCTTCCTTACTTTCGGGTCAAACGAGTTCTTGGCAAACCTGCATAAGTTGCCAAGCAACCTATTCAGCACCGAGGCGTTGCCGATGTTGGAGATCACCAGGATGGGTGTGTCGATTATCATACGCAATAGTGGCAACGACACCTTGATTTCACAGTAAGGGCTGTCAGTGTCTCTGATAAGGTACTCAACGACTTCGGCAAAAAGACCGCTCTTGATAAGGTTCGAGTAAAAGAACTCTTTGTTGCCAGCGTTCTTCTCCAAAATGGCAATTTCCAAGATCGAACTGGTCAAGAAGACGCTGTCGTCTCTCATCGTCTTGAGATAGCCCTTTAGAACCTCAAATATCTTGAAACCTGCCTCGTTGTTGAAGATATCTGCCGAGATCAGAAAGTATGATCTGATGATGCCCAAAATAAGAGGCAAAATTTCTGTCCAGTTGATCAAACAATTGACTAGGATCTCAAGCAAGATAGGGTCAAAGAGTTTTGACGTTGCAGACACTTCTTTGGAAGGTAGCGTTTTCATGATACTGGACCATAACTCCAAACCGTCTTCGCACAATAGACTGTAGTACTCAGATTTAGAGTCGCAGCAGATCGGAATTAGTGGGACCACTATATCATGGATAAGATTGCTGTTTTCGTTCAACGACATGATCAAATCTTTCAAGATTCGCAACAAGGAATTTTTAATTATCATCTCATTTGAATTGTTTGACTTCTGCCACAAGATCGGTACTACGGTGACAATTTCAATGAGAACTTTTTCATCAATCAATGGGTTGGTCCTCTCAAGTAGAAGCGACATGGTGTTTAAAGTAAAGATTTTGGACTCGATTGTCTCCAAAGAGTCTAACACCATCAAAAGATGTTTTACATTTTCGTCGATGAAAGGCCGAAAATCTCCTTTTCTGAACTCCCAATCATCAAGCATATATTTGAGTGTCTGGATAGATGTCAACTTCACAACTTTGTCATTCTCCGGTTCGGATACTAAAGTCAAGAGGAACTTGTAAATTTCTATCCGGACGTTAGGTTCGATTTTCACGTCCAACCACTCGTTTATAATCAAACATACTCTACGTTTGATGAGTTTTGAATTGAGACTATTATCAGTAGATAAGGCCTGTGGAATGAAATACTCTATCAACAATTGGTTAAAGTTGCAACTCTTGGAGATGGAATTCGAACTCAACTCAAAGATAGAAAGGATCGAGTCTTTTGTGATCGAGTCTAACTGCCCAGTATTCAAGTTTTCAATCTTGTTCATGATGAACTGTGAAATAAACTCACTGAAATGGATTGACAAGTCCTGGAAGTAATTCTCTGCGCATTTCCGTATTTGGAATTCCCAGTCCAACGAGGCTTCCTCATTGAACCAATCTTCAGGTTCGTTTTCCCAGTTTTCCAAATCAACAGGCCTAAGCTTAAGGTACCAGTTAGTGATGAGATTTATAAGATTCTCAATCAAGTCTAAACTGAAAAAGCTGGTTTTGAGCAATTCGATCGACTGCTCGATTTCCAGCCTGTCGTTTTTCTGCTTGACAATGTTTGTCCTGTTTTCTTTGAACACATAGTTTGTGATTGTTTTCATGATAATAAATGACTTGATTGCTATTTTCTCCCAGAAGTCCGAGTCATCCGCCTCAATTTCCAGGTTGTAGATCAACGAGGCCTTCTGCTGCAATAGCGAGAGCAATGTCAAAAGGATGTTTTTGCTACAGGATAAAAGAATAAAAGAACATGTTTTGTCACGAACCAAATTGAAATACAGTTTGACGAAGCACTTGATGTATCTTTCGAGTAGATCTAACCTGTTGGACTCGTGCAGTATCAACAATTTTTGGAACTGCTGGATGGATAACTCCATGAACTCTTGCACGTACTTGTCTCTATTCTGGTACTCGTATCCGTCGACTACCAAGCGTCTGATGTTCTTCAAAAACAGGTACCCCACCTCCATGATGGTGACGTCGAAATTGTTGTCTGCCAACCACCTCTCGAAAAACATCGTATAGAACTTGACGAGGTGGGGGAACAAAAGGGGTGCCTTCGCCTGCATCATCATGCGGGCCTTCCCGATCCTCACTGACGCCAAGATCTTCAACACCTGGTTCGAGATAATCATGAGGTTGTTTAACTTCACTATCGTCGTCGGATCGTTCATTTGTGCCGAACACGACTCCAAGATCTGGATGATGTCTTCGAACAACGTCGGCCACTCCACGGGAAAGTCCAGCCTCGAGATCTTCGAGATCAGGTGTGCATTTTGGATTGCCAATTGGTTGTTCGACTCTCCAAGGGTGCTGAAGAGCCTCTTCCGGATTTCCAGCTTCTCCTCCTTCGTTATCGCGTTGATCCGAGTCGGACGCCAGAACCGCTCGACTCCGTTCTTCAAGCAGATCACCGCCAACCATCGAACCTGCAGACTGAGTTGTGTGTCAATGTAGATGCTTTGTAGCAAGTAGTGGAACCCTTTCTCTGCTTCCCAGGCCTTGAGTTGCGACTCTGCGTTCTGCTGCTCGGGGCCTCTCAGCGGCGACGACGCAGCATTGAGCACCTGCAGCAAAGTGTTGTAGTCTAGTCCACCGCTCATAATCCTCCTTGCACTTTCCAATAGTACTCTGCCGGTCCGTCCCGTCCTTGCCAAGCAGAACGGCACCACCAGACCCTCAAACCCTGGCCAGACATGTCACAAAACCCTGAAAACTGCATCTCACCTGCTTTTTCTCCACGCTCGCCGGTCTCTGCGGACGGGTTTCCTCTCTGCTGCCTCTCTTCTCTTCACCTGTTTTCCTCTCCTTCTTCTTCCTTAGTGTTTCTATTCTCCTGGGTTTAAGCGGTTCTGTGCTTCTTTTGTCACGTCCATGTTGCAAGAATCATCTGTCGAGACATACACAAGGGGCTCTTGCCCACACCTTTGGTCTTGGGGAAAGTCTCCGGCACGTTCTTTCAGGCGGCAACGTCAGATGGATCACCACAAATCCATTTCCACACTGGAACCGGTCGACACCAGCACGGAGGCTTCTTAGGTCTCATAGTTTGTTTCTGCCAGCATGGTGACTGTTGCGGCTGCCCCATACCTGGGCCCTTGCATTCAGTTGGACCGTTGGCTGCCGCCTCTGGTGGGAAATAAGGGCTGTGAAACTGTGTTGTCCTGTGTGCACCGTCGGCCCGGTTCTGTTGGACTGTCGGGGGACATTGCTACCTCGGTGCATGTCCCCTTGTTTGAAATCACTCTTTCTTCGAATGGGTGTATTCTGCAAAGCGCCATGTGGCGCTAACGATGGATATGATGATTGTCGTTGACACGCAAGTGTCGACGATAACCCAATGGAGCTCACTTGTAGCATGGACGTCACCCCCTTTTTTCTTCTCCTAGTAGATCACTGTCAAAGGTGTGACACTAAACATTTGCCAAATTCTTTTCTTTCAAGAACGTCTCTTTCTCTAGGATACAGAGGATTTGTATGATGATATGTTTTCTGAGTCAAGCTCAGAGCTCCTTTGCTAAACTTCTTTAAGGAGCACAGACGATACATACAAAATAACTGACACATTTCCCGATCCAAAATTGAAACTTTCTTTTCCATTCAAATCGTAAATTATACCGTAAAAACTATACACAAAAAGGGCCTAAAGCAGGTGGACTGTTGCCTCACTGTTGGTCTGTGGGACTAACAGGGGGAGCAGGAGCAGGAGCAGCATTGCTATCTACATGGATTGCATTGATCAGCAAGTCGTCGTTGGATTGATCGACGGTGATGTCTACCTTGTCGCCCATCTTGACGTCACCCTTCAACATCATTCTACTCATAGGGTTTAGAATCTTTCTCTTGATCAATCTGTTCAAAGGTCTGGCACCGTATCTTGGCTCATAACCGTTCTTCGTCAACCAGTCCTTGGCCTCGTCGGTCAAGCTTAACTCTATACGGCGGTCCACCAATCTGTCCTGCAACTCGTCGATTCTCAAATCGACGATGTTTCTCAAAGCCTCTTTCGACAATTTGTTGAACACAACCACCTCGTCAATTCTGTTGATGAACTCTGGCGAATAGTAGGACTTCATCACGTCCAGGACTTCAGTCTTGTTAGGCTTGTCCTGCAACATCAAATCTTGACCGATGTTGGAAGTCATGATGATCAACGTATTTCTGAAATCAATCTTGTTACCTTGAGAATCGGTCAACTTACCTTCGTCTAAAACCTGTAACAACAATTTGGACACATCCTTGTGTGCCTTTTCGAACTCGTCGAACAACACAACAGAGTATGGTTTTCTTCTCACCTGTTCGGTCAACTCACCACCTTCTTCATATCCGACATATGATGGTGGAGCACCGATCAGTCTCATGATGGAATGCTTCTCCTGGAACTCAGACATATCGAATCTGATGATCGAGTTTTCGTTGTCAAACAAGAAATCAGCAACGGCTTTGGTCAATTCAGTCTTACCGGTACCGGTTGGACCCAAGAACATGAACGAGGCAATAGGTCTTTTTTCGTCGGTCAAACCTGCTCTCTGTAATCTGATTGCATTCGAGATGGATTCAATAGCATCATCTTGGCCAACAACTCTACCTTTCAAGGCCTGTTCCATGTACAACAACTTGTCTTTCTCACCACGCATCATGTTCTGGACAGGGATGCCGGTTGCTTTGGAAATAACTCTAGCGATATCGTCCGAGCTGACGGATTCGTGTAGCATGGACTTGTTTGCCACTGGATCGTCATCGTTTTGCGCGTTTTCTTCTTGGTTCTTGATCAGATCATTCAACTTGTTCTCCAAGGAAGGAATGGTATCATATTGCAATTTGGAGGCCTCACCAAAATTGTTTTCACGTCTCATGACCTCCAAGTTGTTCTTGGACTGTTCGATTTCCAACTTCAATTGCTTGATTCTGTCCAACTCCTTCTTTTGGTCTTCCCATATCTTGGTCAATCTTTCCAACTCGTCTTGCTTGATCTTCAAGGTTTCCTCGAGCTTCTTTCTACGCTGCCCGGAGATTTCGTCGGTTTCTTTTCTCAAACTCTCCAATTCGATTTGGATCGTCATGATTGACCTGTCTAACTCTTGGATCGCATCTGGCTTAGACTCATGCTGTAATCTCAATGCCGAACAGGCTTCATCCACCAAATCAATCGCCTTATCTGGTAGAAATCTGTCCGTGATGTATCTGTTGGAATAGACTGCAGCCGTCACTAAGGCCGAGTCGGTGATTCTGACACCGTGATGGACCTCGTATTTTTCCTTCAAACCTCTCAAGATCGAGATGGCATCCTCCACCGTTGGCTCGTTCACCAAAATTGGCTGAAATCTTCTAGCTAGAGCGACATCTTTCTCAATGTACTTCTTGTATTCGTCGATGGTGGTGGCACCACAGCATTGTAGCTGGCCTCTTGCCAAGGCAGGCTTTAACAGGTTCGATGCGTCAATCGAGCCCTCAGACTTACCCAAGCCTAACAAGATGTGCAACTCATCGATGAACAAAATCGTCGTCTCATTCAACTCGCTCAAGACCGCCTTCAATCTCTCTTCAAACTCACCTCTATACTTGGCGCCTGAGATCAAACTACCGAGGTCCAATGCAATGACTTTCTTGTCCTTCATACTTTCAGGAACCTCTCCCTTGATGATTCTTTGCGCCAAACCTTCCAAGATCGCGGTCTTACCTGTACCGGCGTTACCTATTAGAACTGGGTTGTTTTTGGTACGTCTTGACAATATCTGGATTGTTCTTTTGATTTCCTCATCTCTGCCAATGACAGGGTCTAATTTCCCGTCTTTTGCCATTTCGGTCAAATCGGTGGCATATTTCTTCAACGCTGGTTCCTCCTGCTGGTCCTTGTTCATACGCAGCTCAACAAATTTCGGCGTTGAGGTGTGAAATGACCTGCACACGCTGAAACCTGTTCCGGGGGAAGTGAAAAGATTTCTGCCCTGTCCTGGCACGCTACTGTGTGCATGCTTAGCCGAAGCGCCACCATGCAACAACGGAGAGCGGTTGGTGAATGTGGATAGGGGCTGAATGTTTGCCTTCGTGAACCCTAACAACTTTTTCGAGTTGTTCGCCACAAGCAAACGGCATGTTGATCTTTGTAACATGTTCTATATCTATGTCTATGTCAACGTCTTTGTCTCTTCAAGGGATTGTTGCCGAGAAGGAGGCCTTTCACAGGAGAAAATAGGACAAGACAAGAAATAGATGAGCGGAGATACCGCAGGCAAAACGGAGAGTTAGACGGCTCGTTATATAGCTGCAGAAATAACAATAACCTGACTATCCGGTGACTACCTTCTTCATCATCTTCTCCTCCTCAGTATGGCAAACTCCGAAAACAGCCAGTCTGAGGGAAAAGGCGAGAAGCTTCTAGAAGGAAAGAGTAAGGAAAGGCCGGAAAAAAGCTTACATAAGCAGTTTTTAATTTTTTTTTAATTTTTTAATTTTTCAATTTTTCAATTTTTTTCAATTTTTTTTTGATTTTTTTTGATTTTTTTCTGGAATTTTTCATTTTTTTGGGAATTTAAATTTTTTTTTTTCATTTTCCTGCATTTTATTTTATTTTTATTATTATTATCAGAATTCCTCTGCCTTTTCTGCTGAAACAACCATTTTATTAATTTATTTTATTGCTTTATTTCCATTTCGTTTGTTCTGGGCAAGTTGGTTCGACGTCTGTAGTGTGTCAACCTGTCAACCTCGTTTGGGTCTTGTTTGTCTGTTTCCAAGCTGTCAAGCACTCTGTAATTGTTCTACGTTTGGATTTTGAGGCATTATCTGTCGTGTCCAGCCAGCAGAGGTAACGCCATCGCCATGTCTTACTTTACTCGCAGCAAGAGAGATGCCAGCAGCATCGCACCTACAATGGCCGAAGAACCCCTCAAGAGGGTGAAGGTGGAAAAGAAACCGAAGAAGGACGACATAGAGAAGGACGTGAAGAAGGAGAGAATGGAACAGGAGAGAAAGGAGAGAAAGGAAAGAGAGATGAAGCAGAAGATCGAGAAGATCGAGAAGAGGGAAAAGAAGGCAAAGAGAGAGAAGGAGAAGGAGAAGGAGAGGAAGGAGAAGAGGATGAAGCGGGAGAAGAGGGAACTGGACAAGGAGAGGGAGAGACGGGAGAAGAAGGAGAGGAAAGCCAAGGAGAAGGAGAAGGAGAAGGAGAAGTCCAGCTCGTACTCGCTGTTTGGCGAAGACTCACCTTTGGAAAACATCAACAACTTCCAGCTCTTGCCGTCCAACCACGAGAAGCCGTACGACTTGAACCACGACTTGAAGTTCCAGCGTCAGCTCAGACTCATCCAATTGAGCAACGCCCACCTGTCCAGCATGGCGCACCCTGACTTCGACTCGCCTGCATCCTTCGAGGAGTCGGACCTCGACTTAGAGGACGACTTGGAGGATGAAGACGACCCGCTCTTTGATCGGTCTTTTGAAGAGATGGACCTCACCCCGCACTTTGACATGGACTTTGAACTAGACGGCGACCTCGACTCCGACTACAACGTCAACTTCACGCCGAACGAGAGGTCCAGCTCCCCGTTGTCCGACATCGACTCTTCGTTCCCGAACGACAGGTTCAATGTCGCCATCCCGATCATCGACGACGTGAAGACCGGTATATCCCAGGTGGACAATATCATCGACCAGTTCAAGTTCGTGCCAAACTACGCCGACACCCACTCTGGCTCTGAGTCCAGCTCCATCGACCACGTCTCCAACGACAAGACCTTCGAAGGCGGCAATGCCGGCACTGATAACAACAATAACAACGCTCTTGCGATGAGCAATAATGGTGAGCTCGTCTCTGCAGATGCTCACAAAGACAGTTTTGCAAATAATAACGAATTCAATGAAAACAATAACACTTCTAATAACCACAACCAAACAAATACCCCAAGTCTTTCTCTTAACCTCAAGCTAAGTATTCCAACTTCTGCTGCTCCAACAAACGACTCAAACATTCTTCTCTCACCATCTTCTTCGTTCAACCTGCTGAATTTGTCGGATAGAGCTCCAAACTCCAGGAAGCAGCAGACTCCGACGTCATTTTCATCCTCCTCACTCTTTAATTCTAGCGCATCTGCAGCATCCCACCCGCCCCCAATTGTGTTGTCAGAGTTCCTCAACTTTGAGCTCCCACAACAGCAACTTTCTGCATCTGTCTCTTCTTCAAACAACTCACTTACATCAGCACCAACACCTGCAGCCGCAAAACTTTCATTTGAGTACAGACACAACAACAGAAAAATCAACTTGGCATTGACCAAGGAGCCTGAACTGTACCGTAATTGCAGACAACCATACAAGAGTGCCCTCAACAGACTTGCACTCTGGTCTGGCAAAGCGCAAGAAATGGTTCTCGACAGGTCCTTACCAATGGATGAGTTCATCATCTGAATTCACTTACCGCTTCGTTCTATTCTTTTTTCCTCTTTTACATTAGAGTTCTTTGACATTCCAACTGTCATAGTCCTTTTGGCTGTGCGATCTTAGGCCTACCGTGATACTCTCCTTAATTACTCCTGTCCTATAACTCTTTCCATACATATGTCTATCTGTATAGTCGTATATATCTCGATATCATTACTATATATCTTAGTTATTTCTTCTCAACTCATCTTTCACAGACGTGATGACATAAGCGCCCCCCGCTTGATTACTGCTTCCAGGGCCAATCTTCACCATCTTGATAAGCTTTGGCTGCTTTACTTTTGCGTATCCATTTGAACTACCAGCATCTAACTAAAGACACACAGACCAGCAGGAAGGTAAAAATGCAGGCCGACTCACAATTGAAATTATTGATAAGGACGTCCAAGGCTAAACTTGAGTTCAAAGTAACCAAATCTAGGGCCCTTTCCTCCCACACAATACAGACGACAGTTATCCCTGAACTTCGGAGTCTTGCAACCATTCCCAATGACTCTAGGCCGTTTGAGAGGGGACTAGATATTCTTAACATGAAACTGGCACAGATGGTGAGAAATGACAGAGCGGCAGATGTTTGGGAAGACCTCATCGGTGAATTGTCCGTTTTAGAGAATTCCCTCCATCAACTGGTAAGCATGATGGAGGAGCAACGTGAGTTGGCAGTACAGAGGCAATCACAGCAAAGGAAAGTTAGACATGGATCAACACAAAGCAATTTGGGGAAGGGTTGGTCGTTTTTAGGTTTCACCTTTACTGGAAACTCGCAGACCAAAAATGGAGAAGAACCTGGTGTCGAGAAACCGAGTGAAGGACCAACTGAAGAGACTCACGAGTCTATGGACAGAGTAACCAAGGTCGTGAGAAATGTCGTCGTAGCACAAGACTATTTGTCCGACGATATTAAGGAGCTACACAAGTTAGCCCTGGCATTATCCAAATGTATAGATAAGTCAGAAGTGTTGGCGCATTCCCCGGATACCAAAGAAAAACTCCCTGCAGATGCCATCACCGATTTAGAAGATAGGATATATGTGGAAATTGTGAGAAAGCTTAGAGGTGATGACGAGGAAACAGTTGTGACCGATTATATGCATGAGTTGTGTGACATTTATAAAATTGATCTTTACAGCGAAGATAAATACAAGGAAGATGTGAATGAAGATGACGGGGAAAACGGTGACAACGCCGAGGGCAGTAACGAGAACCAACCGGTCAGACCACAGGTGAAGAAAAAGCTGGATGATTTGGACGACTTGAAGGAACGTTTTGAGGCTTTGAAAAAGTCCTAATACCACAATGTATTTAATTTATAAACTTAACTTTTCTCTTTACAAGACTATATACAACGTTATCTGAGGACTATTCCCATATTATACAACACAAAACTAAATGCACTCAAAGCTAGCTCGTAAGCCAAAAGTACGAACATGCTTTCAATGATGCCGGCATCTATAGTGTTGAATGTCAAGTTGATGAGCCCTGTAAGCAAGTTTGAAACAAGGAACAATACAAGACTGTTAGTGTTGACGGCCGTTAAGGAGGCTGGAACATGTCCATTGCAGACAATGTCATCGATGTCTGTCTCTAATTCAATATCATCTTCCGAGGACTGGGCTACTATTTCGACATCTGCACCACCCCAAACCAGCTTCTCTATGAGACCGTACAAGAACAAGAAGGAACAATTGTATGCACTCACCCATATAACGTAGAGTAAATTGGCCATACGTCGAGAAACTGAGTAAATGTAGCACGTATCGATAATGTAATAAGCCAGCTGGAACACAACTGATAGTATAAACATTGCTTTCAAAGGAGAAAGTCCAACTTTACCTTTATTCTTAATATAAACTTTGATCAAAGACTCTCTGCTGATTCCCAGACTGAACACCGAGTTTGGAATAGAGACGATGGGTAAAATGGAAGATCCAAGGGCCAAGCCGTTAAGAAATATAGGGAAATAACCAAAGAGTGAAAGTATCCCCTCTCTGTTTGCACTGAAAATTGTGGTTCTTGGGCTGGAAATGATATATCCAAGAAGCCCTTGTCCGACTAGCAAATATTCATAGATGATTGAGATGATAATACTTGTCAGAAATGGTGAGATTTTGATGATGATTGGAGAAAGCACAGCATTCAAGATTGGAATACATGCTAAAGTAAAAAAGAAATTCCAATGCTGGCCATACTCTGTAACATGCTCGTGATAATCAACTGATTTGACGCTAACAAGACGGACTAGTCCCAGAGCAAAAATAGGAAGAGAGTTTTTGATACTTTTGGAAACGGTCCGTGAATAGCTGTACTTCGACTCAAATAACTGGCGTAAAAATGATCTTTCACTGATCAATCCCATACTGAACACAAATGAGCCGACACCCAAGTCCATCAAACTGGTTCCCCATGTTTCGACTTTACCAAATCTACGTGGAAAAATTTGAAAGTCAACTGCCATGATACATACACATGTGATGACCATCATTTGAGCCCGATAAACTGTAATGAAAGTCTTGAAAGGTATAAACTGCTTGACCGTTAGTGTTTTCAAGTTCACAACAGCTTTCCTTGTCTCTTTAACTGCTTTCTTGCCATCCTTTTTACTAGTTGGAGACGAAAAAAGAACGACAGGTATCAATGGCAAGATGTTTAAAACAATCAATAAAGGGATGTTGTTGGCATAGATTGTAGTCGACAAAAGTAAATTGTTCCAATTGAGCAAAAAGTCAATCATTACAGAAATTGAAGATGCATTCTGTTTGCTGTTTTCGAACAATGTTGTCTTCTTTTTAAGAACACACCATACTAGGTAAGATAGCGCTGAGATAGACGTTACCCTGTAAATATCCAAAGTACTGCCTCCGACAAGGTCTGATACAAATTGGGTCTTTCTTTCTTTATGGGACATCCTCGTACTATCGCTGTATACTTGTACAGATTGCTCTGGTAGCGGCCGCCTCCTAATCTAGTGTATTCTCGTGAAGAGTCTTGGTGTCAAATCTGTTGATGATATATTTATTTACGCGGGCGGACACACAATACTCATCACCTCTTCAAAGCAAGGTAGATTACACCCTATACCCTGCGACTCAATACAGGTCTCATTTAGGAGACCACTTTACTTTCTACATCATTTTCATTAAAAGGACAATCCTTCACTCCTCCGTACGCAATGGATTCTGTTGAACAACAACAGGAGGATGAGTGGGAGGCAATACAAGCCATTTATCCAGACATTTTACTAGACCTAACGCCTAAAGAAAGTGCTTGGAATAAGAAACCACCACATAAATTCAGTCTTCATGTATCATCTGATACCTCAGATCAAAAGGTATGTTCATTAGATCTTGAGATTGAATTCACAGCCACATATCCTCTTTCTCCACCATTATATCGACTTACAAATGTCCAAAATATAATGGATTCACAATTGAGTAGGATAAAAGAAAAGTGCAAACAACTCCTGAAGGAATACAAGGGCCAGCCAATTGTTTTCATACTATACAGTGAAATATTTGAATATTTGAGTGAAATTAAAAGTAGTATAAAGAATGAGTCTTTGGAAGACGAACGAAAAAGAAGAATTATGAATGAGCAACTGGAACTTGAAAAAATGCAGCAACAGGAGCAAGAAGAACTGGAGATCCAGAGGGAGAAGGAGCAGGAATTACTGGACGAAATGGTTGAGATGGAGATGAAGAGGCGATATCAGAGTGGCAACGACAATTTCCAAGAGTTTATGGAATCATATACCGACAATAAACCCGATTTTGACCAAACCAGTGAGTTGCCTCCATCACAATTCGAAAGCAACAAGACATTATCTGAGGATCATTTGATACCCAACACTGATATAGGAATGAACTGTTTTCTTTTTGATAAACCAATCACCATTCAACTAAGCTGGATCAACTTCAAATTCAGAGCAATCACAGGTTTTGTCCCAATTGAGCCCAATGGCCTATTGAAAGACATTTCTAAGCAATATCTGGTAAAGCCATATATTAAAGAGGACACTCCAACTTTTCGAGCAATCACCGATGCTTTAAATGAGAGCAAACAATTTAGTGTTGGTCGAAAATACGGGAAGAATAAAAAGGGTTATGAAAAGGATTTGCAATATCTGTTGACTGAAGTTGAACTAAATAATCCATTTTGGAAAGGAAGCCAGGGCAAGAAGTCCATACTAACGTTAGAGAAAGAGCTACAAGCCGTTTGTGATTTGAAACAGGACGATGTCATTGCTTTTCATATAGAGAAGAAAGAAATTTTGTCAAATGGAGAAGAATCGCTACATAACTCAGCAGCAAAGAAAATCAGTAAAAAGATGAATTTGAAGAATGAAACAGAGAAGCTTTGTATTTGGAAAGTTAGGATTTTGTCTAAATATTCTGATACTTTAGGCGACTTGCTGCAGTCTATTTCTTACGTTAACATAAATACTGCAAGAGAATGGACAATACAATTGTTGGAAAATCTAGAATATTTACACAAGCAAGGTCTTATCCACAGATGCATCACTCTAGACTCGGTTTCAATCAACCAACCAGAATCAACAGAGTCGACTAGCGTGAAATTGAATAGTATAACATACGGCTACACGCTTATGAGCATGTTATATAATTATCCAAATTTGAATCAATCTGACAATGAAGACCTTCTACCATTTGCTGAGAGTGGGTGGATTGCACCTGAAAGAGTCAACTCTAAAAACAATCTTCTATATACAAAGCCTCAGCGGAAAACAGATGTTTGGGATTTAGGTGTTATTGTGCTACAGATGATATTGGGTACAGACATTGTATATGAGTTTCAAAATCCAACAGATTTCTTTACTCATTGTTCTGGCTTGGATGATGGGATCTACCAGTTTTTAGATAGCATTTTTGAGTTCAAAACTAAAAAAAGACCTGACCCGCTAGAGCTTTTGCCTTCTAAATTTTTGAGATTATCATCGCATACATCTCCATTAGAAACTTTATTGAACAAAACTTCATCAATGACACGGAATGATCCATCTTATAACAACAACAGTAATGGTGGAATGGAAACTTCTACTGCAACACTTATTCATAACAGTAGCAATGGAAACTCACTGATTCCTAATCGAAGGCTGAAGAGGGAGTCTTTTGGTTTATCCACCTTCGCTCCTAAGTTTTACTCTAGATATGCTCAAGATTTCGAAGAAGTCTGCGTTTTAGGAAAAGGTGGGTTTGGTGAGGTTGTTAAGGCCAGAAACAGACTTGATGGTAGGTTTTATGCAATCAAAAAGATCAGACACACGGAAGATAAACTTTCGAAAATTTTGAACGAGGTCATGTTATTGGCAAGATTAAATCATCAGTACGTGGTCCGATATTTTGCTGCTTGGCTAGAGGATGATCACGATTTTGGTTCTTCTGCTATTGACTCGAGTGATGATGAGTTTGATTCTAAAGATGAAGAAGACAGCTACGATGATAGTGACAGCGATCTTCCCTCTTTCAGCGATACTAGAACAAACAGTCAAAGCTTCACGGATTTTATTTCTGGCTCACATAATCAATCTATCGATTTTACATTCTCAGATGATGATTCGGATATTGAAGAGGTACCTAGTAAAAGTGATTCAGAAGATGACAATGTAAATGACGGAGACGAGGAAGAAGATTGTACTGATGACCCTTTTGAGTTTGGTACTCCAGAAGCTACAGATCGACCAAGCAAAACATTGAAAAATAAAAAGAAAAGCAAGAAACGATCTGTTTTATTTATTCAAATGGAGTATTGTGAGAATAGAACTCTTTTTGATTTGATTCGTCAAGGGTTGCCAAACGATGCTGACAATTATTGGAGAATTCTGAGGCAGATATTGGAAGCATTGGCTCATATACATGCTCAGGGAATAATCCATAGAGATTTGAAACCCATGAACATTTTCATTGATGAGAACCAGAATGTTAAAATCGGTGACTTTGGATTGGCTAAAAATGTCCACAACTTATCAGCTATGAATACATCACCTAATAAATTGGAATTCCATAAATCCGCAGAAGAGTTGACTTCAGAAATTGGTACTACTCTATACGTGGCTGATGAAGTCCTTAATGGAAATGGTAACTATAATGAGAAGGTGGATTTATATTCTTTGGGTATTATATTTTTTGAAATGATTTATCAGTTAGGCACAGCCATGGAAAGATATACAGCTATCAGGAATTTACGAACACCTTCAATTGTTTTTCCTTCTGATTTTGACAGCAAAAGATTAAATACTGAAAAGAAAATCGTCAAAATGCTGCTTGATCATGATCCAGACAAGAGACCATCTGCTCAAGAGTTGCTAAGCAGTGGATTAATTCGTGTCCAGCAACAAGACGATTTGATGAAAGAAGCCCTAAATGCTTTGGTAGATCCTTCTTCAGCGTGGAATCATCAAGCACGAAATATACTATTTTCACAACCATATAGCTTTGCAAAAGATTTGTTGTTCGGGGATAATATAAAAACCCCTGACGTTAAGGACATTCTACTACACGAGAAAATTGTGCATGAACTAGAGAACATCTTCAAAAATCATGCGGCGGTTAACTTCAATGATACCAGTGGGAAAATAATTCCGAAGAACCCCTTGTATGATTCAAATTATATGCTTTACCAAGTTTTGGACAGATCCGGTTCGGTGTTACAATTACCATATGATTTAACTTTACCATTTGCAAGGTTACTAGGAAGAACCAAAATAAAAGCTCACAAAGTTTATCGTATTGATTGTGTGTATAGATCGAACGAGAAAGATGAGAGTGCAGGTCCTTTGAAATTCAAAGAAATTGACTTTGATATTGTTACCAATGCGAACGATCCAGTTGATTATTTACCATTTTATGACGCAGAATGTATCAGGGTAGGAGCTGAAATTGTTAACATTTTTCCATTCTTGAAAACACAAAATGTGAAAATTTTGTTGAATCATTGCGGCTTGATGGAAACCGTTCTTGAGTACTGCGGTATTGAAACAGCTCAAATTCAAATAGTTTCAAGGATTCTTTCTGAGGTCGGATTTACTAAAAATATGAAAGAAGCAAAAACAATTTTGAAGCAAGAGTTGAATATCTCAAGCACCGTATTGAATGAGCTGGTCCAATTTGATTTTAGTAATAATATTTCAAGCTGTACTACGAAGCTAACAAAACTCATGCTAGACAGTCCCTTGTTGACTCGTGTAGATACTGCTTTAAATTATCTAGGCAAAGTGATCAGCTATCTTGAAAAATTTGAAGTAGACATTACGGTTGAGATCAATCCATTTTGTGGATATAATGCACATTTTTACAAAAGTGGTTTGATGTTTGTAATTGTTCATGAAGAGAAGTTCAAGTCCGTCATTGGGGCAGGTGGTAGATATGGTGGATTGATCACTGAATTGGCTAGAAATAAGAGTCCAAAAAGTTTACCAAATGCTGTCGGATTAAGAGTTGCGTGGGATTTTCTTTTCAATTCTATGAAAAAATATCAAGAGATTTTCAATAATGGTGATAAAATGTCAAAGGTTGCTAACAAATTTCAAAAAGTTAAAAAGTCGTCTGTCGATTGGATGACACAAAAGTGTGATGTTTTGATTGGAATTTTCACAACCAATCTTTTGAAAGAAGTGGTTCCTTATTTACTTAACGAATTATGGAGGGCTGGAATAAGCGCTGATGTTATAAAAAACAAGCTCAGTTTGGAAGACATGGTCAACCAGGCTCAGGATGATAATGTCAAGTTGGTGTTGTTTATTAAGGCACAAACCACACTTAGCGCTTTACAGAGAGAAAAACCAAGCAAATATAAACCAATGAGGCTAAGAAATTTGGACACGAAAACCGATATTGAGCTGGACATGTTTGAGTTGATATCTGTAATTAAGTGTGAAAGAAACAGTATAAATTCGAGTGGGGACGAGAATTTACAGGAGCATCCAAGGTCTACGGCAATGGCAACAACCAACACCAACAATAGTTTTGGTGACCACGCACATATGAATACGCTGGAAGAAAACCACAAGTTTATAGTAGTGCCAAACAATGCAGTTAATGCCAACAAAAAGAGCAACAAGAGAGATAATTGGAGCATCGAGGAAGATGCTAAAAAGGCCACATCGGATTTGCTTGGCCAAATGTCTAATGTTTCTGTTCTTATCATTGAAACTAAAGAAGAAGTATTAGACATGATTGCAATAACGTCCATCCATCAGGCAGATGAATGGAAACGTAGGGTGGGAGGTATTGCAAGAGACACTCCACGTAGCTTTATCACCAACATCTATAATGCGTTGATTAAAGAAGCTTCTCGTGGTGTGAGGTGGGCCATTGTTTACGGCGGACATAAAACAGACAAAGTGTGTGTTGTGGATCTACAGAGATGATTTTGACATTAGAATATTCATCATAAGTGTGTATATACTTTATTTATTTATATAGGGAAAGGGTTTATTTTCCTTGATTTTCGTGACATTAGTCTGGGATTCCCTAAAAAGGAAATTTAGCCGTCGGGTAAATTGATGAATCGAGGAGGAGCTAAGAGGGTCAACATAGCTTCCTTTTATGAGTGCCTACAAATACACCAGGTAATGCTAATGAACTGCATAACAAGCAACACCGTTAGTAATAAAAATGTCTGAAACTGGAGAAGTTCGAGCTGTGGTTCCATTAGAGTCCAACCCCGAAGTTTTCACCGATTTTGCCCACAAATTAGGTTTGTCACCTTTATTAGAGTTTACCGACATATTTTCACTGGATGATCCAGACATGCTGGCCTTCTTGCCCAGACCAGTTCAGGCTATAATCCTTCTCTTTCCAGTTACACAAGCTTATGAAGAATTTAAGAATGCAGAATCTGTAGAAGAGTTGAGTAGTGATAAAGTGATCTGGATGAAACAAATAGTCAAAAACGCATGTGGACTATATGCGCTATTACACGTTCTTTTGAATATACAAGATGGCCTAATAGTTCAGCAATCTGCTGTTGCAAATTTCCGGCGAAATCTACTTCACGGAAATGCTAATCCCGTTACATTGGTTCAAAACATCGCAAAAGAGCTGTATACCAACTACAGTCAACAAGGGCAAACAGAGGCACCTCCCGCTGAAGAAAACGTGGAATTACATTTTGTTTGTTTCGTGAAGAGACCGGATGGGATTTACGAACTTGACGGGAGGAGGAATGGTCCGATATTGCTGAAAAAGACAACAGATGAAAACGGTGATATTTTAAGTGATGACTGCATCAATCATCGGGTGAAAAAATACATGTCTCTTGTTAGCGGAGAGAATGCACTCAATTTTGCAATGATGGGATTAGCTCCTTCGATGAATTGATAATCTATTTGTACAGAACTATTTAGCTTTATGTATTTTATGTAGCTAAGGTGACGGTGTCATTTTACGTTTCTTTTTCTGATCAACCTCTTGTTTCAATTTCTTTTTAGCGCCTTTGGCAGCTTTACTCTCATCATCACTGTTGTCTACTTCTTCCTCATCAACAAAGAAGAGCCTCTCTAATTTACGTCCTTGTTTTTCAAATATGTCTCTTTGCATCCCCAATTTTCCGTACTCAATTTTCATGTTGTCTGATGCAAAGAGAATTTCAATATTTGCCGCATTGGCTTTGGCAAACTCCGATAATGGCTTCCCAAAAATATTTGACTTGATTTCTAAAGGTATTTCTAGATCTTCATATAATATGGACTGAGTAGACTTGTTTGATCTCGGAGAAGATGGTGGCGAAGGTACGTAAATCCCGCTTTCAATCAGATCTTCCTTTGTATATGGATTTTCCAATCTTTCGTAAACGGATTTTGAACATGTGAATGATTTGTATCTTTGAGAAAAGTGAGTAAGGATGATTTTTTTAGCCATCATTAATATACCGACCTGAACAGCTTCAGAAGTTGTTGAATGTCTTTTATCCACTGCATCTTTGAACTTTTCGTCCTCAAGAGTAGATTCGTGGATCAAGAGGTCTGAGTCTTCACCGATGTATGCAAATGCAGACTTCGGACGAGTGTCTCCAGAGTAAGAAACCTTGAAAATGTTAGACTCATCGGTGTTATCACTCCCCATGTCCAACTTGAATGTCATACTGCAAGAATAGGCATATTCACAATGGTGTGCGGAACAGGTAGTTATATTTCTAATCCCCAAATTCTGGTAGATGAAGTTAGCAGTGTCTTCATTTTTTGTGTACTCGATTTCCCTGGCAGAGATCGAACCAATTTCTCCGGTCTCAATGGTTTCAATCTCAATTTGTTCTAATGATGGAGCAGTATAGCCAAGCATAAACTCATCGCAAGAAATATGACAAAGATAATTGGTGTCGATAAATGGATCCACACGATTTAATTCGCCCATGAACAAGTCATATTGCCATGGTGTAAGAACAAAAAGCTTTTGAAATCTCTTTTCCGCTCCGTATCTTTCAATCTGCCTATTGTTCCATTCTCTGATAAAATCAATGATCCCCAAATGGTGGTCAGCATGTAAATGTGAAAGGTAAATCATTGAAAGCTCGTCCATAATCATATTGAACTCCCCTGGTTGATAGAGTCTGCGTAGTGATCCCAATGAATTTTCACCAGCATCTAGCACTATCGTACGGAAACCTGTTGTACCATCTGCTGCTTTGAATGGTATACGCACAAGGTTACACAAAACATTTCTGAGAGTGGAGGGCAAAGCTGAACCAGTTCCTAGTACAAGGGTCTCGACTTGGTCTTTTAAGCTTCTAGAAACATCAACAAACTTGTTTAAACTCTCAGCCGAATTCCTGTTGTGCAACATTTCACCAAATTCCTTTTTTGAAACAACGTAGTCAAAATCGATAGGCTCAATTTCTTCATCGTAAATAGACTTGGCTGCCTCGGGGGTATACATTGACACTTCTGATCCTTGTTTTGAAGATTCATCTAAAACCGTACCTGTTGTACTTTTCATGACCAATTTTTGGCCTGATATCAAAGGTAACACATTAACTTGACTGTCCGAAATTTTCAGTACGGAATCATTGGACCATTTTGGAAGAGGAAAGAACTCCGGAAGTAACGATTTCCACTTCAGAGAAACTCTAAAAGTTTTGAAGAAGTTCAAAGAGTCGGGGCAGTAGGATTTGTGACTAATGAAATGAGTCGTGGATGGACCAAATGACTTAATGAAGTTTGTATAATCCGGATTTGATAATGGATCTGCTACGGAATCGTCAATGAAGTGGAAAACAGAAGCGTAAGGTAAGCCATTTGGAGAGTTTCCACGCCAGTCATAAGATATAGTATTTTGTAAGTATTCAGTGGAAGGTATATCCAATACGAGTAATGGATTAAAGTGCCTTGTTGGCTCTAGTACTTGTTCGGGATTGATGACTGTCCCGTCGGAAAGAGTGACAGATTTGAAACTGCATAGCTTTTTGTAATGCTGTACTTCACATCCTAGATTCTTTGCCTCATTTACCAGAAATTTCCCTCTCACAGAGTTAGGGGTGATTATCCAATTTGTTGATCTTTTAGGGTTAACTATGGATTTTGGTAGTGTGACGTTTGTGATTTTCTTTTCGTTATACACAGGTTTTGCAGAGTTGGCTGGAACGGGGAAGATTTTTTTCATAAGCTCGTTCAATTTGGCATGGTCTTCAGCTTTCCCATCGTTTGTACCATAGTGAGTGCACGAATTGATATTGATTGGGGTATACCGAATATTACTGTGCTCAACCGATACGTCTGTATCATCTGCTTTCAAGTTCATTCCAAATCTGAAAATAAAGTATCTCCAACAAGATATCATATACTGAAGAATCCTGTTACCACTATGATATAAGTTCAAGGATTTGACGCCCTGATCACTGACGGTCAAAATCAAGCCTGGCAGACCAGCCAAAGACTCCCAATCGAGTATACCGGAGAAGAATATATTCGTTAATCTGCTGGTTTTCAAATGCATTTCATTGCATTTTCTCTGTAGTCCGGAAGGAACATTTCCGATAATCGTTCTATCACCAGTTGACCTATCTTCGATGATTATCGACGGCTTGACGATGTCTGCAGACGGATGAGTCACGACAGAAACTTCGTAAGACATCCCCTGGTTTCTTGATTTCGAACTGTTCCTTGATGTGGTTGTAGATAAATGACGTCGAACGTGTGAGGAGTCTGCTATAACCCGAGTGACCCGAGCTGACAAAAGTTGGAACGACGACAAAGTGGAAAGTCACTAGTAGAAAAACGTGAAGAGAACAAATTAGAAATGATAATGGATTAGCGGCAAAAGTATGTGTGTTTGAGTCGTCTAAGGCGACAGATGCAGATCTCCAATGCTTCTTGTAGCTCGTCTATGAACCCCCCCGCCGGATTCCTACAAACTTTCCTTCCCCAGTAAAAGATATCATGGTCGGATAGAGATGCTTGAAAAACGGACAAGCGTTAGGATCATAGAGTTTGATCCAGCTACAGCATACAGCAAATTACACAATTTACAATCGTAAGGCTTTACGAGCCACATAATTTTACCCAAGTGAGCTTCTACAGCGCCGCAATTGATACTTCCCGTGCTTCATTCTTGTCGAGTAGTCTCCAATGCTTTCCTTACTTGTCTGTTGAGCTCTCTTTTCCGTGGAGTCCCTAAAATTCTTTTAACTCGAATTTCAATTTTTTTGGTATTTTTTTTTTTCAGAAAAAATTTTAAATTTTTTGATTTTTTTTTTCAGCTCAAATTCATGGACAAAGAGATGAAGAAGGAGAAGAAGAACGAAATATTAAGATCTATTCTGAAGGGTTTTTCTTATAGACAACAACACCAAATATCTACGAGCAATGCCACCTAAGAGAAGAAGAGAGGATCCAGATGCTAAAGAGCAGAAATCGTTGCTTTCCTCGGCAGCAGAAATTGCTTTCCCCAGAGGTGGTGCTTCCATCTTGACACCTATGGAGATGAAAGAAGTTGCAAATGAAGCAAAGAGGGATGTTCTTTTCGAACAGAAAAGTAAATCTGAGGCTAGTGAAACTGTTTCGGAACAACCTTTGAAGAAGAGATCGAGAGGGAATAAGAAATCGAAATCTTTGAACCTTTTATCTAAAGATGAACAAGAAGAGGAAGACGCCAAAAAAAGTATCACTGTTGATTCTCTTTCGTACAACATCTTGAATCCTGGATCATACATTTTGGGTATGGTCCAAGAAATAAATAAAATGGAACTTGTTCTTTCCTTACCAGACAATCTTGTTGGTTATGTTCCAATCACCAACATCTGTGCGGAACTCGTCAAACTACTAGAAGAATTTGATGACCAAGAAGAATCTGACAGTGAGAGCGACAGTGAGAGTGATAGTGGCGACGAAGAAAAGGATGGCAGGATAAGCAAGAATGCAAAACAGGTGAAGGAATTCCCGCTTCTTTCTGATAGATTCACAGTTGGCCAGTACTTAAGAGCGAAGGTTGTTCCTAATACCAACGAAAAAGCAAAGAAGAGAATCGAACTTTCTATAGAGCCAGAGAAGGTCAATGCACCTATGGACACCAAGGAAGATTTTATTGCTGATGCGATTGTCCAAGCTTCAGTTGTCTCCTTGGAAGATCATGGTGCGATTTTAAAGTTTGGCAAGAAGCAGAAGCTGTCTGGTTTTATATCCAAGAAAGAGCTTTCCTCTTTTTCTCCAAATGTACAGATTGGTTCTGTCATCATGGTGTATATTTCAAATGTGAACCCAAGAACCGCCACATGCAAGTTCCCTGTTGCCGTCGTCAAGAAGCAACCAATGGTTTCATCCGTTTCCACAATCGATGGAATTCTTCCAGGTATGCTTGTCGATGCAGTCGTTGAGGACGTCACGTCAGATGGGTTGGTCTGCAAGTCTCATTCGCTATGTCCAGCATCTTTATCTCTACAACATTTGGGCCCTCTTCAAACCTTCGAAGAGCTGAAACACAACTATGCTGTTGGATCAACGATCAAGGCAAGGGTTATTGCCGTCTACATGAAAAACGGCACTACAAAGGTATCATTATCCGCTTTACCAGTTCATCAGACTCTCACATATCCAGGAAAAGACGCTCTTGAGGCCTTCCCTATTGGCCATGTTTTTGATAGTGTCACAATTAAAGGTAAGAGCTCAATTTTCTTCTTCATTGATTTGATGTCAGGTGAGATCCCTGGTGAAGTCCATAAATCAAGAGTTTCGAAAGGTACTGACTTGGATATGGATTTCAAAATTGGTTCCACACACAAAGCTAGATTACTCAACTACTCAATGTTTGACAATTTGTACATTTTAACCCTAGATCAAGTGAAAATTGATGTGACTTACTTGAGAGCGAACGATATTCCAGTTGGTCACAAAATAACATGTGAGATTGAAAAGGTATCTGCTTCTGGAATAACAGTGAAACTTGAAAATGATTTCAAAGCAACTGTGCCGGCATTCCAAATAAGTGACATCAAACTAGTCTATCCAGAAAGAAAGTTCAAAATAGGTTCAAAAGTTAAAGCAAGAATTTTAGATGTTAGACCATTTAATTCGGGTGCTTCACTATCAGCGACGCTAAAAAGATCTCTGGTAAACGCAGAAGAGTCTGATATTGTAACATCTTATGATGATTTAACTCCTGAAAAGCGTGCTTTGGCTACTGTTGAGAAAATACTGCCAAGCGGTTGTGTTGTTTCCTTTTTTGGTGGTGTGTCTGCCTTTTTGCCAAATGCTGAAATCAGTGAATCGTATGTCAAAAATGCTTCTGAGTATGTCAAGCTTGGCCAGACCGTTAAAGTTAGAGTTATATCTGTTGACACGAAGCAGAAGAAATGTTTGGTCAGTTTGAGAATATCAAACGAAGTGTCTCAAGACCAAATGTCCACATTAGAAAAATTAGTTCCAGGCAAATCAGTTGTGAGCGCTGAAGTTGTTGAAAAGGATAGAAATACAGTTATTGTCAAAATTGAAGGCTCTGATGTACGTGGAATTATAAATATAGGCCAATTGTCAGATGCACCAATTGACGACTGCCGTGGTCTTTTAAAGAAGTTGAAGGTTGGTGAAAAGCTTGAAGCTCTTGTGTTGATGATCGATAACCGGAAAAGAGGTGTTACGTTGTCCGCAAAACGTTCGTTGATTATTGATGCTAAGAGCGGTATCCTTCCAACAGAATTCTCAGATATCTCCATTTCCGATACGGTTTTGCATGGTTACGTTAAAACGGTGATCCCATCAGGTGTATTTGTTAACTTTGGTAACAATTTGACTGGCTTGGTTATCCCTAGATTCGCTTCATTCAAGAAAATCAATGACTTAACCACCGCTTTTGCTGCTGATCAATCTGTAAGTTGTACAGTTGTCAATGCTGATGAAAACAACCACAGGTTTTTACTCTCTTTATTGGTTGAAACTGCTAATTCGAAGGAAAAGGCTGAAAATCCAGTGGACAAAACTGTTAAGACATTAGGTGATTATTCTGTTGGAAAAATCACACAAGGTACTATCAAATCCATTGAGAAAACACATTTGTTAGTCAGATTAAGTGATAACCAAGATGGGCGTATTGATATCAGTGAAATTTTTGATAGCGTTGAAAAGGTCAAAGATTTGAAGAACCCACTAGCTGACTTCAAAATTGGACAAAAGTTGAAAAAAACCAAGGTTATTGGTTACTTTGACTTAGAAAAAGCCAAGTTTATTTATTCAAAGAAAGCTAAATCTAACCTAGTTGAATTAACCATCAAACCAAAAAACCTTGAAAACTCAGAATTGATTTATCCTGCTTCATTCAAAGACATTAAGGAAGGTGATGCTGTATTAGGTTATATTTTGAGTGTGAATAACGGATATTTCTGGTACAGCATTTCCCCTGCTCAAAAAGCCAAGATGTCTTTTGTTGATGCTACTGACGATGTTGAAAAACTTGAACATTTCAGTGAAGAATTCCAAGTCGGTACGATTGTGCCTACTAAAGTAACTCATGTTGATATTGATCATTTTGCTGTCAGTGTCTCTGGACGTAAGAATACTATAAGATCAGCAGACGAAATCAAGGTCGGTGATGTTTTACCTTCCTTGATTTTGAATGTTAGAGACAACTCTGTTTTAGTGTCTTTGGGTGAAAATTTGACTGCCGTTTCAATGGTTACTGATGCATTAGATGATTATACTTTACGCTTAAGTGATATTTTCCATGTCGGTGAATTTCACACAGCTACAGTTGTCTCCACTGACCGTAAAATCTACGTTTCTTTGAGAAGTAAACATCCTAAAGATAGATTGATTAATTCCGTCGAAGATATAAAGCGTGGTGACATTGTTAGAGGTTATATCAACAAGATTAACAATACAGGTTTGTTTGTTGATCTAGGAAGATCTGTTTATGCTTTGGTTCGTGTGTCAGACATCTCAGATTCATTTTTGAAGAACTGGAAAGAAGGCTTCTCTGTCAACCAATCCGTCAAAGGACGTATCATTGAAGCAAATTCGGAAAACAGAGTTTTATTGTCTTTGAAGAACAGTGTTGTGAATGGAGATCTACAAAACTTGAAAATTTTTGCAGACTTGAAAGTCGGAGATGTGTATGAAGGTACGATCAAGAAGGTGGAAGAGTACGGTGTATTCGTTTCATTGGATGGTACTGACAATGTGTCTGGTTTATGTCATCGTTCAGAAATCACTGATGCACCAGTTAAGAATGCAGGTGATATCTTCAACGAAGGCGAACACGTCAAAGTCAAAGTTTTAGACATCAACCACCAAAAGAAGCAACTGTCATTGGGTATGAAAGCCTCCTACTTCAAAGAAGATGAAAATGAAGATGAGGATGGTGATTTGGTTATGGCTGATGACTCAGACAATGATGAAGATGAAAAGATGGAAGATGCTCCAGAAAGCGAAGATGAAAGCGAAGATGAAAATGAGGTTGAAGAGAAGAGCGAAGGCTTATCAGAAAGTGTTGGCCTTTCAACCGGTTTATCCACTGGCTTTGATTGGACAGCATCCATTTTGGAACAAGCTAAAGAAGAAGAATCATCAGATGAAGAGGAAGAGTTTGAGAAAAAGATCAACAAAAAATCGAAGAAGACAAAGGCTGAAGAGGCTGAAGACAAAACCGGAGACCTTTCTACCAGAACCCCTCAATCTATCTCCGACTTTGAAAGACTATTGGTGGGAAATCCAGATTCTTCAATCTTGTGGATTCAATACATGTCATTCCAGCTTCAATTGAGTGAGATTGAAAAGGCAAGAGAAATTGCTGAAAGGGCATTGAAAACTATCAATTTCAGAGAAGAACAACAGAAGTTGAATATCTGGATTGCAATGTTAAATTTGGAGAATTCGTTTGGTGATGAGGAATCCTTAGATTCCGTTTTCAAGAGATCTTGTCAATATATGGACGCATACTCTATGCATCAAAAACTAGTTGCGATCTACATTGCTTCTCAGAAATATCGCAAAGCAGAGTCATTATTTGGCACACTATGCAAGAAATTTGGGGCAAAGCATCCTAACGCTTGGGTTTCTTATGGTAGCTTCCTCATAGATAGGGATAACAATGAAGAAGCTCACAGTGTTCTTGCTAAAGCTTTACAGATACTACCAAAGAGAGATCATGTTGATGTTGTCAGGAAGTTTGCACAACTGGAGTTCCAGAAGGGCGACCCAGAACAAGGTCGGTCCTTATTTGAAGGTCTATTATCTGATGTTCCAAAAAGAGTTGATTTATGGAATGTTTATATTGACCAAGAAATAAAAACGGATGATAAGAAAAAGGTCGATGGTTTGTTCGAAAGAGTTATTGAAAAGAAACTTACTAAAAAACAAGCCAAATTCTTCTTTGCTAAATGGTTGGATTTTGAAGAACAGAAAGGCGATGAAAAATCACAGGATTACGTTAAAGCCAAGGCAGCTGAGTATGCCCAAAAACTCTCAAAGAAATAAGCGTTCAAAGAATGCTTTACCCTGATATATAATTAAAATAGACATAGATATTGTTATTTTAGCCTATTGACATTATCTTTCATTTGTATTTACTAAAGAAAAAGTTTTTCGTTACTATACCATTGTGTTGCCGGACCGAAAAGAGTACTCGCATGTAGTTGGTATTCGGGCGAGTAGTTGCCCTTTTTGTCATTTATCATCTCCCATCACTTGTTTTATAAAGTACCTCCGACAATAGCTTAACCTTTCAAAGATCAGAAGGTCATTGGGTACATGTACATAATGGTTTCTCATAAACTTACAGGGGCCCTTTTGTACCTGATTACAGTAGTACTTGTAGTCTGGCTCACTTATTATTTATGGGTTTCACAACTATTTTTCGATGAAGAGGAAATAATCCCGCTGTCTTTCCAACTTCCTTATAGCAGCATCTGTAAATGTTCAGGATGGCATGAATCTTCAAAAGAATGGCTCAGAGGTCCACTAGAGGGAGAGATAGGGAGCTGTTTTGAGTCTAATAGGGAAAAATTGTCATCAGCTGCAAGAAAATCATTCAGTCCCATAACTCAAGAACAATATGAACAGTCAGTTTGAAAATGTTTTTATCTTAATCCTTGATTGGAAGATGTTGGGTTTGTATACTAACATATACTAACATTTTATTGATCTTACAGTTGTCTTGATTTTGTACCACTAATAGGTGACGAAACTGATAAACTATTTGCAGTAAAATCTTGCATTGTCAACGCTCATCATTTAGATAAATCACTAATCAAAATCACAGAGGCTAACAGCCCAAATTCAAATTATTTACTACTATTGTGTGCTGTGCTTGTTGGTTACTTTTACGTAGAACGAAAATCCCGAAATAATAAATGTGATTCGGAAAGAAAAGAAACAATCAGGAGAGTTGAAAGTACTCCCAAGAATCATTCGACGAAGACCATCAAGCTCGAAAATAACAGTGAGATACATGGTTTACGTACTATTGCAAGCATAAAACTGTCAAATAGAAACGCCGTAACAAAAAGGTCAACGCCAGCTTTCCCCAAACCATATCCAATGCCTATCCGGTTTCCAAGTAAAGTTCATACAATGATGAATCAACCAGTTCCAGTGATGATGTTTCAAAGCAATTCTCCAGCTTTCCCGTATATGTCAAACCACAGCTCATGTTCAAATTTCAAGAATGAGAGTGAGGTTTATGGAAAAAAAGCTACAATCGATAATGGAAGATATAGAAAGATCAATTCCAATGAGTATTCTTGTAGCACGTATCAATCCAGCGATTACCGTTCAAAGCCACGCTGGGAAAACCACAACACAAAAGGGTTGAAATCTAGTGATGAAAGTCTAAACTTTATTTCGGATGGCAACTCAAGCACTCCCAAGAAGCAGAAGATTGCAACAAAAAGCAGTGACACAAAAACCTTAGCAAATCCACTATCAACGGTGCCTAGTGGCAAGCATGAAAATGTTGATACCCATAATGTGTTAGATGGATTGGATAATTTGGATATGGACTTTTCTGATAATACTATTACCGTTGCTTCAATTACTGAAACTCAAGATGCGCAAAAATTGAAGGAAGACATTAAAAATGAATTCAAAAATAGTGTCCAACTGATTGCTAAGAAGACCCAAATTAGTTCGTCTCCAGAAGTGCCCAATGAGAAACTAACAGAGGAAAAAGAAAATTGCAGATACGGAAAGGATTTGGTAGAAAAAGTAGCTCTAAACGTTATTGGTAATGAAAAGGATAATGAGGCTAAGATTTCATCAAAGGTAAGTCACTTTCCTTCATGTCCGCTTCCAACGCTTTCCGGAGGCTGGCCTAAAGCTCCTACGGTTGATAATCAGTATAATGTGCCATTATACGACATGAATGAAAATTCCTATCCAAGATTTATGGCAAGCCCACTTTTTGGAAATCCAATCTGGAACAACCCAAACGCTTTCACCAATAGTGCTAGAGATAATTGATAATTGATTGTATAGATTAGTAACCGAAGACATGTCTGTCAACCAAAGGTGAATTTCCTCTTTGAGAAGACTTGAATTTTTCTTTTTTCACATAATATTTTTTTTTATCATTTTGAAAATTTTTTTCAGTGTAGTGGTAGTAACTACTTGTAGGTTTGAAACATGAAGGCTTTCCTTTCATAACGGATATCGGCAAAGCACTTAACTGTGAAGTAACTAGAGTGACCGAAAATGATATCTGCTACTGCATGGGTTCCAAGGGGATTTGCATCCGAGTTTCCCCAACAATATGAACTTGATGACGAAGAAATGAAGAGAATCGAGGCAATGTCAAAGTTGAATCTCGAAGAGGCACAGGCAGACCTTGAGTATGCAGAAGAGGAAGAGGCCGAGGAAAACCAAATAGATTCTGACAATTTAAAGGACCAAGTAGACATAGATGGCGATTTAAAGGAATACGATTTTGAGCATTATGATGATGACGAAATCGATGAAACTGGTGAAAAAGTTTTTATGTTTCCAGGATTGAGTAACACTCGTGCAGCATATGTGAAAACCGTCAAGAAAAACAATTCCAAAGGAGATGACGACGATGAAATGGAAGGAAGCGAAGACGGTGATGTCGAAGAAATCGAAGCAGAGGAGGAAGAACACTACTTACAACTTCCAACTGAAGAGGAAAAGTTGGCAGAGCGTGCCGAATTACAGATCTACCCAACTGACAACCTAGTATTGGCGACAAGAACAGAGGACGAGGTTTCATATTTGGATGTGTACGTGTATGACGACGGTGCAGGAGCATTGGGACCTGATGATAAAGAAGCTGAAGGGGAGAAGAAATACGACGAAGATGTGAAGCGTGGGATGGTCCGTGAAGGAAACCTATACATCCACCACGATTTGATGCTTCCCTCTTTCCCATTGTGTGTTGAATGGCTCAGTTTCAAACCAAAAGGCGAGAACGATGTCCAGAATGTCGGCAACTTTGCTGCCATTGGTACCTTCGAACCAACGATTGAATTATGGAATCTTGATTGCGTTGACAAGGCGTTCCCGGACGTCATTTTAGGAGAGGCGGAGTACGCGGAATGGAGCTCGAAACAGAGCGGATCTAAGGGGAAGAAGAGCAAGAAGAAGAAGAAGGTGGGCAAGGTGTACTCGAAGTGCCACACGGACGCCATTCTCTCGCTGTCGCACAACCGCATATTCAGAAACGTTCTATGTTCCACGTCTGCAGACAGCACAGTGAAGTTATGGGATCTTACCAAATGCAGAGTTGAGCGTGGTATCGACAACGGGTTGCACGGCGGCAAGGCTGTCTCGAACAGTAAATGGATGTACAGCAACGGCGATGAGGAAGGTGGCAGTATACTGTTGACCGGTGGTTATGACGGGTACATGCGGATCTCCGATGTGAGAGTGGAGGACGTACTCAAGAACAACAAGCAGTTTTCGTGCGGTGCCGACTACGGAGAGGAGGTTGAGACCGTAAGCAAAATGGGCGAACACTACATCCTCGGTGGGTGTGACTCCGGTAACGTGTACTGCTACGACATCCGGAAGGAGGACGAGAAGCCGCTGTGGACGTTGCACGCACACGACTCGGGCATCAGCACGTTGAGCAGCAACAGCGAGATTCCCGGCTTGATTGTCAGTGGTGCTATGGGTGAGAAGGTGGTGAAGGTGTGGAACGTGAAGGACAGCAAGCCGCGGATGATCCTGAGCAAGGACTTTGGCTGCGGGAACGTCTTGAGCACCGCCTTTGCCGACGAACTGGAAGTGTCCGGGAACCTCATTCTTGGAGGAAGCGGCAACTCCGGGCTCAAGATGTGGGACTGTTTCAGTAACCCGACCATCAACAAGAGCTTCCACGACGAGCTTGCCGGACTCAAGAAGCGGGCCGTCGAGGAGGCTGCCAAGTACGGCCGCGTGAGTCGGATCGCCAGAAAGTACCAGAAGGGGTACGGGGAGAGCGTTGTGGAGCCCGAGGTCGGCGGTGTCGGCGGCGGCGACGACGACGACGACGACGAGAACTAGAGTGGCTCTCCAGCACCTGTGCATACGCCATGTATAACTAAGTAATCCTTGTGAAGTAACAACCAACCAACCACCGCACCCCCACGTCACGTGACCTCCGCCCACGACCTTCTTTCTTTCCCTGCTGCCTCTTGCCCTTCCCCTATCTGCTGCCATTGCACTGAATCGTGCTGCCTGGCACTTCATCCACAACTTGCTCGACTCCCATCTCTTCACCCCTCTCCGACCCCCCATTCTTCGTCTATTTGGTGTCCTTGCACCCCGGTCTCCCTCCCTGCACCCTCCGGTCCCGCTGAAAAACCTGTCACCGGCCTCATCCCGGCCTTCTCCGAATCCGCCGACGCGACGATGACTCTGAACCATCTGCTTGGCCTACCCGATTAGGCAAGATGACCCCGCACATGCGCCCCGCGGGAAGCCCCGCCGCCGCGATAAGCGTGCGTCCTTGCGGCCGCTGCTGATGAAAAGGCGCGCTCCCATTGGCGCGATTAGCAGTTACGTAAGCGAGGGCGGCGGGGAATTTGCGATCCGCTTTTTTTTACTGGGTCTTTCCATGCGCCGGGCCGGTACTCCTCTTTTCGCCGCGAGGCGCACAGGAATGCTCAGCGGCATGCGTTAACCCCTTCCGTCGCTAGCAAGCAGCAGCACCTTCCTTCTTCGTCGACGAAGATGCTCTTCTTCTTCTTGAAGATGCGTTGTGGGTCAAAGGATTCAGAGGTTGCTTTCAGTACACAGCAGAAGAACTGATTCCGACTGTCGTGTACACCGAACAACAGACTGCGTGCAGCGGCTAGACATATACATCCAGCGAAAGGAACAAAAGAAAAAACACCCCACACCCACACGCATAGCCAGGCTGAAAACACTATCTAGCAAGAGCCACAACTGCGTTCAAACAAGCATCAAGTCATTCATAGGTGAACCAGCACGCAACAGAAATGGTCGTATTGAAGTCAGACCCTGCAGCAGAGTACTCCGAGTTTTCGGATGACTGCGTGTCTGCGGTCTCTAACACCAGCAGCAGCTCGTCGCAACCTGAGTCCGAATCCTCTTACTCGGTCTACAAGTACGACGAGGTGCCAGAAAACAAATCGTGGGCGTCCACCATCCCAACCGCAAAGGGTCTTTACAACCCGGAGTACGAAAAAGACAACTGTGGTGTCGGTATGTATCCATCTCATCTATACTGCTTCCTTGCTTGATTTTTCAGGTTTACTAACACTCCCCTTCCTCTTTTCACTGCAGGTTTCGCTTGTCAAATAAAGGGCCAGGCCTCTCACAAAATCATATCCGACGCCAAGTACCTCCTTTGCAACATGACGCACAGAGGTGCCGTCGGTTCCGACGCAAGAGACGGTGACGGTGCAGGTGTAATGACCTCCATCCCTCATAAGTTCATGCAGAGAGAGTTCGATTACCACTGCAAGGTGCAGTTGCCTCCTCCCGGCCAGTACGCCGTCGGTAACCTGTTCTTCAAGAAGGACGACGAGATTTTCCAGAAGTCGAAGTCCACCTTCGAGAGCATCGCCACCTCCTTGGGGTTGAGAGTCTTGGGATGGAGAGAGGTCCCTGTGGATTCCTCCATCCTCGGACCAGCCTCCTTGTCCAGAGAACCAAAAACACTACAGCCTTTGATTGTCCTTCAGGAAGCCTACGGCTCCTCAAACACCCCTCTCGACGTCTCTGAGGAGGAGTTTGAATCTAAACACGAAAAACTTTTCGAAAAACAATTATACATTCTTAGAAAACAGTCCACCCACACTATCGGCCTACACAATTGGTTCTACATTTGCTCCCTCTCCAATAAAAACATTGTCTACAAAGGTCAGTTGGTGCCAGTGCAAGTCTATTCCTACTACCACGATCTTGTGAACGCAGACTACGAATGTCATTTTGCCTTGGTCCACTCAAGATTCTCCACAAACACTTTCCCATCATGGGACAGAGCCCAGCCTTTGAGATGGGCTGCTCACAACGGTGAAATCAACACTTTGAGGGGAAATAAAAACTGGATGAGAGCCAGAGAAGGTGTCATGTCCTCCAAGCTCTTTGGAGAGGACATGGACAAGCTTTATCCAATAATTGAAGAAGGTGGCTCGGATTCCGCTGCCCTCGACAATGTCTTGGAGATCTTGGTTATAAATGGCGTGCTTTCCTTACCCGAGGCTGTCATGCTCTTAGTTCCGGAGGCTTGGCAAAACAATGCTACCATGGATCCTAAAAAGAGAGCTTTCTACGAATGGGCTGCATGTCTAATGGAACCTTGGGATGGTCCAGCACTTTTCACCTTCGCCGATGGTAGATTCTGTGGTGCGAATCTCGACAGAAACGGTTTGAGACCTTGTAGATACTACGTCACGGATGACGATATCATGATCTGCGCATCCGAAGTCGGTGTCATTCCAATTGAGTCCAACAAAATCGTTAAGAAGGGGAGACTACACCCTGGAAGAATGTTGTTAGTTGACACTAAGGAAGGTAGAATTGTCGACGATAGAGAGTTGAAGAAGCAAGTCGCCAACAGATTCGATTTCAAGGCATGGATCTTGTCAAACATGATCACTGTTCCTGAACTTTTGACCAAGTTGGAAAACAGAGGTTTTAATTTGCAATCGAAGGTAGACTCCGATGTGAAAATCAAACATGATCCAAAGTTATTAGCCAATGGTTATACCCTCGAACAAGTGTTGGCAATTCTAGTTCCAATGGTTAATGGCGGTAAGGAAACTTTGGGCTCCATGGGTAATGATTCTGCATTGGCCTGCTTGTCCCAGCAACCAAGATTGATCTACGACTATTTTAGACAGTTGTTTGCTCAAGTTACCAATCCTCCAATCGACCCAATCAGAGAGAAAATCGTCATGTCTTTAGAGTGTTATGTCGGTCCTCAGGGGAACCTTTTGGAAATGAACCCAGTGCAGTGTAACAGATTGAAGATGACTTCTCCAATTCTGTCCAATGACGAATTGTTGGCTCTCACTGAAATAAATAAAGTTTATCCAAAATGGTCTGTCACTAATATCGACATCACATTTGACAAATCTGAAGGTTTAACTGGTTATACCGAAGCTTTGGATAGAATTTGCGCGGAAGCCACCCAGGCAATCATTGACAACTCCCAAATCATCATCTTATCTGATAGAAACCTCTCTGCTACTAAGGTTGCTGTCTCTGCCCTGATTGCATCTGGTGCAGTCCACCACCATTTGGTCAGACAGAAGCAAAGATCGAAGGTTGCAATCATTGTCGAAACCGCAGAAGCAAGAGAAGTTCACCACTTCTGTTGTTTAGTCGGTTACGGTGTTGATGGTGTCAACCCATATTTGGCAATGGACACCTTGATCAAGTTAAACAATGAGAAACTTTTGACCAAGGAATTTACCAACAGAGAAATCATTGACAACTATAAACATGCAATCGATGACGGCCTTTTGAAAGTCATGTCCAAAATGGGTATCTCCACTTTGGCTTCCTACAAGGGAGCTCAAATCTTTGAGGCCTTGGGTGTCGATAACTCTGTCATCGACAGATGCTTTGCGGGTACCGCTTCTAGAATCAAAGGTATCACCTTCGAATATATTGCTCAGGATGCTTTCTCGTTACACGAATTGGGTTATCCATCCAGGGATACTATCAAACCAAAGGGTCTGCCTGAATCCGGTGAATACCATTGGAGAGACGGTGGTGAATCGCATGTCAATGAACCTGCTGCAGTTGCTAACATTCAGGATGCCGTCAGAAACAAAAACGGTAAGGCTTACGAAGCCTACTCCAAAAAGGAATACGACGCCATCAAAAACTGTACTTTGAGAGGTCTTTTAGATTTCGACTTTGAGAACTCCTCCTCTGTGCCACTCGACCAGGTTGAACCTTGGACTGAAATTGTCAGAAGGTTCTGTACTGGTGCAATGTCTTACGGTTCTATTTCCATGGAAGCGCACTCTACCCTTGCTGTTGCAATGAACAGATTGGGCGGTAAATCCAACACCGGTGAGGGTGGTGAAGATGCAGAAAGGTCCAAAGCGTCTGATAATGGCGATTCCATGAGATCTTCGATTAAGCAAATTGCCTCTGGTAGATTCGGTGTCACTTCTTATTATTTATCTGATGCCGATGAATTGCAGATCAAGATGGCTCAAGGTGCAAAGCCAGGTGAAGGTGGTGAATTACCAGGCTATAAAGTCTCTGAGTCAATTGCCAAGACAAGACACTCTACTCCTGGTGTTGGTTTGATCTCCCCACCTCCACATCATGATATTTACTCCATTGAAGATTTGAAGCAATTGATCTATGACTTAAAATGCTCCAACCCAAGAGCTAGAGTCTCCGTCAAACTTGTCTCAGAAGTCGGAGTTGGTATCATTGCTGCCGGTGTTGCAAAGGCCAAGGCAGACCACATTTTGATTTCTGGTCATGACGGTGGTACAGGTGCCGCCAGATGGACCGGTATTAAATATGCTGGTTTACCATGGGAATTAGGTCTAGCTGAAACCCACCAAACTTTGGTGTTGAACGATTTGAGAGGTAGAGTTGTTGTTCAAACCGACGGTCAACTGAAGACTGGTAGAGATATAGCTATAGCATGTTTGCTAGGTGCCGAAGAATGGGGTTTTGCCACTGCTCCTTTGATTTCTATGGGTTGCGTTTACAACCGTAAATGTCACACCAATACCTGTCCAGTTGGTATTGCAACTCAAGACCCTGTTTTGAGAAAGCAATTTAAGGGTACACCAGAGCATGTTATCAACTTCTTCTTCTACGTTGCCAACGAATTGAGAGTCATTATGGCCAAGCTAGGTTTCAGAACAATCGATGAGATGGTTGGTAGAGCCGAAAAGTTGTATGTCAGAGATGATTTAAGAACTACCAAGAATGCAAACATTGATTTATCTCCAATCTTAACCCCTGCTCATACTATCAGACCAGGTGTTGCTACCAAATGTGAAAAGAAGCAAGATCACAGACTACATGTTAGATTAGACAACAAGTTGATTGATGAAGCTGAAATCACATTAGACAAGGGTTTGCCTGTCACTATTGAGGCAGAAGCTATCAACACCGACAGAGCAATTGGTACTACATTGTCTTACAGGTGCTCCAAAAAGTTTGGTCCAACTTCGCTGCCTCACGACACCATTCATGTCAACATAAGAGGTTCTGCAGGTCAATCTTTTGGTGCATTTTTAGCTTCTGGTATTACTCTAGAGTTGGAAGGTGATTGTAACGATTATGTTGGTAAAGGTTTGTCTGGTGGTAGATTGATTGTTTACCCACCAAAGGACTCTAAATTCAAGGCCGAAGAAAACATCATTATTGGTAATACCTGTTTGTATGGTGCTACTTCAGGTACCGCATTTTTCAGAGGTATTGCTGCCGAAAGATTTGCAGTTAGAAACTCTGGTGCTTACGCTGTTGTCGAAGGTACCGGTGATCATGGTTGTGAATACATGACTGGCGGTAGAGTCATTGTTCTAGGTTCTGTCGGTCGTAACTTTGCCGCCGGTATGTCTGGTGGTATTGCTTACGTCTTAGACATGGCCCAAGATTTCGAAGAGAAGGTCAACAGAGAATTGGTTGAGTTGACTACATTAAGTGATCCAGCTGAAATTGCCTTTGTTAGAGGTCTTTTGGAAGATCACAGACACTACACCAACTCTGAAATTGCCTTAAGAATCTTGAACGATTTCAACAGATTTTTGAAGAAGATTGTCAAAGTCTTACCATTCGAATACAAGAAGGTTTTGGAAGCTGAGGCTAAAAAGACTGCAGAAATGAAGAAGAAGGAAGTTTCCAACTATTTCTCCACCATCAAGGAAGACCCAGAGGCTGATATCACAGGTGGTGAATTTTCCAAACCTAAGAAATCCTCAAAGCACGAACCTAAGGTTCTTGATTTGGAAGACACTATGATAGATGTCAAGGCCGAAGAGTCAAAGGCTACGAAGTTGGACAAGGTTGGTGGATTCATCAAGTACTCCAGAAGACATGAAAAATACAGACCTGTCAAGTCTAGACTTCAAGATTGGAAGGAATTATCAACCAGGTTAACTAAGGATGAATTGAAATTCCAAACTGCTAGATGTATCGATTGTGGTATTCCATTCTGTCAATCGGATACCGGTTGTCCAATCTCAAACATTATTCCAAAATGGAATGAGTTGGTTTTCAAAGACAGATGGTATGATGCATTGCAAAGATTGCTGATGACCAACAACTTCCCTGAATTCACTGGTAGAATTTGTCCAGCTCCTTGTGAGGGTGCATGTGTTGTCTATGTTTCAGGAAATGCGCCTGTTGGTATCAAGTCCATTGAGGCTGGTATTATAGATCACGCCTTCAGTGAAGGATGGATAGTGCCAAACCCACCAAAGGTGAGAACTGGTAAGAAGATTTCCATTATTGGTTCTGGTCCTTCTGGTCTAGCAGCTGCAGATCAACTGAACAAGGCTGGACACACTGTTACTGTTTATGAAAGGGCCGATAAAGTCGGTGGTTTGCTGATGTACGGTATTCCAAATATGAAGTTAGACAAGGGTGTCGTTCAGCGTAGGGTTGACTTGATGACCGCCGAAGGTATTTCATTCATTACCAACACCACTATTGGTGAAGACATTGAGATTGATGACTTGAAGCAACAAAACGACGCTGTTATTTTGGCTATCGGTTCCACCATTCCAAGAGATTTAAAAATTCCTGGAAGAGAATTGAAAAACATTGACTACGCCATGACTTTGTTGACCGCAAACACTAAGGCCTTGTTAGAGAACGACTTGGAAACTATTAGAGCTACCATCACTGGCAAGAATGTCATTGTCATTGGTGGTGGTGATACTGGTAACGATTGTTTGGGAACTGCCACCAGACATGGTGCCAAGTCAGTGGTCAACTTTGAATTGTTACCACATCCACCAGCTGAAAGAGCAAGAGACAATCCATGGCCACAATGGCCAAGAATCTTCAGAGTCGACTATGGTCACACTGAAGTCAAGGAACACTACGGTAAAGATCCTAGGGAGTACTGTATCTTGTCCAAGGAATTCGTAGATGACGGTGAAGGCAATGTCAAAGGAATCAAGACTGTTCGTGTTGAGTGGAAGAGATCTGACTCTGGTGCATGGCAAATGCAAGAGATTCCAGGCTCAGAAGAATTCTTCCCTGCAGATATTGTTCTTTTGTCTATGGGTTTCATAGGTCCGGAATCCGACAACTTGAATATTGAAAGAACCAAGAGAGGCACCATTGCTACATTCGAGCCATCGTCCTACCAGACCAGCTCAGGATCAAACCTATTCACAGCCGGTGATTGTAGAAGAGGACAATCGTTGGTTGTTTGGGGTATCCAAGAAGGTAGACAATGTGCACGTGAAGTTGACATATACCTCATGGGCAAGACCAGATTGCCAGGCAATGGTTCTTTTGAAAAAAGAGACTATCGTCTACTAGAGGAGTTGGCCTCCAAGGTCTGATAATGGACTAAACCCTCACATTTTTGTTTACTATCACATTTATTTTTTTTCCGTTTCACTTACCATGTCCTTTTTATTTTTTAAACTGCTCTTGTATACTCTACACTTTTCGTCCATTTTTCACTGAAAAATAACTAAATCAGACAATGCGTCTAGCGCAATTATCGCCGAGAGCGAGAAAAAGCTAAAAGATAAGCATCGGAAAATTTCTGTAGCGAAAAGGCTGGAAGATAAGAGGTTGTTGACAAATTGGATGACCGCCAACGGTAGACAAAGGACATGAGAGTAGCCTTTTGAAGTGGAATACAACAGAGGCAAATACGCTTATCCTCTTGAATCCTGCAATGCCGTTGAGAAAGGCCATTAAGAGGACAAGGACAGGTTGCATCACGTGCCGTTTGTCAAAAAAAAAATGTGACGAAATACGACCAAATTGTTCCACATGTGCAAGAAAAGGAGTGAGTTGTGTGTGGCCAGAAGAACCGTCTCAAACCCTCAATCAATATATTAGCAAAAAGGGTACAGATGAATTTCATGATCATATTTCAAAAAGGGGCAGAAGAACCAGAAGAGGATGCAACCAGTGCAAAAAGATCAAAAAGAAGTGCGATGAGACGAAACCTTGGTGTACAAGATGTGTGAAAAAGGGTGTAACGTGCACATGGCAAGAGCAGAAGGACGGCGGCGAGCCAAGCAGTGATGCAGCAGAATTGCTTTTCTCTGTTTCAGAAGATGAAAGCGATTTGAATGCTACAGAAACATGTTCGTTGATCAGAACTCCGGATAATAACTACATGCCTTTCAACGACGTCAAGATAAGAATAAATGACGAAAGCTCGCAGATCTTTTTGTTCAAGATTTTCTTCAATAACATAATAGACGGGCTTATTCCGCAGAAATCTCTGCAGTCTCTTTCTGACCTAACTTTTGAATCCCTTAAGAACAGTCCCGAGTTTAGGAATGTGGTTGCTTCCCTATCAGCCGCATTTGTGTACACCGTCGACGATTCCAAAAGAAACCTTGTTGAGAGCATGCACGATGAAGCACTGTTGACGGTGATGAACTTGCAAACGAACGACGTGACTATAGAAGCAAAACTACACTCTTTGGATTTTTGTATCTTACGAGCATTATACACAAAAACAAACAACAAAGAGTTGCTAAGATACCTAAACATGGCATTGGACTTAACGCTGCAGTACACTCCAAGAACGCCCAACTTGACATTCAAGGTCATTGTGGAGAGTCTTATCTACCACTTTTCCGTCTCTCGCATCGTTGTACCGGTAGAAGCCTTGGATTTACGAAATCCATTTATCATATGTGGCGCACTGCGACATTACTTCCCACAATACCCGGATTCACAATCCAACCCGTTGCTAGGATCGGCACTAGACATTTTTATTTCGGTGGCGAAAGTGTCCTACGTTTTCAAAAAGCAAGACGTTTCATTTGAAATACAGCGGTTGCTGCTGGAGGAGATTGAATGCCTGATGGCGCTTCAGCCAATGCGGGCTGCACCCTTTGCAGTGGCTGACTCGTTTGAAGAGAATGACAGTATTCTTGTTTCAATTCCAAGTGCCAAGTATATCACCTTGTTGTCGTGCAAATTGCTACTACTGCACATCCTGCCGGAGACAGTGGCGGGTGAATTTGATGCAATTGTGCGGGACACGATTTCTGTGCTGAAACGTTCACGGGCGTATAGCTGCGAGGTTGAAATTTGCGGATTATGGGGCATGTTCATGTTGGGCATAAATTTAAAGAACACGGAGGACCAGGAGTTTATGGCAGAGTATTTCACTCAACTCTGGGAGAAGTCCCACAACTTGGGCTACTTAAAATCGATCTCGCATATGCGATACGCTTGGGAGAAGGATGTTGGGTTCGAGATTTTGAGAGACAAAAACTTCTCGCAAGACTTGTGTTTGAACTAACGACTGGATTTATTGTTTATATATTATTAGTAACTAATTATTTCTTATTCAAAGCTTTATCGATTATCGCACAGCAGGCTAGCAGTTTCTCGTCCTCCAGGTGTGGGGCGATCACTTGGACGCTTCCTATGCCGCCGTCAAAGGCTTCCGGTCTATAATGGGTGTAAATCTTTTCCAATTTCTCTGGGTATTGTGCTCCATCGTCGAGATCAATGCTGGCGTCGGCCTTGCCAAACGGAATGCAAGCGGCGGGGAAGTCAACCACGTTCCACGCACATGTATATGGTGCAATTCCGTATTCGTCATGGGGCGGAGCGGTACTTGGAGATCCTGGGGCGATGATGACGTCGTAGTTCTTGAAGATTTCAAGCCATTTTTCAGTCATAACCTTGACTCTTTCCTTGAGCTCAATAAGCTCGGCAATATCTTGCGGAGGTTTGCCGTAGACCTCAAGGCCCGGAAGCAATAACGAGTCGATTATTCTTTCTCCGGTGGACATCAAATTCTCCCATGCGGTCGACTTTGGGTCGCTCTGGAACAAGCTCCAAGCAAGGGCCCAAGCATCGTCGTAGGAGGGGAACGAGGTGATCTTCTGGACCGAGTGGCCCTCCTTTTCGAGTATCTTAGCTGCCTCACCAATGATTCTCTTGACAGGAGGGTGTACAGGCAAGTCCGGGTCTTCGTAGATGACTCCGATCTTGAGCTTAGACTTATTGTCGATCTCCGGGACCTGATATCTCAAGCGCAAGCACTCAGCGTCGTAGTTCCATGGCTTTTGGTCAAGAGTCTCTTTGACAAGTAGCTGGATAGACTCAAAGTCAGATGCCAAGGGCCCGGCAGTGGCCAGGACACCGACAAAGCACTCTCTGGATGGGTCTGTCTGGTTGCCCATTGGGAACCTCATTGCTGTTGGACGGAAGCCGTAGACGCCGTTGCAGAGAGCCGGAATCCGGATGGAGCCTGCAATGTCTGTGCCAATACCCAAAAGCGAGCCTCTCATCTTGATGAGGGCCCCCTCACCCCCGGAGCTGCCTCCTGCCGTCCAGGAAAGGTTGCTTGGGTTGAGGGTTCTCCCAAAGATGTTGTTCTCGGAGTCGCCTGTCATCAACGTCTGCGGAATATTTGTCTTAACGTAAAAGACCGCCCCAAGGTCGCTGAGCAGTCTAGCAAAGTCACCGACAGTGTCAAAGCCGGCCTTGTTGCCGATCTTCGAGACAAAACCTAACGTGGAGTCAAACCCGGGGATGTTGAAGCTGTCCTTAAGCGAGATAGGAAGTCCATGCAGAGGGCCAAAAGGCTTTTTGTGCTTCTCAAGGTACTCGTCAAGGAACTTGGCTCTCTCGGCTCCGTACTCAAACATGAGCTCTGTACAGCAATTTGTCAACTGAGTGGCTATTGCTGCTCTGTGAGAAAAGGCCTTCACCACATCTGTCGCCGAAAAGGCGCCCGTTTGGAGCTTCTCGAGCAGCTCCTTCACTGTGTAGTGCTCGGTGATGTCATACTCTTTTTTGCTGAGAAACTTCTCAGGCACATTTAGCACCGACTCCGTGCTTGTGGCATCGTACTTGTCCAGTACCTCCTTTGGTAACGTCCATTCTTCAGGGATCAAAGCGTCAACCGCTTTCTTTTTCTGCTCTGCGAGCTCTTTCCATCCTGCGGAAACCGTCATGTTGTCTATGTTGATCTGTGTATTCTTAGTTCTACTCTGTCAATATATCTAGCAGCTCTGTTTCAACAGCACTTCGAGACAGGGTCTCCTGCCACCCTTATATCACCTCTCTACCACCTTCCTATCTTCCTTCTATCATTACCCCCTCGAGGACAATAGCGCAGCCGCCGCGGCTCGATGCGCAGCCGATAAGCGCCGGTCCTTATCGCAACACAGCCTGCCCCGCAACGGTTTTGACACAATCGGGGAAGCGGCTGCGCTATTTGGTCGACGACGACGGAGGAGGAAGGTGGATGACGAAGGGTTGCTGCTGGCTCAGGGCTACGGTGGGTAGTGGCGGCTGCGGTAAGAGATTCTAAAGCTGCTCGGTGTTGTGATAAGGAAGTAGGCTGGTGGAGAAGCATAGGAAGACTCTACATTCGGTAAATAAGCCTTATCTGTGTTTCGGCAGCTGGCTCGAGGAAGCGAAAAGCAAGTATAAATAAGAACTCGGAGAACGACACAGGTGTCTTCTATTCAAGACTGCTATAATATCTTGAGGCTTGAAAGAGGTAAGAGCGACAGAAAAGCTTTGGAACATAGAGATGTTATTTGGTAGAGACAAAAAAATCAAAACGGACATAAGTGTGCCGGGGACCACTGTGTTGGTCGGGAAAGCTGCTGAGATCAAGCTGCTGGGCTTGCACGAGGAGGGTGATTCGGAAATCATTCTCTTTCCGCAGCCATCTGCGGATCCTAATGACCCCTTGAACTGGCCCAGCTGGAGAAAGCATCTTCACTTCGGTATTTTGTTCTTCTTTGGCTTGATTCTCGCCGCAGCATCGAACTTTGTCGGACCAATTTATACGCTTCTTGCCGAAATCTACAATGTCTCTTTGAGTCAGTTGAACACGGGTGGGGCGTTGGAATTTCTTTTCCTTGCGTTCAGTTGTTTGTTTTGCCAGCCTGTCGCAGGAAAACTTGGTAGAAGAGCAGTGTATCTTTTCTCCACGCTGTTGACTATCATTTCAGCCGTGGTTTTTGTCGGAGACAAAACCTACGGGGGTTATTTGGGCTATTCGATCCTCATTGGCTGTGCCGTGGGTCCGATTGACTCTTTGATCGAAGTTTCCATCACAGACATTTTCTTCTTGCACCAACACGGAAAGTACATTGGCATCTACTCCCTAACCATGGGGTTGGGCTCTGCCTTTGGACCGTTCATTGCCGGGTACGTCACGCAGAATCTCGGCTACCTCTGGTGTGGCTATTTGTTAATCATCATTGCCGGTGGCCTCCTCCTTGTTGAGGCCTTTTTATTGGAGGAATCTGTGTTTAAGAGAACCTATGAGTCACCGGAACTCGAGGACAAGCTTTTGGAGATCGTCATCTCCAACACTTCTCACGTCAAGTCACACACCGCCGATATCGACCCTGCCACCAAGAACAACGCCGTTGTTGAGCTAGACTCAGTTTCAGAACCTGCAACCATTCCAAGACCCAAGACCTACATTGAGTTATTGAGGCCATTTACAATTACCGACACACGTTTCACTCCAATGACGGTCGTGAACACTCTGAAGGTTCTCAGATATCCTGCAGTGCTATGGTGTTCCATTGTGTATGGTATCCAGATCTGCTGGCTCTCTTTGATCACAGTCTCCGAGTCCGAGTTCTTCATGGCCCCTCCTTACCTCTTCAGTGCAAACTCTGTCGGTTTGTTGAGTATGGCTATGGTCATCGGTACGGTGATTGGTGGTGCGTACACGTCTTGCTCCGACATGGTCCAGCTCTACTTCACAAGAAAGAATGATGGTATTTTTGAGCCAGAATTCCGTCTCCTCATGTTGCCTATTCCAATCTTTCTCAATGTTGTGGGTCTATTCATGTACGGTCTCGGGCCTTATTACGGGGTGCACTGGATTGTTGGGGCAATCGGTATTGTCTTTATTGCCATTGCCCTCTGCTGCATCAGTGGGTTGTCTTTAAACTACGTCTTGGAATGCTATCCTAAGCAGGCTTCTGCCACCATGACGTCTGTCTTGTTTGTGAGAAACTTAATGGGTATGGTCTTCACTTGGGTTTTCCAGTATTGGTTAGACAACGTTGGTGTGATTGGCACTACTAGCATGCTAGCCGCCTTCTGTTTAGTAATAAATGGGTCCTTCATTATCATTTACTTGTGGGGAAAAAATTTCAGGAAGTATACCCAGAAGTGGTACGAAAACGCAGAGTAGCCTAGCCTTATGCTATATTTCTTAGCTTATTTAGTCTCATTTAAAGTCTTATTAATTTATTCAGTTCTTTCAAAGGTAGTAAAGCTGCTAATTCTGTATTTAGATATAATATTACGATATTATTGGAAATTTCCACCTAATTAGGGTTGTAAAACGAGACCCTACCTGATCAATCGCTGTGATATATACAATTCCAAAATTTTATAAATCATAATCAACAATCCCTTAAAAATTATTCTCAAATCAAAGTGATTAGCTGCTAGTTGAAATGTCACCGTGAAGAGATATATTAGTACAACTTCCTTCTTCTTCCTTCTCCGAACAAGTACCATCACAGCCCATTTCTACATCAACAGGTTTTTCTTCGGCAGTAGCTTCTGCCGTCTCTGACTCCTCTGACTTTTTAGGAGCACGCACAAAAAGAACCATCATTATCAAAATCACAACATGGAAGCCCATTAATACATAAAATATGTTCTGAAACTTGTTATGAAGATGCTGTTTCATTTCTTCCGACGTGGCAGGCACAACATTTCCAACAATCGATGGGACCAATGCATTACCGACACTCAAACACACTTGTGAGCACGTCTGGTAGACACCATTAACAACACCCTGAAGATGGAGTGGAGTGTTCGACACAACAACCCCGATGTAAATATTGAAGAAAACGTTCAACGCGTAGCCATAAAGGAACAATGACACAAAACCAAACTTCCAATAAGACTTATGGCTGTGGAAGTTCGTTCTGGAAAACCATATGCATGTTCCAAGGGAAACTGCTGCTGATATAATAAACATATTCCGAACACCAATTTTGCCGTAGTAAGATTGTCTGTAGGTGGTAGCACCAAAAATAACACCAGCTGATATAGCAGCAACTTTGAGAGCAACAATTATTGGGGAGTCACCATCTATGGAGCTATAGTATAGCACCCCAATTGCGGTGATCATGGTAAACGTTGCAAAGTACATACCACATGCTATTAAAATAGGAAGGAAATTTGGAATGTGAATGATTTCAGGTGGGAATATCAAATCTATTTGAAGTCTCCAGTCTTCTGACTTGTCTCTGTGTTGATTCTTCTCCTGGAATCTTTTCAAATAAAACATTTCAAAGATAAATGAGGAAACAAATGTGAAAAACCCCACAACCAAGGGCACGTAGGCTCTTGGCCTCTTCCAGTCATCACCACCTTCGGTCAGTCCCAAAATCATCAAGAGAATACCAATGATGGTCAAGGCAGATCCAATGAAATCAACATTTTTCAGCTTCATCTTCTTATGCTCTTCTGTCTCTTCAATCGGAATGATTAAAAAGAGCAATATTATGTTCATCACCAACCCATATGCAAACACAAAGTAAAAGTAACTTTTATATCCAATTGCGGTCTCGGAAAATGCCCCTCCTAAGACAAGTGCAACACCAAAAATGCCAGTCAATGCAAGAATGAATCCGACCACAGCACCTGGAAGATATTTGGCATAGGGGCCACTAAAATAGTTTGCCGCAAGAGCAAGTGTCGATGGAACTAAGGCAGAAGCACCAACACCTTGGATTGCCCTGAAAACAATTAGCGTGATGATGGATGAGTGTGGGATGCATGCACAGATGAGAGCACATATCCAGATGACCGATAACCCTCCGAGATAAAGGTTGTGTGGGCCAATGATGTCGGAAATCTTACCACTTACCATGATAAAGGAGCCAAGCGTAAGAGCATATCCGGACAACACCCAACTGGCGGTCGAAGAATCTGTGTTAAAGGCTTGTTGTATGTTACCCTGCAAAGTAAAGGCTGTTGCACTGTTTAAGTTATCTAGACAAGTTGCCATAAGGATGAAAAAGTAAACCACAAATATGTTTCTCTTTTCCATTGGGACCACGGTCCTTGCCCATATTATCGGATCTCTAATTAAGCTGAAAATGTTCTTCATTTAATCCGAAATTATATTATGTCTTTCTGGAGTTTTTTTCTCCCTTACTTCTGCTGTTCCATAAATTGAAACTACAATATTGTTGTCTCAGGCCCAGTTTTATCATTTCAACACTGGGAAGTTCCTTGTTTTTATATATCCAGGAACAGCAGGGCCACGAAATGGAATTAAGGCCGGAGTTATGCCCTTCAACCCATTTGTCTACCCCGATGTGGCTGTGTCTTTGACAGTAAGTCAAAGTTATTTGTAATCTTCGCGAAAATTTTGGGGGTTGGGGCATGTTGAATACCAGAATGGACTTGACGACATAATAGTTACCGATAAAACGATTTGCTTTAAGGCTTTTTATAGATCAAATGCAAAGGCTTTTTACGGATCAAATGCAAAGGTTTTTATGGATCAAATGCAAACAAGTTGAAGCTAAAGTTGATTGTAGAAAATAGTCAAGTTAAATCAACTGCTAATTGATAGGCCAGGCGATCTTATATATTCATGTTAAACAATTATCTGCCTTCCAGAGAGTCGCCGTGCAGAAATATGCCGGTGCATTTATCGTCTTCCTCCTTTTCTGAACAGATTCCATCATAGCCTTTTTCCACTTTATTGCAATTCCCTCCAACTTCTGGTTTGTCCTCTACTTCATCTTCAGTTTCTGGTGACTTTTCAGAATCCCGAACAAAAAGAATCATGATGATTAAAATCACTACATGAAACCCCATTAATACATAAAATATGTTTTGAAACTTGTTATGAAGATGCTGTTTCATTTCTTCCGACGTGGCAGGCACAACATTTCCAACAATCGATGGGACCAATGCATTGCCGACACTCAAACACACCTGCAAGCACGTCCGGTAGACACCATTGACAACACCCTGAAGATGGAATGGAGTGTTCGAGACAACGGTGGGAACATAAATGTTGAAAAACAAATTTATCGTATATCCGTATAAGAACAATGGAACAAATCAAACTTCCAAAACGAGTTGTGACTGTGAAAGTTTGTTCTGGAAAACCATATGCATGTTCCGAGTGTGCCTGCAGCAGATAAAATAAACATATTCCGAACACCAATTTTGCCGTAGTAAGATTGTCTGTATATAGATGCTTCAAAAACAACACCGGCTGATATAGTGGAAACTTTGAGAGCAACAATTATTGGGGAGTCACCATCTATGGAGCTATAGTATAGCACCCCAATTGCGGTGATCATGGTAAACGTTGCAAAGTACATACCACATGTTATCAAAATAGGAAGGAAATTTGGAATGTGAATGATTTCAGGTGGGAATATCAAATCTATTTGAAGTCTCCAGTCTTCTGACTTGTCTCTGTGTTGATTCTTTTCCTAGAATCTTTTCAAATAAAACATTTCAAAGATAAATGAGGAAACAAACGTGAAAAACCCCACAACCAAGGGCACGTAGGCTCTTGGCCTCTTCCAGTCATCACCACCTTCGGTCAGTCCCAAAATCATCAAGAGAATACCAATGATGATCAAGGCAGATCCAATGAAATCAACATTTTTCAGCTTCATCTTTTCATGCTCTTCTGTCTCTTCAATCGGAATGATTAAAAAGAGCAATATTATGTTCATCACCAACCTATATGCAAACACAAAGTAAAAGTAACTTTCATATCCGATTGCGGTCTCGGAAAATGCCCCTCCTAAAATAAGTGCAACCCCAAAAACACCAGTCAATGCGATGATGAAGCCAACCACAGCACCTGGAAGATATTTGGCATAGGGGCCACTAAAATAGTTTGCCGCAAGAGCAAGTGTCGATGGAACTAAGGCAGAAGCACCAACACCTTGGATTGCCCTGAAAACAATTAGCGTGATGATGGATGAGTGTGGAATGCATGCACAGATGAGAGCACATATCCAGATGACCGATAACCCTCCGAGATAAATGTTGTGTGGGCCAATGATGTCGGAAATCTTACCATTTACCATGATAAAGGAGCCAAGCGTAAGAGCATATTCGGACAACACCCAACTGGCGGTCGAAGAATCTGTGTTAAAGGCTTGTTGTATGTTACCCTGCAAAGTAAAGGCTGTTGCGTTGTTTAAGTTATCTAGCAAGTTGCCATAAGGATGAAAAAGTAAACCACAAATGGGTTTCTCTTTTCCATTGGGATGACGTTCCTTGCCCATATTATCGGTTCGCATACTAAACCAAGGATATCAATCATTTTATGCGGCAAAAGGTTATTAGTTTCAAAATCTCTTTCCTGTTACTCTCTCTGTCGACGAGTGCTACGAGAAGTATTTTTATTTAAGAGATAACTTCTGAGATTTTTGCAATACTTTTGAGACGGAGAAGTTTACCTGTTGTTTATACTAGAATCTGATAGTACAGTGGATATAATTTCTGAGCTGCAACGCTCCTCTATTGGGGAGACAACCCCGATGTGGCTGTTGATAGGGTAAAGCCATTTGTAATCAACGCGAAAATTTGCAAATTGTTACATGTTTATTATTGATTATTAATGCATGAAATATGGAAAATGCAAAGATAGCTAACTTGCTAAGACAAAAAGTATACAGCAATGTGTGGTACAAGTCAAACAGATCCAGCATGTGAGTAAGTTGGACCAATAACAGGGTCCCTTGGCCCCTCTTTCTCCCGCTCTCTGCCAAATTCGTCACAATTGTACAAGTCTTCGTCCTCCTTCTCTTCCGAAACGTTTTTCTTTTCGCTTCCCTCTTCGCTCCCGCTAACCTTCTTAGGGCTTTTGACCATAAACACCATAATCAAAACCATGCATCCATGGAAACCCAACACTACGTAAAAAATTGTCTGAAATCTGTTGAACAAGTGTTGCTTTTCCTCTTCCGTAGTTATCATCTCCAAGTTCCCCAAAATGGAGGGAACTAGGGCATTTCCTATGGCAAGCAAAACCTGTCCACATGTCTGAAATATCCCATTAACAACTCCCTGGAGATGTAATGGAGTGTTGGACACAACAACCGAATAGTAGATGTTGAAGAACATGTTAATTCCATAGCCGTATATGAATAGAGAAATGAAACCATACTTCCAATATGAGTGACTAGTCTTATAAGTGATACGAGAAAACCAAATGGCCATTCCTAGTGTTAATAGAGAAGAAAGAATAAGCATGTTTTTTAATCCCACTCTGTTGTAGTACGAAGCCCTGTATACTAGAGCACCAAACACCATGCCGACAGGAAGGGGTAACACCTTCATTGCCACAATTATGGGGCTCTCTTTTTCAATGTAAGTATAGTAGTTGATACCGATTACCATAACCATCGAAAAAGTGGCATAGTACATTCCACATTGTATAAGAATCGGTAAGAAGTTTGGTATTTTGATTATCTCAGGTGGGAATAGCAATTCAACTTGAAGCCTCCAGTCGGCAGATTTGTCCAAATTTTGGTTTTTTCTTTGAAACCTCTTCAAATATATAGTTTCAAAGCCCAACGATGAGAGGAATGTGAAGACCCCCACAATTAGGGGAACGTATGCTTTTGGACTCCTCCAATTTTCGGCTCCTTCTGTTAAACCAAGAATAATCAACAACACCCCTGTAATTACTAGAAAGCCACCAAAAAAATCGATGTTTTTTAGTTTCATTCTTTTATGGCCCTCCGTTTTATCCACAGGTATGATGATGAAAAGTAAGGTCAAGTCGATAACGAAGGCATATGCAAACACGAACCAAAAGAAGCCTCGGTATCCAACGTTAGTCTCAGAAAATGCACCACCCAACGTAACACCAACACCGAAAACACCCGTTAGTGCAATTAGAAATCCTGCAAGTGCAGGACTCAAGTATTTTGCATAATCTCCCGTAAAGTAGTTAGCAGCTATAGCTACTGTTGATGGAACTAACGCTGATGCACCAATGCCCTTCAATGCTCTGAACACAATCAAGGCAACAATCGAGGTATGTGGGATGCAAGCACAGATGAGAGAACATATCCATATGATACCCAACCCAGCCAAGAAAATGTTGTGAGGTCCGATGACATCAGCTAGTTTCCCCGTAATTAGGATGAATGAACCGAGTGTAAGCGCATAACCAGACAACACCCAACTGGCTGTAGATGAGTCGGTGTTGAATGCCTTCTCGATATCGTTTGACATCGTAAAGGCAGCGGAAGTATTCATGTTATCAAGTGAGGTGGCCAAAAGTATTAGGGTGTATACCACGAAAACATTTCTTTTTTCTAGCGGAACCACGTTTCTTATCCACACCATGAAAGTGCCGAATTTCTTCAACGGGTTCAGCATTGTTGGCTAAGAGTTGTGATGATACTCTAGACTATATCTTTCTTGTCAAACTTGATCAAGCAGAGGCCCTGTGTCTGTTTTTACAACGTTCAGCAAAGGCAACGATGTTTTGACTTAGTCATGTCTAGAGAATTTGATTACTAATAAACTTTTTCACGCATTATAACGACAAGAGAAGTTGCCCTTTTGCGACTCTAACTAGACCTAACCAACTCAAGGCAGAAGATAACTAGTTTGTACAAAGATCTGCTGCTTCAAATAAGCAAATATTGTAATACGGCTGAGTCTGCGTGTTGCAGCCACGGCTTAGCAGCCGACAGAAAATGATGGTACAATTTCCACGAAGAGAAGGATATTTCCTGACGCTCCTGAAGAAGTGACTCCAGTATCTTATCTGGCTTGAAAATCCACTACAGTTCTACGATAGAGAACGTGCCATCCATGTTGTCAGCAGTAGAATCAGTTCGGGAATAAGCTCCACCCATTTGGGTATTTCTAAGGGAGGAAAAAAAGAAAGCGTGAGCCGAAGTTGTAGTTACTGGACCTTAATTTAGCAACTTCTAAGATATCCAAAACCAACCATAAAACCTTCGGGCTACACTGGTGGTCAGTGGGACAGAGCTAAAAGGATCTTGTTTCTGATGTAAAGAAATATGGGTCTTGTTGACTGCTAAAAAGGGAGTGGCTACAACTCCAAAAATTGCCATATTAAAAAAAAAAAATTACCTTTTTACTGTGAGGTAAAAGTGGGACGTGCAACAACTGCGCCGAAGTAAATGTAGTACAATAGCTGAAGTCTTTGAAACATCTCCGGCTCATTGAGCTTTGTTGGTGCAGTTGCTGTAGCATTTCACGGTTCTGCAACATTCAGACGTCAACAAGATTTTCGGTGATGGACGCGCCGACGTCATCGCATCTTTGACAGCATCGGAGACATGCTCTCCTCTTTCAGGTACTTCCTTGAGAGTACTTTTGATGTATTCCATTGAAAACACCTTGTAGATGGAGTGGGGTATTAGCAGCGACTACCTAGATTTAAAAGTTAAAGAACAGTTACGTTTTGTTTCCATACAAAAGCAAGGACCCAAACCCAAATATTCCGCACGACTTGTTAACGCTGTAATTTTGTTTGGGAATACCTGGCGCATGAGCAAAGTAAAGGCCTATATATAACTCAGACAGATCTAGCATCCAGATATGAAAGATTGGTGCGGGAGTTTCTTGACTCCGTTCCACTGTCGGCTTCTCTGACATGGCATTCACAGTCGTCATCTTGCTTCTTCTCCTCTCCCAAAACATCTTCTTCGTCAATTCTGTCGTCGCTTTCGTTTTCCTTTTGGTGATTTCTTACTAAGAATACCATGATAAGGAACATAACGGCGTGAAACGCCAGAACTACGTAAAAGATTGTCTGAAACTTATTGAACAGTTTTTGCTTTGCTTGCTCTGTAGTTGCCACCTCGAGGTTGCCCAAAATGGAGGGAACTAGGGCATTTCCTATACTTAGCAACACTTGTCCACATGTTTGGTATATCCCATTAACAACTCCCTGGAGATGTAGCGGGGTATTGGATACAACAACCGAAAAATAGATGTTGAAAAACATGTTGATTCCATAGCCGTAGAGAAAAAGAGAAACGAATCCAAACTTCCAGTAAGAATTGTCACTCTTGTAATCTATGCGTGAAAACCAGACGCACATCCCTAAGCATATTGCAGAAGAAAGAATAAGCATGTTTTTTAATCCCACTCTGTTGTAGTACGAAGTCCTGTATGCTAGAGCACCAAACACTAAGCCCACAGGAAGGGGTAACACTTTTATGGCCACAATTATGGGAGTATTTCCTTCAATAAAGGTAAAGTAGTTGATACCGATAACAATAACCATTGTAAAAGTGGCATAGTACATTCCACATTGTATAAGAATCGGTAAGAAGTTTGGTATTTTGATTATCTCAGGTGGGAATAGCAATTCAACTTGAAGCCGCCAGTCAGTTGATTTGTCCTTGTTTTGATTTTTTCTTTGAAACCTTTTCAAATATATAATTTCAAAACCTAACGATGAGAGGAATGCAAAAAAACCGACAATTAGTGAGATGTAAGCTTTTGGACTTCTCCAATTTTCAGCTCCTTCTGTCAATCCAAGTATTATCAATAACACACCTGCAATGACTAGAAAACCTGCAACAAAATCAATGTTTTTGAGTTCCATCTTATCTTCGCCATCTTTCCTATCCACCAGTATTATCAGGAAAAGCAAGATTATGTTTAGAATGAGTCCATATGCAAACACAAACCAGAAAAATCCTCTGTATCCAGTACTAGTCTCAGAAAAGGCTCCACCGATGGTGACTCCAACGCCAAAAATACCTGTAAGTGCAATGATAAATCCTCCAAGTGCAGGAGCTAAATATTTTGAAAGTTTACCTGTGAAGTAGTTCGCAGCCAATGCTACAGTGGAAGGAACCAATGCTGAGGCTCCGACACCTTGTAATGCCCTGATAACTATCAATGCCACAACCGACGAATGAGGAATGCAGGCACAGATGAGAGAGCAAATCCAGATGACTGACAAACCTATCAAAAAGATGTTGTCTGGTCCTATGATGTCGGCTAGTTTCCCGGTAATTAAAATGAACGACCCAAGCGTTAGTGCATAACCGGACAACACCCAACTAGCGGTAGAAGAGTTAGTGTTGAAGGCCTTTTCAATATCGTTCGATAGTGTAAGCGCCGCAGAAGTGTTCATGTTATCAAGAGAAGCAGCCAAGAGGATAAAAAAGTAAACCACGAAAACATTTTTTTTTTCTAAAGGGACTACATTTCTGGCCCATGCCAAAAAGGTGCTAATCCTGCTCAGTAACATTGGTGTTGCTGATTTGAAACTCTGGTTGCCGATACTCAAAAAATTTTGAGAATATTGAAGAAGAAGACATGTCAAAATGCAGCAAAGTAGAGAGATATATAGTGAAAAATCTGGAGAGCATGATTACTAATATATATATTTGCAATGTGAATTTGGACTTTTACTTCTAAAAAGTACCACAATAGTTTACCAAAACAGAGATATCAATTTTTATGAAAGTACCTGATACCGTCGAGGAGAGCAATGCGATTAACTTTGCAACTGATGCTTGACAGCTGGCATAAAATGTGGATAAAACCGTACTCCAGATAAGGAAAATTGAAAAAATTACAATATTACTCAAAAAAATGTTATTTTTAGACACTTTTACAATTGTCATCTCTAGAATGGTTTACAGTGTATATGGCTTTATAAATCAAAATGATGCTTCAAGAATTCATCGAAATGCTCGGACAAATTTGCAACAAAAAAACATTAAGACGTGAGAATGAAATTGTGTTAAGAGCGCTTGGATGGACTCTCATGTTTTTTCATCTTTAACGTGTTAATGACACACCAGATCTACTAGAGGGAAAGAGGTTGTAGAGCTTCCATGCTATATATATCAAAAGAAAAACTGCAACATTTCTGATTACTAATGTGCAGCGTGGTCGTGTCTAAAAAATTACCGCATTAGGAAGTAGATAATCATGTAGTATTTTGTAAAGATATATATATAAGTGTTCTGCAATAAAAATCTGGAGCAAATGGTGATGGAGTTCACAGGGAAAAAAGGACTCGAAATAAGTAAGATATAAATGTGCAATATGTATTGAGTTTTGTTACAAACGTAACGTTCCATAATATTATAGAGAGATAGTGCTTGACGATCGAGCAGCAGCGAGAGAAGTTTTAGGTAGTGGAGACACACACATCCTCGTTTTTGACAGAATCGTCAATCATCTCACTCTCTGGTTCTTCTTTTTTCTTCAAATTCCTGACAAATAAGACCATAATGAAAAAAACTGTGGCGTGGAATCCCATGATCACATAAAAGACACTTTGAAATTTGGCGTGCAATTCATGTTTCATCCTTTCGTTGGTGGCCCGTTGAAGGTTCCCCAAAATGGATGGAACTAAGGCATTGCCGATACTAAGCAACACTTGTGAGCACGTTTGGTAGATTCCATTCACGACGCCTTGTAAGTGGAGGGGGGTGTTAGCAACAACTGCCCCAATGTAGATATTGAAAAATATGTTCATCCCGTAACCGTACAAAAACAATGACCCAATGCCAAATTTCCAATACGAGTTGAGCACTTCATAGTTTGTGCGTGAAAACCATACGCAGGATCCTAAAGTAAACGCCGCAGATAAGATGAACATGTTTCTCAGGCCGACCTTCTCGTAGTATGACGCCCTGTAGATGATAGCCCCGAAAACCAATCCAACAGTGAGTGGGAAAACTTTAATAGCAGAAATGATAGGCGATGCTTCTTCAATAAAGCTATAGTATTCTATTCCAACAGCTAGCATCATGGTAAAAGTAGCATAATACAAGCCACAGACAATTAGGAATGGGAGAAAATTTGGAATCCTGATAATGTCCGGGGGAAATAATAGCTCCATCTGGAGTCTCCAATCCGAGGCTTTATCCAAGTGTCTATGTTTTGTCTTGAATCTCTGGATATAGAGTATCTCAAACACCAAGGCACAGACAAAGGTGAAAAAGCCAACAATCAACGGCATGTATGCCTTGGGAGATCTCCAATTTTCACCCCCTTCTGTTAGTCCGAGGATTATGAGAAGAATCCCGACAATCACCAATGCAGAACCTATGAAGTCAATGTTTTTCATTTTCAAGTTGGCATGCTCTGTTGTCTTTTTGATTGGTATTATTAGAAAGAGTAGAACAAGATCACAGAAGAACCCAAATGCAAACACAAAGAAGAAAAAGCTTCTGTACCCAATGAGAGTCTCTGAAAAGGCACCACCAAGAATAATGCCAAAACCCAACGTCCCAGTGAGGGAGATTATGAAACCTATGATAGCAGCGGGAAGGTACTTAGCGTACCGGCCTGTAAAGTAGTTGGCAGCCAATGCAATTGTGGAGGGAACTAAGGAGGAAGCACCAATACCCTGGATAGCTCTGAACACAATTAGGGTGATTATAGAAGAGTGTGGGATGCATGCACAGATGAGAGCACAAATCCAAACAGAGGTCAAGCCGATTAAAAACAAATTATGGGGGCCTATAATGTCTGCTATTTTCCCGCTAATCATGATAAACGAGCCAAGCGTAAGTGCATATCCTGAAAGGACCCAGCTTGCAGTCGATGAGTCTGTATGAAACTCCTTTTCGATGTTGGCGGTCATTGTAAGTGCAGCAGTCGAGTTTAGATTGTCCAAAGAGGTCGCCAATAAAACCAAGAAGTACACAACAAAGACATTTCGTTTTTCCACCGCAACAAGCTGCTGCGGCCAGTTTAGCAGCTGCTGGATTTGATGTAGCAGATTGATAGGCATTTTTGATTACCGTTTGTGCTGTACAGTGTGGAGAGTAGAGGTTAGTAAACCTCCAATTCCACTATGTCTGACGAAGAAACCAGAAACGGATATTTCCTACTTTTTAAGATCACTTTTGCTACCTTCGTTGTCCCCATGTTAAAGATACACAGCTACACAAACACATGCTTACTTTGGATGCTGATTAGTAATGTTACAGACTCGAATTGCAACTTAATGGTGCTAGCAACAGAGGAGGTGACGAGCGGAAGCAATCTTTAACACTGCATAAATGGAATAGCCCTAAAGGGAAGGTGAGCGATGGTGGTGGTAGCAAGAAAAACTACGTGAGGTGTGTCGTTTTCGGCAAGAGTCGAGAACCGGATTCCGAGATCGAGGAACGGCGTGATTGGGGGGGAGTATACATACAGCATACATTGAATGTGTCCGTTGTTATAAAAAGTAGAGTACATATGTGAATATAGGAATATACGTAAAAGGCTGTGTGCGTGTGTGTGTGGCGAGGAAGAAGGTTGCTAGACGGGGTCGCTCTGCGAACGGTACTTGAAATCGAAGCCTTCGGAGGACGCCTGCATGCTAATCTTGCCGTCGTCGTAGTTCAAGATCAGCTGGCCGTGAGAGACGTCGCAGATATTGTAGTGCCAGGAATGTTGGAAGGCCACGTAGTAGAGGTCGTTTAGGTGTCTTATTACTAAGTTCACCTCGTGTTTACTCAGCATGTCGTGTACGTCTTGGATCTCAGAAGCTTGCAAAGACTGTAGCAGGGACGACGAAAGAGCGAGCGAGGGAATGTCATCTGCGGGGGAAGTGAGGGAGGCTGCGCTGTTACTGGCGTTAGCGGTGGCGGCAGCAGAGGAGGTCGAGGACAAGGAAGGAGGGTTGGCGGACTTTGTGGAGATCGGGATCTTGTCGTAAACGGTCAAGGCAAGATCGACGTAGGCGGCAAGCTGGTGGTTTGGAAGCTGCGCAAGGAGACGCTCGTACTTCTTCTGGACACGAGCCCATATTCTGGCGAGCTTCATTCTGGAGTCTGCGAACTTGAGCTTGAACGTCTCGAAGGAGGGGTTGACGGTCAACGCGTTGTAGGAGGAGATGTACTTGAAGTGGAGCGAGTTGGAGATGGTGTAGTCCATCTTGAAGAAGATGGCTAGGTGCTCCAAGAGGGGCTCCCGTGTCGGCGACTGGTGGGTGATGAAGAACTTGACGGCCCGGTTGTACTCGTCCGCGTTCTGCTCGGAGAACTTGAGGAGCGACTGGATGAGCTTGCCCAACTGCAGGACAGTGATCCAGATGTTGCCCGGGTCGCCCGAGATGGGTATGACGTCCCGTGGCGGCGGCAGCGGCGGCGCCCCGCCGGCGCCAGCGGCAGCCGGGCCCACGATGTCGCTGAAGTTGTGCGTCGTGCCCTGGTGGAAGAGCTTGTGGTAGGAGAGCGAGCCGCCGATGCCGCAGAGGAGCAGCGACTGCGTGTTGTTCTTGAACTTGATGAGGTGCAGCGAGCAGTCGTCGATGATGTGGAGGTTTGGGACCGTGTAGGCGCCGTAGCGGAACTTGTTGATCACGTACGAGTCTTCGCACATGCCGTAGATCGTGTACACCGGCACCTCGAGCGCCAGCTCGCCCGACAGGAACCGCGGGAGCTCCGAAATGTTCTGGTCCAGCAACAGCGTCTTCAAGTTCACGTTGTCGTTCGACAGGTGGTGCACAGAGTCGCCCGACACCTTCGACAGCTGCGAGATCTTCAGTATCAAGTGCTGCGGGAGCAACGGCGAGAACTCCACAATGTGCCGGAGGTACGACTCGTGGATTCTCGACACGCTCTCGTTGTCCAAGAACCCGAAGTTCCCCGTGTGGATGATCACGTCGGGGCTGTGTGTCCTGGCCAGCGTGTTCAAATGCGACAGGTTGCCTCTGATGTCCGCCACAAAGAGTATTCGGACCGCCGCCGTCTCGTACATGCGCACCTGCGGGGACTGCTGCATCGTCGCTGTTCTTCTGCTATCTGCTATCTTAGCTGCTGTCTTGGCTGCTGTCAAACCCTGTTTGTTTGCCTTCCCGTCTCAACACCAGGAAGAAGAATGCTCAGCTTTCTCAGAGCCTGTTGCCGTTTTCTACATCCACAAACGATGAGCCTGCTGGCCGTTTTCCGCTGAGCATTTTCGCGCCGACGCGTCGGTCCTTCTGCGGGCTCGGGTTTCTGCCCTGGCGGAAACAACGGCGATGAGCATTTGTTGACGGACACGTCAGACAATGGTGACGGGAAGCAGGAAGAAAGAGGGCAGTGGGGGGAGGGCAGCAGCAATTGGAGCAGCAGCAGCAGCAGCAGCAGCAAAGCAGCAGGAACAGGATGAATTTTGTCGAGAGCTTCGTGGAGGGCATAGCGAAGGACATGGCGCTGGACAAGGCCACGGACCGGGTGAACGAGTACGCGGAGAAACACGTGAAGACGAAGGACCCGTACCGGGAGGACGTGGGGGGCGGGAAGACGAGGAAGTTGAAGTTGCGGGACAGCGCCACGAAGGAGGAGCAGAAGATGTGGAAGTGGGTGCAGCGGCGGGCGTGGGTGGACGACAAGTGCTTCATGGGGTGCTACCCGGTGGACTGTGGGGTCGGGCTCGGGCCGTTGGTGGTGGCGTTGCCGTGCATTGGCCCGCTGCTCATGTACGCGGTGCACGCCCGGCTGACGACGAGGGCGGGGATGTTCTTCAACCTGGACGCCAAGACCGTGGCGAAGTTGAACGCCAACATCCTCTTCGACCTCTTCCTGACGTTCCCGCCCGTAATCGGCTCCTTCTTCTCGTGGATGAACGGCTGCTCGTCCCGGAACGCCGCCATCATCCACTCCGAGGTCACGAAGATGCTTCTCCGCCGGGAGCAGGCGCAGCGCCAGGCCGGCCAGCCGGGCCTGGGCCTGCACGAGGTCGACACCCAGACCACCTACGCTGCGTCGAACCCGTTTGACCACCGCACCGCTACCACGGCTGCCGCCGGGACCCGCCCGAACAACCACACTCCGGCGGTCCCGCCGAAGGACTACAAAGCTCCGCAACGGCCCCACCAAGCCCATCACCCGGCGTCACCGCCCGGCAACACCGCCGACCCCTACCGCAGCTTTGTCTGATCCTTTCTGCAGCCAAGCATCCCCTTGCCGGCCCTGCACAAAGCCCAACCCCCTCATATCTACGGACCCTTTATACACCTTTATGCAATCAATCACATGCTCCTTCTTGATACTCGACTGCTTGCGTAAGCACACGCCGTCGTTCCGCTCCCATTGCGGCAGGAGGCTCTTTCTTCAACATGTTTTCATCCCCTGCCACTCTCCACCATGGACCTCTTCTTCTCTGTCAGCAGGGTCCCATCAGCTCTGCAGCCAGCCCTCCGCCGTGGCACCATGAACTCTCTCCAGTACCTCTCCACGACTTTGCAGTGGAGAACGTCCCTGCCGGCACACGCTGCGGGCGACGGTGAGGGCGGACCCCCGCCAGAGAAGGACAGCGCCGCCGACGGCGACGACCAGGACAGCATTGCGGAAGAGGACGGGCTCGGGAAGCAGCAGGACACGGGCGGCGGCGAAGAAGAAGAGTCCACAGACCCGTCGGGCATTTCCCTCGAGGCGCAGACGGCCGCAGGCGTCAGCTCCTACGTCTTGTACTCGGTACTCTTTGTGCCGAGGATCCTCGTTTACGTTCCCATCTGCTGCCTTCTCTCCGTCCTCTTCTATCCGCTCCGAAAACTGTACCAGCTAGGGCTCTTTCTTGTTGGGCTGGACGAAGGCGATCACGACCACTCGGAGTACCAGGACCTCTCGGTCGATGACGCAGATACACAGACTCCGCAGCCAGGATCCACTTCGCTCGTCTCGCTGGCTACGCCGTCTTCCGCAGATGCTGTCTCGAACAATGGCGACGAGAACGCCTCTCCAGCCAAAGCGGTGTCTGCCCCTTCCACCCCGTCTCCGCCGTCGTCCTCCTCCTCCGCCAAATCCACAGGCAAGTACGCTCCCAAGTCGTCCATCTCTACTATACTGGAGGAGTCCATGGAGTTTGACCCGGACTACCACGAAAACGACGACTATTTCAAGTCGCCGTCGGACTCAAACCCAATCACCCCTTCGATACATCTCATTCCGGACACGGATACACCATCCAAGCCGTCTAAGGTGTCTAGACTGAACTACAAGCTTCTCCAGGCTGTCAATAGTACCCCCTCCTTGTCCGCGGGCTCTTTGGAAGGAGCTAATGCAGACGAGAGCGGAATCCCAGCAACGCCAGTACCTGCTGTTTCCTCTGCCTCCTCTGCCGCTTCCACGGCAGCAGAGTTGAAACCGAGCTCAGATTTGGCGCCTTCGGCAACACTTACCTCTGCTTCCCAGGCAAAACGAAAGAAAAGAAAGAAGTTCATTTTTCCCAAGCTATTATTCGATTTCAACATCTTTGAACCTCCAAAACTACCTCGGAAAACGTTGGTGCTTGACTTGGATGAGACCTTGATCCATTCGCTATCACGATACAATTCCTCCACCCTCAACAAGACCAAGGGGAGGTCCATTGAAGTGAAAGTTACGGGCAACTTGCCTACCTTATACCACATCTATAAGCGCCCCTATGTGGAGGAGTTCCTATCCGTCGTTTACCAATGGTTCGACCTCGTCTGTTTCACCGCTTCCATAAAGGAATACGCGGACCCGGTCATTGATTATCTTGAAGAACAGGTTTTGTCCAACGATGTGATGAAAAAATCCCTCAAGAAGCTGCAGGCCGACCCTCCCACCAGACTATTCAAAACAAGATACTACAGAAACTCTTGCATTTTCGCAGAGGGCAAGGGCTATCTCAAAGATTTATCCGTTGTCTTGAACGACGAGAGCCGCCAACCACAATCGAGGTCCAACTCGAGAACCAGGTCGAGAGCCTCCAGCATCTCCTCAAACGTCTCGAGGTCTGCCTCCTCCAAGGGTTTTGACTACTCGAAAATCATCATCATTGACAATTCTCCCATATCCTATGTACGCCACAAAGACAATGGCTTAATGATTGAGGGTTGGATTAACGATCCAGAAGATACGGAATTGATGAACCTATTGCCCCTTTTGAACAGTCTGAGGTTTGTCAGTGACGTCCGCTGTATCTTGGGCTTGAAAGAAGGACAACGTGCCTTCGCCTAGGAAGAGATTGGTCTCTTTCATTCTTTTCTAACTATATATTTACGATTTTTGTTAACGTTATAAACCAATAATCACTTTACCAAAAAAACACAGCTAGTGAAATACTGGATCCTTATTTGATCCTAATATACAATTTTTACAAAGTCCTTCTTCCTCGCTGTAAATCAACGTGGCTTGACTATACGTAAGTTAACTCCCTTTTTACCGACACTGCTAGTGTTGCCATTGGCATTTGCAACAAAGTCAGCTCCAATCTTTTCGAGGTCACTAAATATTTTGATGCCACCACCGTTCTCATTATTACTCAGCAACAAATCTCCATTGACAGCGGATTTCAAGCGTCTACTCATTTGCTCAAGCTTTTGCTCAACTTCATTTTGCTCCTCATTCACCACCATATCTCTGTTTGACCACTTCAAGGTCACGCTTTTCAGCTCCTGCTCCTTGCGCATCAGCAGTTGTTCGGCCTTCTCCACTTGCTGCAGCAGCTCATCATTTTGCTCCTGAATTTTGTTGGACATCGACTTCATGGTATGCAAAGAGTCTAGCTCTTTCACACCATGGTCAGCCACATTGGAATTTCTTGATTTCAACTCCTCAATTTCATCTTCTAACTGTAGGATTTGATCAGTCTTTGTAACAAGTAGCTTCTTGTATATCTCAACATCCGCTTTGAGAGACTGAAATGATCGGAGTGTCATCATGAAGTCAATCTTTTCTGTTATTTTATTATTGTTCATTGCTTCCACTGATGTTTTATATATGTTGAGCTCTTTTCTCAGGTTTGCGTTTTCCATTCTCAGCTTGGCTATGCTTTTGGCATCCTCCCCAATTTCGTTTCCACTGCTGTCATGATGAAATGATGAAAACACCGGTGATTCACTTCTGGCTTCGAGATCAATGATCTTCTTCAAAGCGTTGACATATTTGGATTTCCAGCTTTTGAGCGTGTCACCAGAATCTATGTCTGGAGAGAATTCATATCGGCTGTTCTCAACAACAGATTCATTTCTACTCACTGTGTTATGAACATTCTTCGCACGCTGTGCAAATCGTAAAGACGATAAAGTCTCGTTGAAATCGTCCAGATCTGAGGAGCATGTGATTATCATAGCTGTCTTGGAGTTGCCACCCAATGAGTTTGCAAGAACTCTAGTAAGTTTTGAATCTCTGTATGGGATATAGGGCCTTTTACCATTCACGGCATTTTCCGATCCGAGCAAATTGATAACGTTGCCTAGGGCAGAAAGAGATGTGTTGATGCCAATCGTCTCTTTAAGAGATGCATGCGAGGAGTTCGTCCCAGATTTTGTAAGCCTCTCAGAACCAGCGAGATCAACCAAAAAAAGGGTGCTATTGTACATCACTATTTCCTGTTCAGAAGATGGGAAACCATTATTGTGCTCACGTACGCAAATTTCCACCCGTAGAATAGAGTGTGATCTGGAACTGGAACTGTTCATCCTCGTTTCAGCCACTTCTCTGTTTGCGTTACCTATTTTAAGAACCTGGTTGATGTCATCGATATCGGCAACATAGAACTTGTCTAAACCTTCCACATAAACGTTTGGCTGGGTCAAAGAGTTGCTATCAAATTCCTCCCCCGTACTTGGTCCTGAACCTTTGATATTATCCCCACTTGCTTCTCTTATGTATATCTGACTTGCCTCACATTTCGGGCTCAACAAATCGTTGATCACGTCATTGTAAATCTCAAAGTATGAAAGCGCAATAGTGTATTGGGATGTATCTGGGGCACCGTCAATCTCGTTGAAAATTTCAGTGAACAGCCTCGGAATGATTCCCCTCTGCTCATGGTCATCTGTATCTCCCATCATGGTATACGTCTTCCCACTTCCTGTCTGACCGTAACACAGTATTGAAGCGTTGTATCCTTGCATAGTGGATCGTATAACGGGCGATATTGTTTGCTGAAATATCTCGTCCTGAGTTGCGTTGCTCGAGAAGACATGATCGTAAGTAAAATTGAAAGACCTCGACCCATTATCATTCAGTAAAGTACTCTGTTTGCTCTCCAACGCTAGTGGCCTTCGTGGAATCTTTTGTGGAACAATATTCACTGTTTGTGAATCGTTTATGATCTGATAGTGATTGGGGGATACGTCCCGGTTTCGAAGCGAGCTGTCAGTGCCTTCCCTCGTTGGTTTGAACCTCACATAAACCTTAATGTTGTTCAAATCTGTCATTTCTCTGAACTTACTTTTTAATATGATGGAGCTGTTTCGAGTAGAGAACACCTATTAGCACTGTCAAGAAATACGTATCGTGCAGTTGTAAACAAATAAACAGAGACACGACTCAGACCGATTTAACTTTTCCTAATCGGTGCGCCGTGTGCGTGTCGAAGCTATTACTACCGATTAAAGAATGTTGTCTATATAGATACGTAATTATAATCATAGGCAGCAACCTGAATGCTACCAGCTGCTCACACCTTCTTGCTGAGCTTCATCCATGCTGGAACCTGCTTAAATTTGGCTCTTTTAGTGCCGTTGAGCCCTTCCGCTGGCTGATGAGGCTTTTCTTCGGTCGAAGTGGTCGAAGAATTCGTTTGGTTTGCTTCAGCAGAGGCCGGCCCGGTTGGTGAAGCAGTATCGTCCAGTTTCTCTAAAAGATGATCGAGGATATATCCATTTGGAACAAGAGCCATTGTGTATTCAGGTTCAAACCGGAACAAAAGCGAGATACGGTTGCCAAACTCGCAATCGTCTATCGTCTTTGCCAGCTCTGTGTTTTGCCCTAATATTTTGCTGTACGGATGGGCAACATAAAGCTCAAAAAATAAGTCGTCTCCACTTTTGTACTTCCGTGGAACAATCTCAGGCTTTAACACTTTCTCCACAAGGACTTCAGCGAGGTCCTTGAGGGTCTTCCTGTTGTCGATTTTCACCTGCACCACCTTGTTGTCTGGGAACTTGATTCTGATGATGCTTTCTCCTGTGTAAATTGACTGTTTCACCTGCTCTTTCCTCTGCCTTTCTTCCTCTTCCAGTTTCTCTCTCAGGGCTTTTGTAAGCATTGGTTGGTCGGCTGCTTGCTTGGAAAGCAGTCTTTGGTAGATTCTCGCTTGTTCGATACTCATTTCATAAGAAGAATCATCATGGTCATTTTCCCTGGCCGCATTTCGTCCATTGCCATGATGTACGTACTTGATGTCAATGTCATTCTTCGGAGGTTCTGCACGAACGTCAGTTGTGCTGATTTTCTCTGGTTCAGAAACAATTGACTGCTCTTTTGGTTGCTCTTGCTTCGTGCTTTCAGCAGCATTGACCTCTTCCTGTTTATCGCTAACTAAGACAGCTGGTACGGTAGCCTTCTCTGTTTTGGTCGTATCCTTAGGCTTCTCTTCTGTAACCTTTTTCTCCTCCGTAGGTCTTGATTTAACGATTGCATGATCAATCGGCTTGACCCTTAATCGTATTGCGTGGTTTCCTTCTACGAGTCCTAAGCTAGCTAAAGACTTATTGTACTCGCCAGCGTCGAGCACTCTCATCATAATTTGAATGGCAACTCTGCTATGGCTGACTTGATCCAGATAACGTTTTTCAGCCAATCTTCCCAGGACACCATTCAGCGATATGTCATTGGCAAACTTGTCTGTAACTGTAGTGGTTGTGTTCTCCGGAGTGGATACACTGATTCTCAAGTTAACATATTTCTGATTATCGCAATTGCCTTCGTTGTCACCGCTGCTCTTGATTGCCTGGCCTGATTCACCATCTTCCTTCTTCCCTGTTTGCACAACACCCGCAGGAGGGCCAACAATATCAAGATTGGCGCCCTGGGCAAGATTGCTGAATCGAAAAGGCAAACCCAAATCAATTTCTTTTCCATTCCTGTTCACGAGTTTGTAGAGGGTGAAATCGGAACCAAGATTGAAATGTTGACATGATTCTTTCAATACATCGCCCAATATCGTGGACGGAGTCACGGTCACACGATACGTTTTGTAATTCCAGTTGACAGATAAGGTGGGCATGTTCTTGCAACTTCTGGCACCTGTTGGAGTTGTCTAAGGAAAGTTCATGACCAGAACTTTCTTCTAGTTAGTGAGGCAAAAATGATGTACGTAAATCTTCGTCTATCTGCCTTGAATTTTCTTTCCCGATGCGAAGCCGTTTTTTGCTTTTCCGTGCATTTTTCATGAAACTGTTGGTATTTTACAAAGACCTACAAAGATAAACTTATACAATCTATTTATTTGTGTTTGCCATGCTTGGGTTTCTTTTTCGTCTTTTTACTGTTTAGCAAAGTTGTCGGCTTTGGTGGGCTGGGATTATCCAATGCGTTTTGTATCTTCTCGTTTTCGACATGATCAGTAAGCTGATTCTGCCTTAACAACTGCAATGTTTGGTTGGTTTCAGCTTCATTCGTCAATTCTCCACCCTCGATGAAAATATTAATTGCCCTCCTAGCATGGATGATGTTGGTTTCGCTCGTTAAAAACTTGGACGCATACATTATTTCGATAATGCGCTCTTCATCACCAGTAGACAAAGCTTCATTCAAAGCTAGGTAAAAGTCATCGAATGACTTCAAGAGCTCTTCTTCTGTTTCATAAACGTGTGCTATCGAATTGAGATCTTTCATAAAATCAAAGCAAGTACTTTTCTCTGTTCTGTAATGCTGAGCCATGTTCAACGTTATTATGAACAAATCAAAACTTGAAAAGTTCTCCAGGTAAGACATTAACTTGGAGAACTTGCTTTGAGATAACCTTGATAAAATGTTCTCCTTTGTGGAGCTCGCATTTTCCTTTTCAGCTTTCCCAACAATTGTTTTCCCATTCGCATCACCACTCAGTTCTTTGCCAACATTACCTGTACTTGAATATTTGAAGAAAAGTTCCCGTGCTTCTGGGACAAAACCTACACCTACCCATTGAACCAATAAAGTTTGGATCTCAACACGGTATTCCGCGTTACTGGGGTCAATGACTTTGTTGGCTTCCAAAGACTTCAACATAAGACAGATAACCTTGATTAACTTTTGAGCATTCGATCTGTTGGTTATGAACGACGAGACATTGTTGGTTGGTGTGGTGTTATTCTTTTCACGACGACCTGTTTTCTCCTTTTCTATTTGGTTCCACATGATATCCTCGAGCTCGTAAGACGATCCTCTAGAAAGGTAGATGACCGCATTAGAAAGAAACTCGTGTAAAAGCATAGATTGCTCAACCTCGCTTAAAACTAGAGGCCCTTGTCTACTGAAACTGAACCTCGTGCTGGAATCGCTTTCTTCCTTGCTGGGGTTGCCACGCTGGCCAATTAGAAGATCGTGGAAGTAGTTGATGATCCATTGGTTCAGAGGCAAATGCGTCAAAAACCAAATTAGAACACGCCTATATCCTTCAGCCATCAGTAGTTCATCTATAATAAAGAAAGCAGATGATGGATTATGAGTCATCATTTTGACGAAATTATCATCCAGTTTTAAGAAATTGTAAATCACATCAGCATTCACGTTAGGATCGTTGTTCATCTTTACTTCTTCATCACTCATCAATTTGCTCTCGTGTTCATACTGAACCACCCATGCAATACTCCTAATTATCTTTTCACATGTTTGGCTGTCCAATGTTTCTGATGTCATGCTCTGCAACGAACTCAATAATTTTTCCATCGGAGTAAGAAAAATAGATGAATCGTCAGTGGAACTTTTCAACAAGTTCACAAAATTTGCGGTAAGCATGACATTGTCTCCCCTTGGGATATCTCTCCAATCTCTTCCCTTGGAGTCTATTTCGGTGTTTTTGCTTCCCGTAGCTCTAACGGCGGAAGGGCCATTATTAATGTTTCTCACAGCTTCTAAATGTAGATTTTGAATCGTTTCCATGTCCAAATCTTTCAAATCGATGTGGCTCAGGTGACTTAAGCTTTCAAAGTCATTTAAAAGCTTGACATTATCAAACTGTTTGACCTGTTTCAATCTTTCCTCATTTTCCTCTACTTTTGCCTCGTCTTCGCCATTAATTTCCTCATACTCTCCTTCTTCATCGAAATCACTCTCAAAGTCTTCAAATACGCAATCGCAATCCGGGTGCAAATCATAAGCTGACGAAGTTGAAATCTGGTTCGTAAACATTGCATCATCACCATCACCATACTCATCGACTTCCTCGTCGTGTCTTTCAATTTCAAGAATTCCATTTTTACCAACGTATCTTCTCACATTCTCCTTGTGATGATCATGGTAATGTTCATTTTCATGCGCTTCGTTGGCGCCTTGACTTGTCTCTGCCCCACTTACAGTGTCATCTTTCAATTCTGCAGCTGCACCGTCGGCAGATATGGATGTGGTGTTTTCCTCTTCCATATCTTCCAATTCCATCTCAAACATGTACTTGATATCTTCATCATATCTATCTTCTGGATCAAAATTAAATAATAATTCCGTGACACTATCCAATTCCGAACCTAAAGCCAATAATGCAGCAACAAATACTCGTATATCTCTGGTTATCGAGCCATTGGTGAATTTACGACCCCACGGACGCATAAAGTTTACCAATGATTCGTGCTTTAAATCATGCAGCCTTTTGTCAAAATCATCATTCAATATCAATGATATCATTGATCGCACAGCTGAAGCACCCTTAATCATATATCGGATAACTTCAGGGTATCCTGGAAATCCGTTATCTTCATCACGTCTATCTATTTCTATACCCAGATATATGATTCTGGTCTGATTCTTCCATATTTGTAAGTACATTGAGAGAAACGGATTGAGACATATATTGCCCATGTTTCTATATAATTTCTGGATAATTAGTAAACCTGCTGTGGCAATTGTGTAGAGTAGCATCATGTGATGAAAATCGCTAGCTATATTTACAATATTTGATAGAGCACTGTGTGGTAGCCACTTTGGGAGCTCCCTCTCCCAATGTTCTTCATCGTTGTTGATGTAAATTAGGTTGGTTTCATCGTCTGCGTTCAAGATGATCATTATCTTTTCAATGATTAAGGCAATATCGTAAGCCATGTCAAAAGCTGGTAAGTTCATTGTCTGTCCATCGGATAACTTTACATACTCTTTGTAAATCAGAGATATTACAAGGTCGGATATTAAGTCTGCACTTAGAATCATCTCGTTGTGATCACCTGTGGATGATGGCTGTGTGTATGGGTCACATAGGGTGGCAAGCATTGAAAATAGATTTTTGATTCTGTGTTGTTCTCCAGATGTAGTACCTTTGGCGTTGGGGATGGTTATGCGAAGAACTTTGAAAAGAGCGTCGTGGAATTTGTATGGGTCAAAAAAGTTGTTGCTCAACTCCAGGTCGAAGCTGTACTCTTCACCTGAATTGTTGTCGGATTCATTTTCATTGGAAGATACGTAACCACCTTCTTCTATTTGTTCTTCTTCCTCTTCATCATCATCTTGTCCTTTTTCTCCTTCCTCTTCTTCTTCTCCTTTCTCATGATCTTCATGTTCCAACCGTTTCGGTTCTAGCTCATTTATTCTAACGCCTTTATTACTATCATTATTGCCATTGGTAGTGGACGGAGCTGTACCATGGGCGTTCCCAGAGAGAACATTGGGGGATTCATTACGCTCAATCCTGAAACTGTCTAAAAGCTCTACTATATCTTCAATTCCCGTCTTTCCTGTTCGTATATCCTCCATATAATTCAAAAACTTGTTTTCTTCCATTGTAGAAACCATATTTCGTATACTTTTCAAAAGAGCAAAATTGCCACCTTTGAAATTGATTGAGTCCGCATAGGAAAAGTTCATCGCCTTTGCCACAATCTCATCAAAAGGATCGTCCATTCCGCCCATAATCTGCGGGCTGCCAGCAGTCATGTCATTCCCATCTGACCCAAAGACGATTTCTTCCTGGTTGGAACCAATACCGGTTCCTGCTCCAGGTGCCGTTTCCTTAGCGGTAGGCCTGTTACCTCCCGTTTTCGACTTATTTTTGGTTTTGTGATGGCGTGCTTTCTTAGCAGCCATTTCGTCTATCTTACTGTGTAGCTTGTAGCGTGTGTCAATGTTGTTCTAAATATTTAAACTTATGGTGCTGTTAGTCCATATTAAACAGGATTGAAATGGTGCCGATTACGCCATGCCGTTTTTTTTCCACCGACAAAAATGTAACCCAGACAATGTCAGTCTGGTCACGTGCAAAAGAAGAAGAGGGATATGTTCAATCCATACATGACGGTTCTCTTTGTCTCTTTCAACGTAGTTCCAACAGGTTAGCATTGACAGGTTAGACCACTTTACTGTATCTGAAAAGCGGCCAACTATATTATTTGACAATAAGATCGTAGTATTTTTATCGAAAAGTTCACATGACAAAGTATTAAGTTGCACTCGATGTAATGAAGATTTTTCCACCAAGCTGTATCTTTTCAGCGACTCCTTAGTGAGCTGAACTTACACTTCAAGGTGTATTATATATATAGATAGCAATAACGTTTATTAAGATTAAAGAGCTATCAAAAGAATTTTCCGTAATTTTTTATTCTTTTCAGCTGTCTCTAACTGAAAACACATGATAGTTTGTTTTCATCTAGTAGTATACATTCGACTGGCTTTTTGATTGCTACAAGATTCAATGCAGTTTTCATTTCCTCACCTGAAAGGCGATGTTCATCCTAAAGTGCAAACTCAAGAGCTAAGTAAAATCAGGAGCTCAGTCCCAAGTAGCTGCGACTTAAAAGTTGTTGTGTGGTTTGTACATACTACACTGTCCTCCTGCTCGTGTTGTTCAAATAAAGGAATTATATTAGTTGGATAAATGGTTACGAGTACGAATAAGAAGAAGAAGAGAAACAGAGGAATAAAATATACAATGGTCTACTGGTCGGTCATAGCGTTGTCTGAATCGGTAGCAGTCTGCAATGGCTGGCTTTCCATTCCATTTGTAGACATGCGTTTGATCTGCTCACGTTTCCAAAACCGCAGTAGAAGGTCGCCGTACCTTTCGAGTTCTTCCTTTTGAATCATCAATTGGAAATCTAGTAGAAGCAAGAACTGAAGCTCTAGATGGTTTAATTCGTCCAATGGCAAACCTCCCACTTTGGCATATCTCGAGTTTTTGTAAAACACATCGCTGAAGAACTTAGATGCAACAGTAATACCTGAGATAATCAGACGGTGGATGTTGTAACTGTCCATTACAAAGACCTGGGGGCCTTCGTCATTGTTTTCTGCATTCTGGAAATTCTGCTGTTCGGCGTTCACCTCACCACTATTTTGATTGCTATTCCCGTCACGAGCATCATTGTTGTGGTTGCTTTCGTCATCGCCCATCATTATGGCATCTTCGCTAGTTTTTTCTGTGTTATTTGCACGTTTGGCTATTCGGTCGAAGTAAACCAACAAGCTCAGGAAAACGTCATTGGTGACGGGACAGTATTTGAGAATTCTTGTTAGATATGCGTGAAGTGAAATGGCTGGGATATTTCGCCCATGGAATGCAAGAACGTTTGCGCCATATTTACTGTTCAAGAGCCCGCCACCACTTGTGCTATCAAAAGTAGTGTTGCTGGTATTGGTGTTATTGTTCTTGCTGCTGTTATTATGGGTGCCAAGGTTGGATGAGGTGTGGCTCCTATTCAAATGATCCTCTTCTGTATGCAATAGGTCGTTTGCTTCGACGATTTTTTGCAATAGTGCAGATAGCATCAAAAGTAACTCCTGTACCGGGTAATCTGCTATGTTTAGGTGTTCTTCGGAATGAAGTGCAACGGACGGTGGTTGGTGATGTTGTGGCGCCTGTGGCAGTGCTGGCTGGGAATGTTTCATGTATTGGTCACCATTGGGAGGATTTTGGCCATTGTTGTGCATGCCCAACGTTCTCTGGTTGTTGAACTGCTGGAACGACGGCATGGGCATTGAGGAGGAGAACTGATGTGAGGGAGCCGGTGCTGACGCCGATATGAAGTGGTTCGAGCCCACGGCCGCCGGATTGTTGAATCCGTGGGTTATTTCGACATTGTTCATATTGATATTGGTGTTGGCACTGCCACTGTTGAACTGCGACTCGGCATCTTGGTATAGCGTGGAGCTACTTGAGTTTGTTGAGAAGGCCAGATCCTTGGATATGTCTGTTGTCGCTGTTGCCGGCGTGGGGTAGGGGGCGAAAGTGGAGTTGGTGGCGATGTTGATGGACTGGGATTGGGGCTGTAGCTGGGGGTGTAACTGCGGAAGCTGGTTCTGCTGTTGGTAGTTGACGAAGTTGTTGGAGTGGTTGGAGCTGGAAGAGAAGCTGTGGTTGTTTGCGTTGAAAGTATACGAGTTTGAGGAGTATGAGGAGGAGACGTGGGAGGGAGGCATGTAGCCTGCGTTGTGGCTTGAGAAGGAATGGTTCGAGGTTCTTCTTAGAAAAGTGTCATGTGGGTTCTGTTGGACCGGGTGATTCTGCTCATGATGCTGCGGTTGCTGCTGCTGTTGTTGCTGCTGCTGCTGCTGCTGCAGCTTGGACGTCAACAAACTTCGGCGGCCTGCGGGAGTCAGCGACGAGGGTAGGAAGGAAGAGCTCTGGGGGAAGGAGATGATGTTGTTGCTGGTGCTGTTAGCGCTGGTGCTGCTGGTGTTGGTGTTGAACGCCCCGGGCGTGGAGTGGCTGCTGTCGTGGCTGGTGGCCGTGGTGTTGTTGAGCGACGAGGCGAGGTTGTCGATGGAGCCGGACCGGGAGGGGAAGGAGCTCCTCTGGAACAGCGAGATGTGGGACGGCGGGTGTGCGGAGGGGCTGTTGTACGAGTAGGACGTGAAGTTGGACGGCGACGTGGTGGACGTGTAGGACGACGACGTGGACTGTGCTGGGTGGCCCGCGTGGGAGCCCATGGCGACCACGTGCTTGTTCATGTTGGGGTTGCCTGCGTTGCCGGCGCCGTTGCCTGCGTTGCTGTTGCTGTACGACATCGTTCCCTCTCCAAGTGCGCAGCCTCCGGTGCTTCTGGTTATACTATGTGTTGTTGTCAAACAATACCAACAGCAAACTTCTGTACCTCGTGTACCTAGTATATAACCATTTATATACCGTGTGCGCTGCACAGACGACCTCCACCTTTGCAGCTACATGTGTGGTCAACCAACCTCCTCCCTAATCCCCCACTCCACCCACTACCCTCTCAACTACATCTACCACAATACCACAATACACCACATCCCCTCCCCCCAACCTCCTCCACTCACTCCGTCCACCACCCACTCCGTCCTCCACCACCCTGTCTGTGTCTGAGTCTGTGTCGGGACCACAATCCCGTGCACGAGCCCTACGCCGCTTTCGCACATGCAGGGGCTGCTACTACCCATCTTTGCCTATCTGTGTCTATGTAATATCTTTTATACAACTATCTGAGCCAGCAATCAGTCAATGAGCCGAACCGGCGGCCGCGGCCGAAGGGCGCTAAACGCTTTTTCGCGCGCCTTTGGCGTCCTTCGCGCCTTTGGCGCGCTTAGCGCGCTTGGCAGCGGCCGTCGCGACGGTCGCGACGGCGGCGTCGTTCTGCTCGATTTGCAACTTGCGCACAACAATACGGTCGTCGCGGTACGACTCAGCACCAGGTTGTGCCGGACAGCAGAAGGGACGTAGGCTCAGCAGCAGGGAATGAGGGAGGTTGAGCAGGGCGTTGTTCTCCAAGGGGAGACCGGAAACAGCACTGTGGGTAAAGATGGAGGAGGAGGAGGAGGAGGAGGCAGGGGCAGGTAGAGGGGTTGTGGAGAAGAAGACGTGGTGGTTGGGGTGGCGGGATTTGGAGCGGAGGGCCCGGAAGCGGGCCAGGTCGTCGGTGACGGTGGTTGGGGGGCGGGAGACCCTGATGTGGCCGTGGGTGGTGACGTAGATGCGGGAGAGCGGGGAGTTGAAGAGTCTGTCGGCGACGTGAGCCTTGACAGGCTCGAGGAGCGGGCCGTGGGCGGCAAAGAGCATGTCGAGAAAGAGGTCCTTCTTGGGGATGTTCCAGGTGTTGGAGACGCGGCGGTGGTGGAGCTGGACGTACCTGGGGGCGGGGGTGGAGGAGGAGGAGGAGGTGGAGGAGGGGGTGGTGTCGACGGGGGTGGCGGTGGTGGACGCGTGTCTGGCGGGAGAGGGGGCGGCACGGGCTGCGGCGGTGGTTCTTCTGAGGGCGTGTGTGGCGAACATGGTGTGTGTGGGTGCGGAGGGGGTGTGGGAGGGTGTGGGGGGGTGTGTTGGTGAAGACAGCGCAGGCCAGACAGAGAAGAGGCAGCAGCAGCCCCGGATCAACACCAGGCCGGCTTCACCACGCCTCTGCCAGGCCTCCGGCTCCACTATCGCTGCCTGCCGCTTATCGCCCCACCCCGCGGAAACATCGGTCTTCCCCTCCCCCTCGCGCAGACAGACCCACGCCCACAGACAGCCCTGTGTCCAAGAGACACACACATTCCGGGCAGCCGCCATTGGCTGGACCGTCCCCAACGCCCCCCGCCACCACCACCGCCGCCATCCACCCCATGTCCTCCGCTGCACACAAGAGACTCCTCAAGGAGGTGCACCAGACTGCAGACCCGGCGTCGCTGCCCGACTCCATCGTGTCTCTGCACCCCCGGTCGGAGTCAGACCTGCACAACTGGGTCGCCGTGATCCACCCGTCGGCGTCGTCGGGCTCGCTCTACGCCGCCGGCTACTTCAGGTTGCTCATCTGCGTGCCGCCAGCGTACCCGTTGGAGCCACCGCAGATCCGGTTCGACGTGGACAACCCCGCAGGCGCCGGCGCCGGCGCCAAGGACCCCATCTGCAGACAGATCCCACACTGCAACGTGGACTTCAAGACAGGCGAGATCTGCTTGGACATCTTGAAGCCCGACTGCTGGTCGCCCGCGTGGACGCTACAGACAGCGGTCTTGGCAATAGTGGTATTGCTGGACAACCAGGAGCCCGACAGCCCCTTGAACGTGGACATGGCCAACCTCTTCCGGCTCGACGACCAGACCGCCATCCGGTCCGTCATCAACTACTACGTCCACCGCCCGGTCTGAGCGCCGATTTACTGTATTTTATATTATTATTACTATCTTATATATATAAATCTTAGTAAAACACTTATTTCTTGGACTTGTCCTTGGCAGCAGCCTCCTTTAAGACCTTCTTGACAACCTTTTGTTCTTCAATGAGGAAAGCTCTGACGATTCTTTCCTTGACACAGTTGGCGCATCTGGAGCCACCGTATGCTCTAGAAACAGTCTTTTGTGTCTTGGAGATGGATGCGTAAGCTCTTGGTCTCAAGGTGGCGATACCTGGGAGGGCAACACCACAGTCACCACACTTTGGTCTGGTGGCCTTCTTCTTGAGGTGCTGTGCAACTAACTTACCACCTGGGGTCTTGACAACCTTGATTTGGTTAGACTTAGTGTTGTCTGTGGAAAGTGAAGGGGAGAAGGGGGTTATGTAATGTTAGTAATCAGATGCGATGGTGTGGGGCTTTGGGGCCGCGGGGCAGGGAGTCGTCGATGCAGGATGGAGGGGGGTGTGGTTTGTCGATCAGTCTTTCATTCTCTTGAACATTTGCGTGGTTTAGCACTTCTGTCGTCCGTTTGGTCAGCCTCATTCGACTGTTCTGTTTCTCCAGCTTCTCTGGTCTGCTCTTGCCAGCCCAGACGCCGAGGTTGTCTTGTTCTCTGGTCTTGACAAAAATTTTCACGTGTGGACGATTCAGAAATTACACCGTGATGCACCACTTGGACGTCTCGTAAAGCTGGGTCTTCGGCTGCTATAACATCAAGAGCATGCAGTTCGTTCTGTATCGTTCTGGTCGCTCCATTTGTCTACTTGTGCCATATTTCACTTTTTTTCAACATCCTGTATCTTCCGTCTCCCTTGCCGGGTTTCACTGGTTCTGTCTAGTACATACATGGGTTTCTTCTTCTGAAAGTAACTCTTTGAGCCATTTTGTCTAATCTGTGAAGTTTAGGGTCCTTAGAATTCCAAAGTCCTATCAAATCCCTGCAACTGGATCTTCAATGTGTCTCCATGTAAGCTCAAAATTCGACCTTGTGAGAAAATAGAGCTGTTAGTGAGAGCGCTGTGAGAATTCGAGCAGAGGCCCACGGCCACGCGGGGAGGCAGGCCAGGACGGGAAAGCGAGAATGGAGGACAAGAGAAGGAGAAACGGGGGGGCGCGCAAGGTGAGGTGCGCGGGTGGTTTCCAAGAGCGTGTTTTGCAGGCAAAGTGCGTGCAAGGACCTTTGCAATAACCCTCTTTGTAAGCACGTGATGGATCGAAAAGGGTTAGCGTTGGGACGGACACTAAGAGTCATCTCCGTCATAAGGGGTGCCAGATGGCACAGGCAGGGACAGTGGCAGGGACAGTCGCAGAGGCAGTGACAGAGGCAGATAGATGGTAAGGCGAGTTACTAAACAGGCAGCTATATAGACTATCGAGGGGCGAGAGGGTCCGTGGATACAGTAAAACCGGCTCAATGCATCAGCCTAGTTCTCGACGGCAACAAGCTCGACCTCGAGGTCGACACCCAATGGCAAGTCGACGACGGCGACGCAGGATCTGGCTGGCTTGTGGGCGTTGAAGTAGGTGGAGTAGACCTCGTTGAACTTGGCGAAGTTGGCCATGTCCTTCAAGAAGACGTTGACCTTGACGATGTTTTCCAGCTTGGAGTTGGAGTCCTCGACAATGGCCAGGGCGTTCTTGAGCACCTGGTCGGCCTTGGCCTTGATGTCACCCTCGATAGGCTTCCCGTCTGGGGTGTAAGGGATCTGGCCGCTGACGTAGACAAAGCCGTTGGCTCTGATGGCGTGGGAGTAGCAGGCGGCAGCCGGAGGTGCGTTCTTGGAGTTGATAGGGGTGACTTTGGAGCTCATGGTTCTGTGGAATTGCTTGGCGATTGAGGTGGTTCTGAACATGCTTGGCGTCGGTGTGTGTCAGGGGCGGGACGGGGGTTGCCAGGGGGTATTTAACAGGCCACGGCGCCGCCTGCTGCTGGTAGCAGTGTGCCGACGGTTATGAGGAGTGCCGAGGGCGACCTAAGCGCCGAGGCCCGGGTGGGGGAGAGGAGCCCCGGCGGCCACTATCGGCCGCACCTTGCGGTCCTCGGCGGCGGCGATCTGGCTGATTGTCGGATTGCCGCTACGGGGGGTGGTTGGTGGTGTTTGCGGTGATGTTTGTGCACGTGTGGCAGACGGGGCCAGGACTTGGACGTGGACGTGAGCCGGTGTGGCGCCGGCGTCTGCGATAAGCAGGCCCCTGGGGCTGACAGGCCCTCAAGAGGAACCTGCGAGGTGCCGGACCCTCCGCAGGCCGTCTGGACTGCACAGTTCGCATCTGTCGGTACATTTGCTGCTGCACAAGACTATATACACGCTATACACAGGACGCCGGGGCGGTCGCTGGCGTCGGGTGGGACCCTCATACGCCCTTTGGCGGGCTGAGGCCCTTGGCGTCGAGCCCCTCGACGACTTCGCCCGTCAACGGCTGCGTCTTCTCAAGCTCGGCGTAGATCTGCTTCTGCTTTTCGTAGTCCTCGAGGTTCGCCTGCTGCTTCGTGTTGAGGGCCCGTCTCTCCATCCTGGCCCGGTCTTTGATCGGGCCCTCCTGGAGTTGCTGTGCAAAAAGGGGAACGTTAGTGCTCGGTTGTCTAGTGGACGCGTGGACGCGTGGACAGCGGCAGCAGGCTGTCTGCCCTGCTCTCTGCGTTATGTACATACGTCTTTCTCGTACTCAGCCATGAAGTAGACGCCGCCAATCGTCGCTGCTGAAAGCAGTGTGCTCAACGCAAACGTGATCTTGGATGCTCTCGACATAGCACGCGGTCTGGTCTGCAATGATTTTCCTGTAGTTGCTTCTCCTCCTCTCCAGCACAAGCATGGGCTGACCAGACACAGCACCCATCTTCTTGCGCCGATTCATGTAGCCTCCGACACGAGGATCAAACCCCGCACAAAGAGAGACCCGCTCGCCTCGCTACTTACAGCTTTTTTTCACAGTGTTGTCCCGTTGCGTAGAGAATGAATACACACACGACATATATATATACATAGGAGAGAAAGCTTTTGCTGATGCTGGGGCTACCTGTTTTCGTCGCTGTCTAGCATCATGATGGTGGTCTTGGTGGTCTTCTTGGCTCGTAGCTCCTGATCGTCGTTCTTCTCTGTCCAGATGGGGTCGTCCAAGAAGTAGAGCCAGGAGATGGAGGACCAGGAGGAGATAACGCCGACGGCGCAGTAGACGCTGTAGATCATCAACCTGAAGAACTCGAGTCGCTTCAAGAGCTGAAAGTTTCTACTCTGGATGTCGAGCAGCTGGATGGTGATGCACATGGGGGCAAAGCACAGCATGTAGATCAAGTTGAGGCGGTCCAAGACCACGACGCGTGTGGTGATTTTGCGGGAGAAGTGCACCACCTCGCTGAAGCTGGTCTGGAAGACAATGAACCAGACAAAGGTGATGAGACTCTTGAACATCCACTCTGCGGAGCCGTACAAGAGCGGGAAGAGCGAGACGTAGCCGGCAGACGTGAGCATCTGGAACGGCGGGAGCAGTCTGCGGTCCTGGCAGACGACAAACGACAAGGGCACGATGATGAGCATGATGGCCTTCTCGTGGACGTGCCAGCCAAAGAGGAAGGAGGAGTAGGCGCAGAGGGAGACGGCGCCGATGAAGCGCTCGAACTTGGGCTGGAAGAACAAGGGCACCAAGGCCATGATCTGGTAGAAGAGGGTCAAGAGGAAGGTGTGGTTGGGCTCGATCTGCGGCAAGAAGGAGAACTGCACGTCGCCGACAATGCCTCTGGTGAGCGACTGGTTGAGGTCCGCCGCGGCGGGGGACTTGTGGAAGAGTGTGTAGAGGATGGGCAGCCGCTTCGCCATCTGGATGAGCAGGCGGTCGACGAGGGAGTAGAGGGCCCAGATGTTCGGGGCCCAGTAGGCGTGGGTCAACCCCCGCGAGAAGGGGAAGAGGCGTGCAAAGAGCTGCGGCAACACGCCGTAGTAGGCAAAGGGCCCGAAGGCCACGGCGAAGACGGCTAGCACGGTGGCGCCGAGCTTGGCGAGGTTGGTCCAGTTGACGATGCGCAGCACGCCGCGGACAGACGTGCACTCCGAGGCCGGGTTGAGGCAGTACGCGGACAGGAGGAACACGAAGTAGGCCGGGGCGACGTAGAGGAAGATGTGCTTGAAGCAGAGCAACACGGCGAACCAGAAGCCGCACGCCACGTGGCGCCCGAGCTTGGCGCACACGAGCGACAGCACCAGGATGCCGAAGAGGAACCCGTTGTACTGGAAGTGGATGTGGTCGATGATGAACAGCCCCGGCGACAACACCAGCGACGCCGAGATCACGAAGTTGCGCCGCTTCTCCCGCCCCGTGGTCGACGTGTCGATGAACCACTGCAACGCCACAAACAACACCACCTCGCTCGCTATCACCGTCGTGCGCTGGAACACCACCGTCGCCATCCCGTACTGCCCCACCGCCACCAGCTCCACGCACCCGTCCGCCGCCACCCGGGCCGGCACAAACCTCGACAGCACCCACTCGAAGTACGCAAAGAACGGCGGGTAGTCCAGCGTCCACTGGCTCGTGTGCTCCGTGTACCACTCCCGCAGCGGCAGCAGCGCCGTGATCGACAGCCAGTTGCGGTGCACGTCAAAGTCCGTCGAGTGGTACGTCGGGAACAGCAGCACCTTGAGCAGCGTCGACGCCACCCAGATGTTCCACAACGAGTAGTTGTATCCAGCCCCGCCGCCCACCCCTCCCGTCCCCGTCTGCCTCTGCCTCTGCCCCTTCGTCTGCTTCTTCGTCTGCATCTGCATCTGAATCTGCGTCGTCATGCTGTCGTACCGACTCTGTTTCCCCTCCTCTGCTCTCCAATCCTCCTTCTGTCGCAACCCGTCTTGTCCTGGCTCAGCTTTCTTCTGTCTGTCTGGCCACAGAGCCGCCAGATCCCCACGTCGCCATTCATGTCGCCACCGTCCCCGCCTTCACGTGCGACTTCCGCTTTGGGCCTCGCCCCGCCGGCGTCACCTTACGTCTCTCCGGCGAGACCCCGGCCAGGGACACGGCGGCGGCAAGGACGCCGTTGACGGGGGCAGAGCTATGGGTAGCAGACAGCAGACAGCAGACAGCACAGCAGACAGGGTGATGGGTGATGCTGGAGGCAACGAAAAACCCGTTGTTCTTCCCCCCACCCCCCAACATAAGTTCCGGTTTTAGGCTCGGCGGGGTCCTCACGTCATCCCACCGCATCGGGCAGGAACCACAGACATATCCTTATCACCCACCACGGTTGACCGTCTTTTGCTGCTCCCACAGGCTCTGCAGACACGTTTCGGAGACACTGCTGCTCGACAACATCTCCTCCGAGGCTCTGGCGTGGTGGCTTGCACACAGCACAGCTCGAACATCGCCTCATCGCCCCATCGCCCCATCGCCCCCATCCCCTTTCCCCCGTCTGGTGCCCCCAGTCTGGAAGAAAACCCCTCTTCCCCCTTCTGGCCCGCTTGCGTGCGTCTGATAACAGCAGCCAGGTCTGAACACATCTGCACCGCATCTGCTAGGACGACCCGACGGATAAGAAACACACAGACACGGATAGCGTAAATGCCGTACGTCCCCTCCCCGAGGAAAAGGAGAGCTTCCCAGGACGGCGGCCACGACACGAGTGGTGACGTCGTCCCGCCAGCACGGGCTGCCTCCGGTGAACAGCAGCCGGCGACAGCCACAGACGTCTTGACCAGTGTCGACAGACAGCTGTCGGCATGCAGCATCCCGCTGGCCGGGCGGTTGAACGAGGAGACCTGCGACCAAACGAGCTCCACGGCGGCTCTCGCCTCCGAACAGGCCCACAGCAGGAGCAGTCCGTGTGGACAGCAGTTCGACGGACACGCAGTCGGGTTTGGCGCCGACCCAGCGTTCCCCGGCAACAGCTTGTTCTCAGGCGACGAGGACAACGTGCCGCTGTCCTTGTCGTTCATCAGAAAGCCGTCCAGGTCTTCGAGCATGACCGTCGACGTCGACCGCATAATGAAGCAGAACACCCTGATGAACTCCCGCTCCTTCGAGCTGCTACCGACAGAACCAGTGCGTGACGTCTTGGCGGAACACAGCAACAGCATACCGATTGCTCCCGGCGATGATACCCCGTTTCCGAACGACGAGAATCCGGTCTCCCCCGGCTCCCCGCTCTCCCCGCTCTGCTCCCAGACAAACATCGACACAGAGACCTTCAACACCAACTACAACAACAACTACTCGTACCCGCTAATAAGAAAGAAGTCAGGCGAGCTTGTCAAGTCGTCCTTGAAGCTCAACAACGCATTCCAGGCCTCGGGCGCAGTGTCCCTGCCTTCAACCCCAACCTACAAGCAGGTTCACTTCGGAAACAGCATAGCCATCAGGTATTTCGACCAGAAAGATAAACCGAACTCAATTAGCGCTGACAACTCTCCGTACAATTCGGATCTAGACGATGGCATGTCCGATAACGAACTACAAACTGGTGTGTATAGTGACGACGAAGACGATGATGATGATAATGATACCAACAACGAAGGTACCGATAGCGTAGATTACTACGGTTTCTCGCAGGACGATGGCAATGATGATGGCAATGATTTCAAAATGACCAGATGCTTCTGTGAGAAACTTTATAGGGTTTCCAAAAAGCTGGTGGAATCAGACACCCCTGTGAATACTGAAAAATTCAAAAACGTTATGAAAAACTGGAATCTGGATACTTCTCAATTCAAAGCCCTTTCCTACAGGGACCAAATTGATTGCGAGGTTCCAGTATTCTTGGAAAGGTGTTTCCTAAACTTGGACAAAACTTTGATAGTCGGACAGATTGCAGTGAAAAATATCAGCTTCACCAAGATTGTCAAAATCAGATACTCCTTTGATAATTGGTTCACAATAGTCAATGTAGACGCAAAATATACCTCGGATATCCCAAGGGTGCTGAAACGGGCTGGTTACGATCGGTTTCTTTTTCAACTCTCAACTCCTGTACTATTATCAATGTATTTCAAAACAAACCCAAACTTCCTAAACTTGGCTCCAAATTTCGAATTCTGTATCAAATATACTTCAGGTGGTCAAGATTTTTGGGATAATAATCACTCAAGAAATTACAGATTGTCTTTCAACCACAACAATTTCCTCAAATTGAATAAAGCCGCATCTCCAACCCCAAAGAAGACAACTTCTTTCGATGACAGCTACTTTTCTTTCACCCCTAAAAATGTTAGACAAAGTACCGATACAAAGGTTGCAGACTCTCAAGTTCCTTCGATTCCTTCTCCTTCAGATTATATACCCAATCAAACCTTTTCATCACCAACTTCATCTTCAAATCAACTGCATCCTCCTCGGTCTTCTTCGAATTCAAGCTTGAATTCACATACTAATTCGACTTTGAGTCCACCAGCGACCTTGAAAAAGTCAAGAAGTTTTGACCGGAGAAACAGTATTAAAAGTTTGATCGGATCTCCGGAATTTCTAGTCAGAGATAAGGACAAATATAAGAGCAATGGTAGCACTAACTCTGATAATAGTGAACCTAACTCAATTGACTTGAATCGAGGAGGCCTCAAAAATAATTTCAAAAACAGTGGTAACCAGTTACCATCTAGTAATAGTCAGTTGAAAAATGAAAATGAAAATATTCTTGTAAAGCTGAAAGAACTGGAGCTCAATCCAAAGGAGGCAGGGAAGACCTCTTTAGTTCTTCCAATGACACTAAATACGTCAAGCTCATCGTCTAGGATTATTAATGGTAATAATCCCACGTTGAAAGACAGCACCGAATATCCATCACTTGAGAAAAGTGAAGATTCAAATAGTACGGTGGATAACCAAGGCCTCAGAAAACCACCTGGAGGCGCTGATACTGAAAATGGAGGTAATAGTGAAGGACTCATCTCACAGCCTGGTTGGAAAGGTGTCGACTCGGAGACTTATAAAGATTTATTAGAAAAATATTGTTTTTTCAAAGGGCCTAGCACAGTGTCATCTTTCTTGGCAGATGAACAGGAAATGAATGGTAACAATTTGTACGATGATAAATTTTATTAATTAAGTATTAACGAAGTATGTAAGCTTCATTTATTTACTATATATATCAAGTCACGTCAGTTTAGGAAAAAATTATTATTAGCTTCTAGAAAATAAAAATGGCCTTTATACGTTTACTCAGTGTAGAAGATTTTGGTACTACAGCTTTCTCTTCTTGAGTACAGGTTGATCTTCTTCTTCTTCCTCCTCTTCCTCTTCTTCCTCATTATCACTGATCGCATCAACAAACTCGTCCTCCACTTCCTCGTCAGAGTTGATCTGATCGTACTTGGATTTTAGACCCTTCATTTTTCTTGTTTGTAGTCTACTCAAATCTTGAGTACCAACGTGAACCTTGGCAACTTGATCACCAACTAAATCTGTCTTGACGTTCTTTCTTTCCTTTGGTTGCAATTGCTTTGGCACTCTCATTGCCTCCTTCTCTATTTCAGGATCAGCATGCTGCACTCTTCCTATCTTGAAGTTGATTCTTGGACCAGTTTCTTCCAACTCTATTCTAGCCAACTTAGGTTCATTTGATTTGTACGTCTTCAACTTGTATACTCTGAAGTACACCAATGGCAATTTGGAAACGGCAGTATCGTTGTCATCTTCCTCAACTGCAGAAACAGAAACCACATGCTGTAGTCCGGCAACATCCTGGAGATTCGATTGCTCACCGTGGAACATATCTAAAAACAAGGACTTGATTTGGATGAAAGTTGGATGTATGTCGAAAATATGGCCTTGGAAAGCAAACAAGGGTTTCAAACCCACTTGGAATGTCGTCTTTTTGAAATCTTCAAATAATTTGTAATCGGCCATAGCTTGTAGCTCAATCATATCATAAACCTTGTAGTCGAAAGTTCGGATGAAGGTCAAGTTATTTGGTCTCTTCTTGTTGTTCGTAGATAAAACTAATAAAGATGCATCATTCTTCTCACTTAGGAACTCTAAACTTGAAGAGTCTTCAAATGGTAGAATCGAATTCTTTTTTGTGAAACGTTTGATGAAGGGCTTTTTGAGGGCACTCAAATCAACCGTTATATCATGTAAAGCTTTATTCGATGTGTTGCCTGGTATGAAAAGTGCAGTTTTGGTATTCTCCACAATTTTGGACTCCTTTTTCTCTATCGCACGTTTTGAACGATTGTTCTTAGGTTTGGTGGATCTAATCATTCTTTTATGTCGTTTGTGTGAATCACAGTAGCTACTATCTTCAAGAAATGCAAAGTACAGCTCTTAACCTTCCTATCTATCTCTATATTGAATGAGTGAAAATTTTGAAATAAAAAAACTTCCGAAAAAAGAAAAAAAATATCTTTTTCAGTCTGCTTACGTAACTAAGTAGTTTTGATATTTTTGATTTATTTTTTATTTACCCGGAATTTCCTCGAAAGGATGAAAACGAAAACGAATATAGGTAGTTTGAGCTCTCCTGTCACGAAGAATAACGACAGAATGCTTGCCTGAAATTCTAAGAAAAGAGAAGCATTACAACACTAAACTTTATTATCTCAAGGTTTGCTGTTGAGGGTCTCAATTCAATGGAGCAACTGAAATTTACCGCAAATAGGTTCAAGAACACCGCCGCTACTGAGAATAGCAATAAACAAGGACAGCATGAAAACAGTCAACTATTGGCCAACAACAATGAGAATACATTGAAAACACATTCTCAAGCACCTCTTCTTGACACTCCACATTATTCACTCAGCAATCACTATTGGAAGTTGCCAGAACTTGAAGATGGCGAGTCCGTTGTTTCATTTGAGGCAGCCACTGATTCTATTGCAATCCTGATAACCTCTTCCAGGGTTTTAATATATGACTATCAATCCTTCGAGAAAAGGCCGTATACTTTTCAATTTAGATATAACTCCAATGATTATAACATACCTCCTCTCTGCTCTCTTCTTCCAAATCCTTTAAATGCTCTTAAACCGGATTTGGTCATAATAGAACCAATCTCGGGCGCTTTACATTTCTTTGAGGCGATCAAACTAGCGCCCTCTTTGCGCTTATTGCAAAACAAGCTACAGGATAAAATCTCACTTCATAATGCCGAATTTTTAACGAGAATGCAGCTATTTGAAGACAACTGTTTGCTTGTGACAACTTCACAAAAAAGAGTTATATACGTCACATTTAAGGACCAGTTTGGAGACTTGTCAATAAACTATTTTCAAGTTTACAATAATAGACCTTTGATAAGCTTCATGCTGTCTAAGACTTACAGCATCAAAGAATATGCAAACTCTAGCCACATAGTTTCTGTTAAGTGTGCTGATGTTTCTCCTGTCATGAAAACCTTGATTGTTTTGGAGTCTACCGGCCATGTAACATTTATTGATCATTTGAAAACTAGCACAACTTTTACAACGAAATCGAGTTTTAACTTAGATCTAATTTTAAAGGGCTCTAATTTGAAGTTTATGGATTTCCAATTTGTTCTTCAAAAGAACATAGGTATTTTCTTGGTTCTTGATCCAGAGACCAATTCACTCTTTAATGCCTATTTCGACTTTTGTGATGAGAAGTCTGATCCAGTCAATTTGTACTCATCAGTTATTTCCTCAATTCCTAAATCAGAATCTATCGTTAGTCCGAAATTATTTCTATTAGAAGGTGAAAATTCTCTCCTGACACAAAATAATAACCGCTTGATTGTTTCGAGTCTCAATCATTCAAAGCTGCCTCATGCATGGACTGAAGTTATAATTCTCAAGCAGTCTGTGCATATATATTCTGCAGTCAGGATCGAGTCTCTCTCAAATACTATTGTGTTGGCAACAGACAAGGGTCTAATCTTGTTTGAGCTGAAATCTTTAGGGGATTCCAGTAATACACAAGCTTATGTTAAAGAACACCTTCTACAATATTTGAAATTTTCACAGTCTTCCTCACCAGTGGTATTTTCTTTGAAGGAGACTTTACTACCGATAACACAAGATGATATCAGAAATGTCCTCAACCAAGTTCTAGATGAGTTACTGGAAGACAACTCAAATGCAATAAGCACAGATCTAAGCGTGGATGAAAATTTATTTCAAAGAGTTGAGATGGTGAAAAAGACAGTTGTATATGTTTCTCAGAACTACGAAATTAACGAAGATGAAAAGATGAGAGTGAAACTACTAGATACTTGTGAGCTGCTGTCATTGACCAGAAAATTTTTTGAGCTCATCATAGATAGAGATTTGTTTGAGGTTGTTTCGACCATACTGAAAGAAATGAAATTTTATGGAAAGATTGACTACTATTTTCAAAAAAACCCGAAAAATATTCTTCTACTTATCTCAGAGTATTTGAAGCTATCTAAAAATGTCGGCAATGAAGTGCAACTTAAGAATTTAACATCACTTTTGAGTGATCTTTTCGTCGACGCATTGATCAAATTGGATGATGATATCAAAGAATATTTGAACAATTCTGGAATATCAACCATATTTATAGATCATTATGATTTGATAAGCAATATTGATGACGTCACGCGCATGGTCTATAATTTAAAACTAACGGAAGAGGAAATGATTTTTAACTACGGCGAAATATTAATCGGACTTTGTTGCTTCCTTTACTACACTACCAACGAGATAATTGCTTACTTGAATTTGCACAACACGTCAAACGCTTATGATGATCATTTGGCTAAATATTCAAAACTGCTCGACTCTCACAAAGACAAATGGATTCATAGTTTCATTGTACTGAAAAAACAAAATGACATAATTCCCCTCGTGAACAAATATGATGACTTTCAGTCATTATCTGCTTTACTTGAGAGTAAAAGAGAGATCATTCAAAATTTATACAATACTCAAGAGATATCGGACATTGAATTTGCCAACTTGTCTGCCGACATCGAAATCGAATTTGACGAGTACTTTGATCAGTACGAATATACCTTTGCGAAGTCGTTATTTCTTCACTATATCCATTGTAATAAGATTGATATCCTTTTGACATGTTTTGAGAAACATTCAGATCTCTTGGACAAATTTTTGTCATCAGATATTAAGTATTATGATTTTGCCTGGATTCAAGACATCAAACTTCAGAGATTCGACAGCGTCAGCAATGATATGTCTCTTTACCTTTCTGAAAGACTCAACAACCCCATTAAAGCTAAAAAGATTCAAACCAGTATAGCCAAGCTGGCCACCCTCTGTGGCACTCAAGACGATGAACTGCGGTGCACGCGTTTGAAAGGATATGATTGTTCCTTATCTCTCCTTTCTATTCAGCAATACGTTTATTTTCAACTGAAAAACTTAGGATTATTTAGAAAGGATTTTGATACGACAAGTTTATTCAAGACTCCTTACCTCACACAGAATAATTTTTGTTATTTACCTACTGAGGTGCAAAACACATTCCAGAACTTATCAAAAAATATCTCGGTGAGCGTGAGCGAAATTATTGACTTTATATCTTTGGCATCATTCCCAACAAATACTTCACTAGCCCAGTTGTCATTAGGAATGAACCAATGTGATACGGAAGTTGAAGGAATTGCGCAAGATTTTTCCCTCAATGAAGATGACATAATTGAGAATGATGGCTTAAAAAGTCTCGCTAGTGAGTTTATTATCACTACTTACATCAAGTTATTCTCCTTCCTGAAAAACTATGTTCCTTTGAAGCATAAAAGCAATCTTCTTGAAACGGTGGACGCAGACGGGCCAACACTTGAAAAAAAGGCTTGGGCCAAGATTTTGCTGAGGAGGTTGATATTAAGGAAGGATTTAACATCCTTGATAAGTACTGTTCTTCCACTGGTTCAAGCTGAGGGTGACAGTATCAACCTCTCTCCGGAAAATTTGATTTGTACATCAGAGGAACTAAGAGGTATTGGAATTAAAAACACTGATGCTTGCTTGGATTTTGAAAAGGAAAATGAACTTCTCAGAAGACACCAATTGAATGCAGAGATGTAGATTAAATAATTTTAGGTAATAAAATAGATGAACACCAAATCGCAAAATGGGGCGGATTTATTCAACTCCCGTGTCTTGGAGACGTGATAAGTATTAGCAAAAATACAACTCCGAGACGGGGAATTGAACCCCGGTCCCCCGCGTGACAAGCGGAAATTCTAGCCACTAAACTATCTCGGATAAGATTTGTTGTATTTTGCGCAAGCCCGGAATCGAACCGGGGGCTCAACGATGGCAACGTTGAATTTTACCACTAAACCACTTGCGCTTCTATTGATGACCAAATAATACCAATAGATTTGACCTGTTCAGTTTTTATGAGTTTTGTAACATTATTTGGAGCTTACCTCCATTCCGTAATTTGCTATTGTTGAGATATGATGCCAAAGCCAATAGGAATCTGTTGAGATAAGATGCCGAAGCCAATCATGATCGAGGGATAAGAGATAAGAATCTTATCATGATAAGGTATCTTAGTGTTGAGATAAGTGTTGTAATCTAGCTATTCTATTATGAATATCCATTGTATATGTTCACTTTTTCTTATGTTTGTTGCTTATTAATATATAACTAATATAACTAGCCTACAAACTAATATTCTCAAACATAAATACAAGAGACAAACCTCTTGTATTTATACACTTACACCTTCGGTTAAACTTGCCATTATTCATTTATCATGGCGGCTAACTTTCCAGTTTTAGATTACTTAAGATGCCTTATCATGATAAGACTCTTATCTCTTATCACTCAATCCTTATTGGCCTCGGCATCTTATCTCAACCCTAAGATACCTTAT